GGCTGACCGAAATTGCCATGTTGCATTACTGGACCCGGCTTAAAAAAACGTTGGGTATTTCTCTTAATAAGGTTATCGCTCAGAATTTTTTAAGTGGCCCCTGTTCGGAAATCAAACCTCATCAAATTCGCCATCGCAAAACCCTATCACCCAACCCTTGCAAAATAGAATCCGTTTAATAAATATAAAAATCAGCATACCTGCTCTTCGTAGAAGGTGTGCTTGAACTCGGTCTCCGAAACGCCATCTCGGTAGATGACGATATGTCTTGGGTTTCTTCCCGGGCGCTAAAGAAAGGAAAATTAAGCCTTTAGAAACTATTCCAGACCAATGATAAAATCGGCGATACGCTGCTGCGATCTGGTCAGTCATATTCACCAGGCACTCCCTGCTCGACCTTTTGGATACGGTAGCTCATACGGTAATAAACACATGTTGTTGGACCGAAAAATCCCCAGCTTCTTAGCAAAAATATTTTTCTCTGCTTTACGGTGGAACAGCTGCTGGTTTACCACAGTTGTTTTGGTGCTCAAAGATATCATACATGATAAAAAAATCTTGACCTACTCATCATATTTTATTGCTGTGGCCCCACCACCGGTGATCAGGACATTTGGCCCGCAAGCAGTTTACTTGTTTGTTGGATCTTGGACCTGAGGTGAACTAGACGTTCATACTGGGCGGTCGAGACAAACATCGCTAGAATACCCGGCAGCGCCATTTCCGAGCTCCCACAACGAAAGGTGTTTGCCAATGGTTGATCATCACCGAACCAGACAAGCTTGAAAGGTTACCGTTGCTTTGCGGATGCAGTAATGCGTCCCGCCGAACTTAGCGTTACCCGAAGAAAAGACTGTTATATTCTATAGGCCGAGTGCATCAAACGAGTAGGCCCGACAATCTGTACGTAGATTCTTCTTCAAGATTCCCTGGTGGTAGACATATGCTTGCATCTTCGTGATGACTTTTTGACAATCCTGGAAAATTGTAATTCTTAATTCGAAGATGGAAAGACCGCGTGCTTTGGGGAATTAAAAATATACATTTTTTGTAATTTTGAGCATTCTCCCAGCTTGGTTTGATTTTGGTGAAACGGAGAGGAGCCCTCTTTTTTGGACACTGACTATACCAGGATGTACAAAGAAGTGGTTGCACGGACCACGGGAGAATTTGTTTCGAACTTCTATCTTTTTGTTTTGGAGGTTTCGACACCCCCCGGCATACCGCCGTCAAATCTTACGTGGGACGATGATGCGCGCCCTTTGGTAGACGCAGTTGAGTTTTGTCGGTTTGCTGTCTGCTACTCCGATCAACGGGCCGCGAGCTCGACTTCAACGTTGGACTCCGCTGGTCATGCGTGGGCGATCGTATGGTCGATGAAATGGAACGGAAGGAGTAAAATATAGGCTGCAAATTGGATAAATACCTCGTCCGCGTTCGGAAATCCCAGTTGAATGTACGGACCGGGTCGTTTTGAGACGACCGTCATGCCGAAGACCAACGTGCGCATCATGAACTCGAACAGAGGCCAGGTTGGGTTGAAAGAGTGTTCGGATTGTTCGCGTTTACCTCTTCAAATGATCTCAAACCATGACCCGGAAGAAAACCGATCGCTGCTATTGGAAAAGTTAAGAGTATGAGGGAGGTTTGTTATCCGTGTGCCACATTCTGTAACGCGATGTGAGAACCATTACTGTAGAACAGATAAAAAACTCTGAGTCGGGAGTGGACGAAATTGTCTGGTCGAAACTCACCGGTATCCATCCCCTCTATCGGTCACCTCCCACGTGCCGTCGGGGGTAATCATCACCGGCACGTCGGGCGTACCGTCACCAGCACCCTGAATCGGGTACCCGCTGAGGGAGGCTGTACAAAAACTGCCTAAAAACGTAAAAGTATAAATAGAAGTAAAGGCCGGGTAAAACGTACGAATTGCAGCTGCGGCTGGCGAAGCATTTTGCCGGGCACCTCGCGCATCCGCGTGTTCAACTCGACTCCCCAATTGTCCAGGATCTCGTCGCAGGACACCAGACCACCAGCCTGTTCTTGATCATCTCGACCGCCGGTCATCTCCTTCGATCATGCTGGCTCGCTGGGCCGGGGGCAGGGCGCTCTCCTTAAAGAAAAAGATTTTTTTCTGAAAATTCAATGATTGTCATATAGATTTTCCAAGAAAATATTTCCCAAAGCACTAGTTCCAAAATCGTTACTCCCAAACTAAAAATTTCACAAATCAGACTTTTGAAAAATTGCGTAGCAGGATTATAAAAAAGGCTAATGGGCAAGACATAGAAATCAAAATTTTTGGAAACCCTGATTTTCGAAAAGTAATTTTCAGAACCATGATTTTCAAAAATGATCTCCCACCCCTTTCAACCCCTGATGCGGCCAAAAATCCTTACCCTAACTATTTAGCGAGCTCTCCCGCGCGGGAAGTCCCTCATACTTGACCGGGACGTCGGACAGGAACAACAGCTCAAACGGCAAGAAGGTTTGCTAGAATTGGCAATTGTGAATTTGTTCTGAAACACAAAATGGTTATCAAGGCACCAAGAATCAAATTGCGCACCTTGTCTTATGTGTCTGAACGAGGGGCAGATTTGGGTACTCGAGGCGGATGTTGTATTTTTCGCGGAAGTACTGCTCGACTGACGTCCGCCCTCGACCTCGTGATCCCTAGAAAATTCTTTAGAGGCAGCGCCACAAACAATTACTCAAAGAAGAAATTCCGTGCGGTAGCCTGGGGTACAATGTTGAACACTTTGCATGGCCTGGGTCCACGATCCGGCAGATTCGAGATGACCTCGAGGCCTGAAAAACGACATTAGACAGCAAGACGTTAGCCAACCCTTCAAGAGCGATACCAGCTTCCGAATAGCCATCGGTTTCATCATCCGGTGCCTGAACTCGTTTTCGCAGAATTCCGTTTGCCCACGGGTATCTGAAAACCAAAATTATCTCATTTCCTAGAAATTCACATAAGTTATGAGCGCAGCGGACTTGTTAAAAATAAACGCACTTTCCAGGTACTCAAAGCACTGCTGAAGAAGAGAGTTCCCGGCCTTGTAGTAGAATTTGTAGGTCACTGGAAAACAGATAATCCTATCCGTGTGTCAAAAACCAACAATCAACATTGACGAGGGGAGACCGGTGCATGAGGTTGAGCTTCAGCGCCGCATGAAGACCGGCCCAGGCGCAGATGCCGTTGCCAAGGGTTGATCTGAAAATCACAACGTTGTGAAAGTATTACATAACGTCGCAAATAAATCCTCGGCCCGAACCCACCCGAAATTTATACAATTCAGAAAAACTCACAGAAACTTAGTTGCCGGGACGCTGGTTTGTCCAGTCCATCGCCTGGATTTTGTAGATATTGTTCTTGTACGTCGTGAACTGCCAAGAGGCTGGATGAAGTAGACAACGGACGCGAGCCGAGAGGACGAGGTCGAGCAGCGTCATCGCGTTTTGTCTTTCTTCCAGCGACGCATTTTCGCGAAGCTAGCTCTCTGCGGTCCGGTGAGCTTTACGGTCATTTCGTATCGGAAGTCTCTTCTGCCCGCAGATTCAGTGTACAGGTAAGAGGCATGACCGCTGGACTCCTGGCAGCTGCTTCAAACCTTTACATATAAAGGTTGACGTCATTGAAAATGTAGTTCGTCGGGAAAATATGATGGCGACTGATCTGAGCGGTTTCCGTTAGGAAGACATCGCTGTTCTGCTTGACAATCTTCCAGAAAATTGGGGCGACGTCCTCGCGTTTGATCAATTGCTTCCACTGACGGCCGTCATGCATATTGACTTCAACGTTGTATAGCATAAAATCGATGGAAACTGGAGTCTTCAATTCAAAGTGATTGCTGTAGGCTTTAACGGGAGTGACAACTGCCGGATTAACATAGCCGGGCCTCCTGCAGAACTGGACCGTTTCATAGGGTTTGATGATTTCTGAGGCTGGCTATTTCCGGAAGAGCCGCTACCACCGCTGACAGAGGGGGGTGGTGTATAACCGACAGGCTGCGACGTTCCTTTTCCAGAGTCGTTCAATGTTGCGCGCGCCATTCCCTCGGTGATTTTAGCGGAATCATTATCACTGCTTCGCGAGGAGGTGTCAGCGATGACAGCCTTTTCGTCGTTGCCATTTTCCCGACGCCCGTCGTTTGGTGGCCGGGTGGTGGATGAGCTCGACGACTGTGGGCTTCCGACAGATTCTTCGGGTGTCAGCGGTACGGCCTCCTGCTTGATTTCGCCGTCTTGTGACTCCGGCTTCACGTCCTCTCCGTTTTGTACACCCGGTACATCCTCTGATTTAGGCCGTTCGTCCGCCTCTGACGAATGCCCGCTTGTGGCAGTGTGGGCGCTTTCATGTTCGTGTTCATCTAAAGAAATGAGTTGATAGCGGATTAGCACAAAGCAAGAAAGTTGAGCTCTAATCATTACCTAGTATAGTAGTATCCGGCGACGCATTCGATGGGGTCGACATTACCTGTAAGATTCATTTATTATGATTATATTAAGAAAGAGTGAATAAGGCAGAGAACCCGAAACCGATCACAGGAAATATGAAATGGAACGCTATGTACAATCAGCTGAAAAATTCATCGGGAACAGTCGAACATAACGAAATAAAGAACAAAAAAAGGGGCGATAGGGGCAGAGCAACTAGTCAAGTGAATGAAAAAATTAAAGTCAGACAGCAAAATGGCGTTTTATGCGAAGGCAGAGTGCTTGGTAACTATGGCATCGAGTCTAGTTGTGAAGAGCTCGTTGTCGATTGGGTCTTCAGGGTTTGCCAACGGATTTTTGATCACTGTGTCGACGTAGAGCTTGTAAATTTCTTGCAGCAGCTCGTTTCCTCCATGCGCTTCTGGGTGTGCGTTCAGGGCAAAAATCAGGCCGGTCGGCGATTCGAGGTATGAGCATTTGTAGGCGGAAGTCTAAAGCAAAAATAAAGTGCCAATAATTGTAGAATTACCTTGAAGAAGCGTATCGTTTGATAGCCCTCGCGCGACGACATCCGCTCAGCAAATGATTTTAGGGAGAGCAGCATGCCGAAGAATAGTTTGCCCTCTTCGGAGCGATCCATCCCGTTTTGCCGGTCGCGTTTCCATTCGCGATAGTAGAGGAGTAGCCCTTTTCGATTGAACAAGTAGATGTTGTAGATGGGCATCTGACTGAAAAGTATATAATTAGTAAATTCCACAAGAACACGAGTTTTAATGGTAATTAGAAAATGTCGTACGGCTCACATTGTAAAAGCCTTTTATAATCATAAAACGTTAAGGCATCAATAATAGATCGTAAACACTAATTAAGGTATCATAGAATAATTGATAGGTAAAAAGAAACGTTTAGCATCTTATTTCTGAAAATTAATGCATCACAAAATGGGTGCAAGCCGTGCAAAATTTTCTAACTGCCAATTTTAATAAGTTTCAACGAATACTTTCTGGCTTCACCAAAAAGGGGTGCACGCGAATGCAACAAAATATCTCGCGTCAGCGAATTGGGGAAGGAGGCATGGGAAAAGATGGAGCCCGGCGAGGAGGATGCAGAGTAGCCCCTAGCCTCAATATAGGGGGACCCTTCCCTCACTTCAGCTAGTCGTAATGTATCGATTTTTGGGCTTGGATTCCTAGTTGATCAGAGTCAAGCTACGCAAAAGCCGGCATCTTGAAAATGGCTTCTTTACAAGCTTGTCCCAAAAATTCAGATAGCCATCGCCATGTAAGGCATTTGTCGAGCAGTTGAATAACAAAAAAGCGCATAAAAGTTTTATCTTCACAAATAGCGGGCATACAAAAGGATATTACTCGTGTTGCGTGTGTTGTAACCGTTATAAGCGGGGCAGTCCGGGCCGCTTCTCTCCGAAGATCGTCTTCCGTACCGGGTCGTCGAGAACTCGCACCTCTGCTCGGTTTTTTCGCTAGATCTAAAAACACTACAATTTGAAAAAGAACGGAAACCAACGCACAATCAAAATCGCCACATCTTCACCATTCCCTCGGCATCCCCGGTGTAGAGTTGGCGATCCCGTGGTGAGCATATCGTGTGGACGGTGTTGTAAGCGCAGGCTAAAGTCGATGTATTAAATGTCAAAATCGATAAGAAACTACCTTGATGCTGAAGAGAATGCCATGCTTGCCGGTCGTGTAGGCTCGAACGGTGCCATCCCAAAAAGAGGCGTACACCGTTTTGCCGGATGGGGAAAGCGAAAGGCACGAACAACCATTGGCACTGAAAAAGTAAAAATGGTTACCGGATCACGTCTGATACGCCGGGGCACTTTAGGTGTCTTTTTTAGGCCATATGTATCTTTTTCAAACAGCCCTAAGGCCATATTGTAATCGAGGAGAGCCCATATTCGGGGAAATACGATAAACACTGGATACCTTGCAGCGTAACCAATTTGTTGTTCGCATGATTTCAGCCCGGCTTCCGCCACGTCCAAAACACGAATCGGTGGCGCCGAGGTTGAGCAGAAAAGCCGCCTCGACGTCGCCACTATTGAAAATATCGGCTCGGCTCCGAGGGATATTCGGGCCAGTTGTTGTGATGTTTCCGCGTCAACCCGATCGATGCAGCCGCTGTCCCAGCCAATGAATACGGCCTTCAATTCCTCCCTGAGGTGGATGCAGATTGGCATCCAGTTTTCGGCGCCGGTGGAGGATAGTACTGGAAAATGGAGAGTAAATATTATGTTTAGATCTTCACCTTGCGAACATTCGTCGTCCTTCGGATTCCTCCAGAGTTTTATGCGACTCGTTGAATCCTACAACAACAAAAAATAGTAGACAAGTAGATAAAACCTCAAAGTCCGGCATAGCGAGCCAGTTTTCCGACGACGTCGAAGCACAGTGCCCGTAATGTGCGGTCTTGCTGAAAATCTGAGAAAACCATCTCGACTGTCGAATCAGAAACCCCACCTCGAATGCCGTCTGCTCTTCGTTGAAGCGCAGCAGAGCCGCACAACGGACATGTATCAGGATCCGGCCACCAAATTCGCCAGCCCACACGATTGAACGTTGCTCCGGGTCTTCTGAAAAAAACGATATACAAAATATAAATTGAATGAAATACCGAAAATTCGCGCAACCAACAGCTTCGTCTCCTCGTCGTACAGGTCTACTCGCCCTCGCATCGACCCGACAAGCAACGCCGGTCGCCCTGAAACGGATTCAAATACAAAATTAGCTTAAAAATTAGCAAGGTTTATCTATATTTCCATAAGTATAATCCTCTAAAAGAGTTCAAGTCGCCATATGCCTCATTTCATATTTTTTCTTATAGTCCAAGATGCCTCTATTTTCAGGGTACGTTCACAGTTCAGACTTATCGATATTTTCGATTTAGGTTCCGAAATTTTGTTGCGAACATGTGGGGTGGTGGTCAGGTAATCAGGTCAACATGAATAAAGACGCGGATGAATCCAGAATCAAAAGAAGGAAAGGAAGCAAAGAAGCGGCAGCGGTCCCACCACGACCCCGCCAGCTGGGAAATCGAAAATTAGCCGAAAGGAGACGCAGCGTGCGCTGCCAAAGCCCAGTCAGGTGGTGCTGCTTGAATGAAAAGCACACTCGAATTTCAGAAAGAGCCCAAGGAGAGCAAGACTCCCGTCCCCAAGAAAACTGTAGAAGCTCCTGCCCGGCGTACCGAGAAGTCGGAGTATACGCAGTTTGAGGTAGGCCATTCGGGGTCCCCTGCTACGCCCACAACCGAGATACCAGTTTGCCAATTCTTCTTGTCTTTTCCGTTAGTTTCCCCCCAATTTTTTTTCAGGGAAAATCGGAATTCAGTCACGTTTTTCTTATAGAAAACGCCGCCGCGGCCGACTCACATCCCGGCAGGCACCCCCGAGGAAAAGGCGAAGAGCACCCCTAGTGGGGCGGCGGTACGGCCTATTCACGCCTTGACGCATCACGCATCATTTTAGTTGAAAACCTGTGATGACAAGCTGATTCCAGCTCAAAAGACAACGTCGGGGAACAGCGCGGTACGGAGTAGCGCCACAAAAAAAAGAGAATTTTCATTTTAGAAAAAGGTGACGAAGAGGAAACACAGCATGGAGCAAGAAGAGAAGACAGACTTCGAGCAAACCGCTGATCCGGCCAGGCCGGCAATTGCCAAAGCGGTGGGGAAACACGTTTTCAGGCCCAGTAGACTTGCAATTTTTTAGCCCAGGCCGGCCGGTGATGCGATTGAGGCTATGAAGCGGCTTGAGGCGAAGCGCGCTCGCCGTCTTGCGCGCAAAGCACGAAAAGCAGCGCTGCTGAAGGAGGGAGGTGCGCAGAAACAGCTTGGGGACAAGAGAATAAATTATTTTCAGGCGCTCCCCCGACAGTGACCGGTGATGACGATGAAATCTCTCCGCCAAGTGACCTGTAGGGCGCTTATAACCCAAATTGTGTAAAAGATTGGAGGCGAAGGCCCCACCTTAAATAAAAAGCACTGCAGAGCAAGAGAAACACTATATTTAGGTCGAATAAGTTCCTCAACATACAAGAGGGAACGCTCAAGTCCTGCATGGAAACTTTGGATCCGACCGTGAATGGTTCCGGCAAGGAAAAGACCAAGAACGCCGATCAGACCAAAGAGGAAAGGAATTCGGGCAAGGAGAAGCGCTTGGAAGGAGCCGTAAGCAATACATGGCCGACGCCTTCAGTTTTTTAGAAAATTGAAAAGAAAGACGACCTTTCGGCAAAAGCCAAGAAGCAGCTGGGCGTCGAGAAGGTAAAAACAAGCTTGGTTTCGCTTGGAAAAGTTGCCTAATTATTTCAGTCGCCACTAAAGACCGAACAGACCAAGGATGAGAGGACATCGGGCAAGGATAAGGTCGCATCCCATATGGAAAATTACCCTGCTCTTTTCTAGAAACCGGAAAAACCCGAGACGACCGAAAATCACTCCGGAAAAGAGAAAAAGAATTTGGGTCAGGAGAAGGCAAGCTTTCGGTGCGAAGTGAAATTCTTCTAGGCGCACGACAAAGACAAGACTGAAGCGGCGAAGGATCATTCGGGCAAGGAGAAGGTCCTTACATTCGCGCTGTTCTATATGGAATTACAGAAGCGCGAGCAACAGGAGGGGAAGGAGAACAACTCGGGCAAGGAAAAGAAGCAGACTGACGCTGAGAAACCGCAGACCCCTGAGAAGGTTGAGAGAACAAATTTCAAGTCAGCCTAAGTTTAAGGTGCACGACAAGACCAGAAAGGACGAATTCCCCGCGTCGACGACCTTGTGATCAAAGCCAACATTACAACGAAATCCTCCTCAACTGCTCTTTCGAATAAATGTTTTTAAAGAGACACGAACTTTTTATACAGTGAAAAACTACCTCGGTACTGCACAGTCGCCAGTGCCGTCACACCTCCCTCAACGCCGGTCCAGACGAACGATGGTGTGGGCGGTGGTCGTGCCATCACCACCCTAGAAAAAATTTCTGTTCTCTAGACATCGCATCTCCTTGTAAAAAGTGAGGATGGTAACGCTTGAGAACCATTGCAAACCGGTGTAACACGTCATATAAATCCTGCAATAGTTTATTCATGACAATTTCGATGACTCCAAAAATTGCAACAATGTGAGACTAGGCAAATCACATGCAAAAACAGTACAGCACCAAGATTTCTAGACAAAAAAGCTAACAAATTAGAGGACTGAGACCAAGACAACGGTAACCCTATCAGAGCACAAAAACATTTCTAGAGGGCCCAGCTCAATCAATATTAGTACCCGGAAATGAAGATTGCAACGCTTTTAATCTTTCACCTTTTATATTGTCAGATTTCTGAGCATCTCCTTCGCGTTTTGGATCGCGGCGTCCGGGTCCTTCTTGTAAAGCAGAAAATGCCCCTAAAGTGACTGTAAATTAGTGGCAAAACACGCGTACCTGTAAAGTAGCTGGGGACAATGGGGTTCCAAGCGTAGACGCCTCGAGTCCAAAACGAACCGCATCTGGCGATGTTGCCGACGCTCCATAGAAATTGATAAACATCTAAAGCCGAGAATAAGTTGTTTACAGCTAAATCGGCCTTGCCTTTTCCATCATTTCTTGGTCTGCATTCCCAAAGTATTCTTTGACATCCACTCGCCCCGGTCTAATCAGTGCCGGATCGAGTCTGAAGAGAAGAGAGAATTACTAGATGATTTCTATATAAGTACCTTTCCACGTGATTTGTCGTCATGAATAGTAGCCGTTCCTCGGCACATCCCACCCCGTCAATCGCATTCAACAGGCCCGACATTGTCACCCTACAAAATTTTACTTTCAAAATGATGCCAGGGTTTACCTTGTCATCCCAGCATACATCGGGTCATCGTTCTTCTTATCATGTCGGTTTGTCGTAGCCGCGTCAATGTCCTCGAGAATCACGATCGAATTCCGGGGCGGCGTGTTCAGCAAGTAATTCAATCTAAACAGACAGATTCTACAGAAGGGCGTCGATCCATACCTGTCATCATCTAACAAGCGGTCGCTAAGCGACATGATGCAAACCGAATAGCCGAGATGGCTAGCCAGGCATGTGATGAAGCTGCTTTTCCCGGTTCCAGGCGGCCCATAGAAGAGGTACCCACGCCGATACGGAATCCCGCGCTCCTCGTACCTACAAAAAATAGAGCTCGCTTGAACGTATTATTTAAAAGTCTAAAGCGAACACAAAAAAATCACCATTTTCTCGAGCCAACATATTCTTCGATGTCGTCCACGATGCGATGCTCGGCACCATGCTGCAGCACGACAGACTCCAGTTTTCTCTTCGGGCGCGGAGCTCCTGATCTCCGCCATTCCGCGCCTATCGCTTTGTAGACGACTAAGCCAGTATCCATCTAAACACCAGCTTAACGTGATATACGATTTTCGGTGGATCTCAGTGGTGGTTTCCAGGGCGACAATGTATAAAAAAATGGTCCGAATGAGCAAAAATATGTTTGGGCAATTTATAGTTCTCTGTTGCACTAGGCTAATAATCAGTTGGCTACCGCCACCCGATAAGCGGAAAACACTCAATTTGTTACCTTAGCCAACGCCTCTGTCGCCGCATCCTCGACCATTCGTAGCAAAAACTTGGGCTCAGTGCCCAACGTCGTCAGCGTGACAGTCTCGAACGGGGTGCGCCGGCCGTCGATCTGCACAGTTTGCTCTTCCCGCGTTCTTTCACACTAAAAAAGCATTTAGCGGTGGAGAGAAACGCAGCCACCTACATGGATCCAACGATAATTGTAGGCAAAATAGTGGTTGCCGTGCCCTGGAAGCGAAGCGATAGATACGGCTGCCTTTCCACTCTCTCCCACCTAAAACACAGTTTTTTTTCAGAAATAAAAATAACCTGTAGAGAAGTGTGTCCGGAGAGCATGCGGGCAGAGCGGTGACTGTGGCGGTTGATGAAGTCGAGCAGCCAGGAATAGGCCCTAAGTACATTTTATAGCAAAATCAATCAAACGCACGGATCCTCGTTATTGAGCTGCAAGGAGACGACATAGCGCCTCCGCAACAACATCGCCCCAATGACCGCAAATCGCTTCAGTAGTGTTGCGGCCATACCTGAAGACAATCAAATCGGGTACGCCACCAAAAACTACCTATTCCGGCGAGCCCAGCGCCGGCGCTGAACAGCGGGTTCGCCGAGAGGCTCTGGACAGCCTTCTCCACCAGCGATTTCCCATCATCCTTCTTGTCGCCATGTTCGAAGGGCTGATAATGGGGATTTTCGGGGAGAATGAAGCGGCAAACCTGCGGCACGTGCGTCCCGGCGATTAAGTCGACCACCTCGGAGCTGCGGCTCATACGAAGGGCTGAAATTGGATTTAAACTTAATTGAAAAGTAACGGAAAATTAAAATAGTATATAAGAAAACAGATTTTAATTTTTCATTCACCGAGCGCAGTTGAAAGTTGTTTATTTTTTTCGGGTTACGCGCGATACTATCGACGCCAACTGGGGCGCCGCGAAATCTTGATGCACAAATAAAAACCTCAAAAGAAATGGGAGTGCTTAGTTTTTGTTTTATAAAAACAACAATTCCTAGAAGAACGACATCGACAGGCCACTTTCAGAGATGGGGCTCGACTACTTGGTCCAGGCGACCATCAACCAGTTGGGCTATGGCGGCGCCGATGGAGAATATGAGGCCGAGGCCGATGTACACGGTATGGGCTTATGGTTGTAAACTGGCACAGCGGTTCATAGCATAATTTTGTCTCCTTTAGAATCCGTCATTGACCTGCTGAGGTTCTTGCGCAACGATGACAGTGATTTGACGGTACGCAGCATGTGCTGTGAGCGGAATTTAATCCGAAAAGACTTGATTCCGATGCTCAAGTCTTCAACGTTGAACAAGAAACTGTTCAATCCATGTATCCGGTAAGCTTATCTATTGTGAAATTGAATACATGATTATAGCCTGATCGCCAACCTGAGCATCCCGATCGACGGGTTCTTCAGGAAGCAAGAGGCTGATAAGATCAAGGATAAAGCCGAGGTTTGAACATGCTTCCAGCTAACTTTTTTTTAGAAAATCCAAAAACTCCAAACGTTCTGGTTCAAGAACAAGCTGGCCTTCTGCGACACTGAATTCTTCTCAATTTTGAAGCTGCGCCTGGAGCAGCATTTCCTTGAAACTGTAAGAATTTATGGATTACACTGTACTTTGTTTCTAGCTTTGGGAAGAACGGCTCGAGGAGGACAACGACGAGATGAGGTTGATCTGTCTCCTTCTCAAGAACATCATCTATTTCCCTGAGAATTCGACTCTCGATGTAGGCCTGACGGCAGATATGACCACTTTATAAATTTATAGCGCACAGAGTATGCGAGGCGACGTGAAAGCGTCATCACATCGTTTTTGGAGTCCGAAATCCTCAAGGTTCTTTTGACCACCCTTTCAATCACTTTTATTTAGGTCTTCGTTTTTATCGGGGAAAGCGCAAAAGATCACGCATTTCATCTGCATGCCTTGGAAATCTTTGGATTGCTTTTCCGAACAATCGTGAGTGAATTTTGCGCTTTCGAAGATCTCCCTAGGACCCGGCAGTCGTGTGCGATACTGCCAAAAATGCTGGAAATTCGGAAGGACGTAAGAAGGCAGAGGCGGAGATGATGCGGGTGAGCCATCCCGGCCTTGCTGAGCTAACTTTATTTTTAGTTGGTCCAAGAAGAAGAAAATAGGAATCTTATGTTGAAACAAAGCGCCACAACTACACGACATTCCCGGTTTGGAGGCGGGGTTGAATAATATAGCTTTAGGTTTGGCGGCTCATACTTCATCAAGGGCAAATCGTCAATTGATGCTTCTCGACCTATGATTTGCACCAGGTATAGCATTTTGGATAGTTCTTAAAGTCTTATCCTCTCAGAATCGTGAAAGACCCGGCCAAGGAACTGGATTTCAACGATCAACGGAAACACAAGAAAATTCAGCCGAAGAACAGGTTGATTCGCCGGATGGGATGGTGATTGTTGTTTAGACGTATTGAAGAAGATACGTCGAGCACCTCACTGGTGATGACCGTCGAATTCGCGAAAATCTTGGATCAGAATATCAAGATGATCATTGAGAAAACATACAACAACTTGGCGAGGAATTGTCGCGAAAAGGTCCGCCGTTTACTACTTCATAAAAAGATGTTTTAGGCGTTGGTTCTCGCAAGCGTGCAAGAAGACCTACAGATAGACCGCGACCTCAGCTATTGGACCTTCATCGCCTTTTCCATTTCCTTTGTTCGTCACGCGAAATTGGGCTCCGACTATGTATGTCATTATCAGAAAAAAAATGTTAAATTTTTGTTAGGTGACCGCTTCCATCGGCAAGGAGGTCTTCCATTTTACACAGGTGATCGGTATCGATGTTCGAGAACGCTTTTTTAGGTGAAACTTGCGGAATACCTGGAAATGGGGCTTGCCGATAAATCGAAGACGAAGTTCCTGGCGAAGAGGGCGCTCTTTGCAATGCGAGCCTACAAGGAGTTGCTTTTATAGTAAGCCTGCTCGGCTTTTTCCAGATTACACCCAACTTTCAGCCATCGTTTTTTGAAAGAAGAAGGAACTCTGGTCGAAAAAGAACGGGCCGACGAAACGTTTGACTACATTCTCCGCGTGGAAGAATATCGGGACCTGTCGATTTCCCTCTTCAAACAAATCAAGGTTTAATATTTTTTAAATCAACCATCGAATTTTTCAGCCGGCCATCGTGTCGATGGGATTTCTGCGCGAACTGATTACCGCCACCCACTACTACCTGAAAATCTTCAAAAAGTCTTGCAAGGAAGGCGCTCTGAAAGTGATGAAAAAACAACGGAAGAAGAAGAGCGCCAAGAAGAAAACTGTCAAAGAAGAGAGCGGTTGGTTTTTCCAGTGTCACAAATTATTTTTTTTAGCTTCTCTTCTGAAGGCGGAACGGAGACGCATGAAGAAGCTAGACAAGTTGCCCGAAGAAAAGCTCCAGTCTCTCTGGAAAGAGCATACCGGAAATCTCGAGGAGTTTTCGGAGGTATGCAGCTTAAATCGCACGATCTGTTCCGTTTTAGGAGACAATTGACACGAGTGACATGGCGCCGGTCGATTATAGGCTACAAGTGGCCGATGATGACCAGAAGTAGGCAGTTTGGCCTAAAATTGTTATGTGCTTAGGCTCTTCCTCATGTTGCGCATTCAACGAACATTGCGCGACGGAAATCTAGCAATGGCAGCATCGCTCAATAAAGCCGGACGGGAGGTAAGGTAAATTTCAAGGCATATGCCTTTTTTTTAGCTCTACCCTGATGATGGCGTATTTGGTGTGGCCGCCATGTCATCCGACGATTTGGCTCAACATCTAAAGGAGATCTTCTTCACGGATTTCACAGAGGTCCGCTTTTTCGTGATCGAGAAGTTCTTTTCTAGGTCGTCACCAAGCTAGAAAAGGCCGAAGATGAAGTGCAGGAGAAGCTGAACGAGGGCTTGGAAGAGAAATATGACGGTAATTCCGACGACGAGGATGAGGACGAGTAAATTTTACCCTTTGCTTCAAGGCTTATCTTTTTATAGTGACTTTGATGAAGTGGAGGTGGAGATTGAGTACACGATGTACATGAAACAATTTTTGCGTCCCGATGTGCTGCAATGGTTGGTGATCAATCAAGCGCGTTTAATTTGCTCACCATTTCTAGGTACTTCATGCTGATGCGGAATTTCCAGCGCAACTCGACAGAAGTGAATCTGGCGATCACCACCATGCTCTTCAACGCGGCCTTTGACCTGAAGGAGCCGACGCGGATTTATCAGGTTTCGGTGCTTGTAATTTTTAGAGCGGTTTTAGGTCACGCTCTTCAACATGTTACATGAAATTGATCAAGCCTACTCGGCCCTCCCACAAGAATCAAGAAAATCCAGCCGCCTCTACGAGCTGCACAAATTTGGGAATTACTTCTTGAAAAAGTGCGAAATTTCGACGGACTTCTTTAACTTTTTAGGTTCTTCGAGGGATACGAGAAAGGTGGTGACTTGGCGGCTGCGCGCTGCCTTTTCTGGAAGAACAAGCAAGACATTCTCGCCTTCGACCATGGCATCACAGATATCGCGTATTTTCGGTGATTAGATACAATTACACGTGGTTTTAGGGAAGAAGGAGATGGTGCACCAAAGAAACGCGGCAAGGGCAAGAAGAAGGCAAAGGTCAGTGATACTCCAACAGCTATATATTTTCTCAGAAACACGTGGAGACCCTGGACTTCGATCCAGATTCTGATGGAGAGCGGGGACTACAAGCTGTGGACCCGGATGATCTGATCCCGGCGCCCAGAAAATCACTTCCCAAGCGAAAGCGCCGCGCTGTGAAATCGCCGGCGTCTGGATCGGATGAAGAGCCCGAATTTGCGCAAGAAATGGCCAATTCTTCCCGAGGTAGCGCTTTACTCGCAGTCTTTGATCAACCCTAAAGGTCTGAACGATCTTGACAGTGTTCCTTCCTTTTTGAACCTTTCCCAACTACTATTTCTATCTAGAGCCTTCACCCGCTCGGGAAGATCCTATCATGCAGGACCATGAAAAACGCCGTCGTGTCCAGGCGCTTGACTCCGATTCAGACATAGATATAAATGACCCAACGCATGCATTGACGGTGAAAGGTAAATTTACAAGCGGTTTATCTCATAATAATCCTTCTAACTCAGATGTCTCTCCCAGACGTCCGCGGATTCTCGTATCTGACGGCTCGGGCGGAGAAGACATGGAAGAGTCTACAGCACAAGGTATCATTCTTCCCAGCACGATCCTAAACAATTGATTCAGAAGTCTCGACATTGCCTCAAAGGCGTCGTCTCGTTTCCTCGGGCTCCGAGGGCGATGAGAAGGAAAACGTCACGCATATGATTCGGAAATCTGCAGGTTTGGTTTTACAACGGGTTTTTGAGATGGTTGTTGCAGATAATTCACCGAGCAATTCTCCGATGCGCAAAAAGGCTCGCCAAGTCTTGTTCGACAGCGACTCCGATGGACTTTAGCCCCGCCAAAAGCCTCCCCCCCCCCGGTCTTCCTTTTGTGATGCGTCAATTTTTCTGGTTTATTTACTTGTTCTGCTAAAATTTGCGACACGGATAAATGCTGTAAAGTTAATTGCGCATTGAAGAAAATGGTTGCTATTCCACACGCTTTCAACAAAGTTTCTGCCGGCGCTTTCAGCAGATGGGCGGTTGTCGCTAAAGCGCGTCCTGTGACCATGAGCCGCCAGGGTGGGCAAACGTGGCCTCATAGCCCCATCTAATGGGGTGCTGGAGCCAAGAGATGCTGCAAAACATTAATCCTTCAAGTTAACAGGCTCTTTTCGAGAGGGAATTAGCAACTAGTTAACTGCGGCACGGCTCCCTGCAGAATTTGCTAGGTTGACTTTGTTTTTAATAATAGACCAATCTCAATACAGCGCAATTGATACTCTAAGGTATTCTAGCATACTTTATAGATAAAAAATTATTTCATGATGCAGTTCTTTATACCTATGTGCGGCATTGCTAACTGCCTTTGCCCAAGGTGCCATCTGATCTGTAGGTATAGCTGCAAGTTACCAACATTGACTCGCGTGTTTTCTCCTATTTCCTCCTTCTCAATCTGATTCTCGATCGAAACCACTTTTCCAAGGTCGACGATGGTGCTGATCGCGGCGGCCGTGTTCTCGAAGAGCGGCAAGTACCTGGTCTCCCGCCAATTCGTCACCGACATGACGCGTGCCCGGCTCGAAGGTCTCCTCGATGCCTTCCCGAAGCTCATTCAAAGCGAGAAGGACTCTGGTATATGCACGCGTGTCGGTTTCCATTCTTATTTTTCAGCGGTGCGCCAACATACGTTCGTGGAGACCGACAGCGTGCGCTACGTCTTCCACCCGATGGACAGCATTTACATGGTGTTGATCACCACCAAGGCGTCGAATATTCTTGAAGACCTGGAGACGCTGCGACTTTTCTCACGAGTGGTGCGTTTTTGTTACTTGTGGAAATATAGCTAATTGTCTATGGGCTTTTTTTCTTTCGTTGCCGAGATTAGAGAACAACAGGTTTACCTTTAGATTCCCGAGTACTGCCGGGCCAACGACGAGAAGGAGATTCTCAACCACAACTTTGACCTCATCTTTGCCTTTGATGAGATTGTGACGCTGGGATACAGGTGAAAATCCGAGTCCTTGTTTAAAGACATTTTAGGGAGAACGTGAACCTGGCCCAAATTCGCACATTCACCGAAATGGACTCGCACGAAGAGCGCGTGTTCCTCCAGATCAAGCAGGCCCAGGAGAAGGCGGCGATGGAGGCGGCCAAGGAGCGTGCCAAGGAGCTGAAGCGCCAACAGAAGGAAGCGCTCAGTCGTGGACTCGGCGCTCGCGCTGGTGCTGCGCCCACTGGTTCGTTGTCATGGAGTTAGACATCCACTAAACGAATTGTATTCGTTATCCGGACATTCCCAATCCTGAAATTCTCTATTCGAAAAGACTACTAGCTCGAACATTCTTTATCCCAAGCTCCAAAATCTTGTAGATCATTCAAGGCGTCGGAACTGATTTTATCAAATTCCTAGTGTCAAAAAATGCTGGAAAACAATGGATTAATTTCGAGGGTCTTCTAATCTGAGCCGGATAAGTTAACGGAATTGAGAATTTTTGGAGAAAGAGGATTTCGGTATTGGGAATTTTCGGGATGGAGAACAGCGTTTGAGGACACAACCTCCGCTAAACCCGAGTTGGGTGCCCGCTTGTCCCACCTAAATTTATATATTTCAGGCTTCGGTGGCTCGGGCATCTCGTCATCCTCAATGCCACAGCAGACCTACGAGAAGCCGATTGCCAAGCCCACGCCTGCCCCGAGCCGCGCGGGAGGCGGAAATGTGAGAGACCCCCCTTTGAGCTCACCTGTCTGCTTTTAGGCTATGCGTCTCGGCGCCAAGACGAGGAACGAAGAGCAATTCCTCGAAGAGTTGCAGTCGCAAGGACAGGCTGTCGCCCCGGTGCAGCAGCAGCGTGGTGCACAGGCATGTGTTATTTTAGGAATCGCGACATTTTCAAAATTCGCGGGTTTTTTTAATCGAATTTCCGCTATACAATCCCTGAATGTCTTGATTTCCAGCACGCTTCGGCCGCCCAACCGGCCGTCTCCAATGTGAAGCGCGAGCCAGTGCACGTGAAGTGCGACGAGAAGATTGTCGCCGTCGTCGGCAGGGACGGGGGTCTACAACAGGCGGAGGTGAGTCTCATTTACCATTTTGCAATTTTTTTATTCCTAGATTACGGGTGTCGTGGCGCTGTCCGTCTCAGCCGCCGACTTCAACACGGTCTCTGTGCAAATGCGCAACGAAGCCCCGGCCGGAGCGCAACTGCAGGTACTCAATCCTCTAACTGTTGTCATCAGGTTGTTGTTTCCAGGTCCATCCCCATCTCGACAAGAAGGAATGGCAGACCAACGCCATGATTAAATTGAAGAATGCGCAAAAGGTATGAAAAACGATAGAATTCATTTTACGCAATTTTAAGCCCTTCCCCGTCAACAACGAGGTCGGAGTGCTGAAATGGCGGCTGCCGCTTCAGGAGGAAGACCAGTTGCCGCTTGCATGTGAGTGCGCTTTTCGAAACCCACGCTGTCACATCTTTTTTGCAGTGAACTGCTGGCCCCAGGAGTCTTCTGATGGTTGCACGGTCAACATCGAATACACGCTGCAGCGAGAGGATCTCCAGTTGAACAACGTCATCATCACGGTCCCGTTGCCGTGAGTTTTTTGGTTTTTCGGCAGAACACCCTAAATTTTTTTCAGCGCCTCCACCGCGCCAGTCGTCTCGGAGTGCGAGGGCTCGTATGAATACCAGAAGTCACGCTCGCAGCTCGTCTGGACGTTGCCGATCATCGAGGAGAGCAACTCGACCGGTCAGTCATCTTTATCGATGCTTTCGCGTTAACGGGGGGGGCAATATTCTCCTATTAGTCACTTTAGTAAGGTTTAGCTGTTTCAAGTGTAAAAACTATCCCTTACCTGAAAATTTGATGTAAACGAAATTTTTGGTTTTTGAATCGAATTTCATAAAATTTTTACGTTTGTGATAGTAAAAAAGTACGACAAAATAAAGCCCCCCGATAATACGAAAGCACCTCTTTATCCGAGCAATTTAGGGACCCTCGAGTTCACGGTGCCGAACGGGCATTCCGATTCGTTCTTCCCGGTGCACGTGTCGTTCGCCTCGCCAAGTCTCTACTGCAAATTGCTGGTACGCAACAGTCTCCTCTTCACACTTAGTTCCGGTTTTAGGTTGAATCTGCACAAACCTTCGACGGCTCGACCCCGGTCACCTACTCGACGGAGACGAATTTCGGAACCGAAAAATACGAAGTCGTCTAGCGGCCTTTGCAGATTTCCTCGTTTGTTTGATAACATGTCTGTGATTTGAGCCTCTCCCGTTCTCGTGCTGTTGATTATAATTTATTGCATTCGTCCTTTTATAACTCTTTACATGAAACAACGGTCTTCCTTACCGCAATTTCTCGGCTTCCTTATACAGCACCAGTACCATTACCCACTGTGCTGCCGTTCTTTTTTGCATATTACGTGTGAATTTTTGTGTCCTGGGATAAATATGTGCCCGAGCCTGGAGATGGAAAAGTGACCTCGAAAATGAGACGCGCGGAAGGATACGGATAAAAAGACTAACTTACGAGATCAACCGACACACAGTTCATCCTGGCGCCTGGAAGAACCGGAGAAACCCCCGCGGAGACGCCCCAGGATTATTGGCGCCGCCATTTGTCTTCATTTGGACCTCAAGGTCGAGAAATATTGGTCGATATAAAGGTCGAGAAAATGCGGCCGGTTTTAGCCAGTGTCACTTCACCATAAGCCCCATACCCAACGAGCAGGCCCAACTAGCTTCCACTTCAAGGTAAGTTATCCTACCCTTTTGAGCCACAACCAATCTTGAAATTGCAGAAACTGAACCTAACAATGCTACGACTAGTCCTGATCCTGCTCCTGGTCCGGGTGAGCCTATCAGAAGACCCCAGCTATCCGTATTACTTTCGATACTATCCGGCAGTGGGCAGTGTCACATATGTCTCCGAGGTACCTAATACCCAATCTAAAATAAAATCAGGGTTCTATGCTACAGCGAGACAGTTTTGTAGTCTAAAATCCTTAGATCCCTGGCGACCGGCCTTACCTATTGATAATGTACAACCCCGGATCTTCTCGCTGCGCGCATGCTATACCATATTTTGGAGTAGCCGCAAATCTCCTAGCCCAGCGTGGAATTCCAGTGAGACAAACCTCGGAATGCAACCCGACTTTAGAGCGGTGCTCTCTCAATTTACTACAGCCGGAACGAATACCTTAGGCTCGTATCCGGCATGGGGTAGGTCAAATAGTTCACAACCAATCTTTTAAGATATATGCGCTACCCGATAATCGTGCTCTTCTCAAGAGGGCGTTACGTTTTCTACAACGGCCGAGACCCGATGCAAGCGTCACAATGGGACTACTATCACTTTGCAATTACACACGTATAAGCGGCCCTCGGTAGTCCTTCCCAAAGATCTCATGAAAGTGCATTCGAGTGTTTGTTGCATAAATGGATGAGAGTCCGCCAGTGTTCACAGCTCGCAATTCATTTACAATCCTTTATTGGAAAAAAACGAACAAGGAACGAGGGGGAAAACGGCAACAAGCAAACGAAGTAACAAAAAAGTGTCGATAACCTAATCACTAACTACTATATTGTGAAAGGGCAAGTGGGGGAATCTATAACTACAAAAATAATCAAAACAGTAACCGTAATGCAGTGAGATGATTTGTGCTGTGTGGGGCTGCTTCTGGTTGGCGCTTAGAACATGCCGCCGCCCATTCCGCCCATGCCTCCCATACCACCGGCGGCTGCTGGCGCTTCCTTCTTGGGGATCTCGGTCACGACGCATTCAGTGGTGGCCAACAGCGAGGCGACGCCTGCGGCGTCTTGAAGAGCCGTACGCACCACCTAAATCGCAGCATTAGTTATATCATGAAAATCCATGTCACTAAACGAGCAAAAGGAAAAAATTAGCACCTTCGTCGGATCAATGATGCCAGCCTTGAACATATCGACGAATTTGTCGTTGAGCGCGTCGTATCCATACGCGAGCTGGTCGTTCGACAGCACCTTCTCGACAATCGACGAGGGCTCGATGCCGGCGTTGCGGACGATGGTTGAGATGGGTTGACGGATGGCCTTCTTCACGATATCGACACCGCGCTGTTGGTCCTCGTTGGGCGCCTGAAAATACAGGATAAGCAAACTGTAAAACAAGTTGAAATAAAAAGTAAGCTTTCAAATCAAACATCGTTACCTTGAACTGATCCAACGCCTTCAGGGTGCGAAGCAAAGCGACGCCACCGCCGGGCACGATTCCTTCTTCGACGGCTGCTCGGGTAGCGCAGAGGGCATCAGTGACGCGGTCCTTCTTCTCGCCGACCTCGACCTCGGAAGAGCCTCCGATCTAAAGCCAACGATACAGTTGTTTAACAAGTAGCTTCTACCTACCTTCAGCACCGCCACTCCCTTCGAAAGCTTGGCGAGGCGCTCGTTTAGCTTCTCCTTCTCGTATTCGGATGTGCTCTGCTCGATCTCGTCGGCGATCTGCTCGACGCGCTTGTCGATGTCGACCTGGCTGCCCTTGCCGCGCAGGATGAGAGTATCGTCCTTGGTGATCGAGACTTCTTCTGCCTCTCCGAAGTCGCTGAGCTGGATCTCCTCGAGCTTGACCAAATTCGAATCATCCCCGAAGACTGTTCCGCCCGTGGCGATAGCGATGTCGCGAAGAGTATTCTTGCGGTTGTCGCCAAAGCCTGGAGCCTTCACGGCAACGACGTTGAGGCCAACCTGAAAAATAAATTAACCTCGATACCAAGAGCATTGACAGTGTCACGTGAAGCCAAAGGAATAAAACAAGATACCTTTAGTCTGTTCAAAACAAGCGTGGTGAGGGCTTCTCCATCAACGTCTTCAGCGATTATGACAATAGGACGGCGGTGCTTGTTGGCGAGTTCAAGGGCGGGCACGATGTCTTGGACTTGTGAGATCTTCTTTTCAGAGAGCAGCAGGTAAGCCTTCTCGTATTCAACCTGAAAATCTGTTAGAGAAGCAAAAAACATAACTACCTTGGCTCCCTTGGCGGTGTTAATGAAGTAAGGTGAGATGTAGCCTCGGTCGAACTTCATGCCCTCGATCAGCTCCAATTCGTCCGTCAACGTCTTCCCATCCTTGACCGTGATGACGCCCTTGTTGCCAACCTGCTTCATGGCCGTCGAGATGAGCTCTCCAACGACGTGGTCACCGTTGGCAGAGATCGTGGCAACTTGGGCAATTTCTTCGGGTGTGGTCACCTAATCAACGAGAAGTGTCTAACACCAAAACCTATACCTGCTTGCTCATCTTCTTCAGTTCGGCGACGACGAGCTCAACAGCGGTCATGACCCCTCGGCGAATTTCGACCGGGTTTACACCCTTGTTGATGTTGTCGAAGCTCTCCTTGGCGATAGCGCGGGCAAGAACGGTGGCGCAAGTGGTTCCATCACCGGCTTCCTCGTTGGCCTTGTTGGCGACGTCCTAAATGTTCGGGTACGCGGGCTAAAAGCGAAAATATATACCTGGATCAGCTTGGCACCGAGATTTTGGTACTTGTCCTCGAGATCGATGGCCTTGGCGACGGTGACACCGTCCTTGGTGATCTTCGGGCTGCCCCAAGATTGCTCGATGACGACGTTGCGCCCTTTCGGTCCCATCGTCACGCCGACAGCGTCGGCCAACAGATCCACGCCGACGAGCATCGCCTTTCTGCTGTCGGAGCCGAAGCGTATGTCCTTGGCGTAGGTGCGGAAGACGCTTTGGCGAAACGCGGACGAAGCGAGTCGCAGCATTTTGTTACCTAAAAACGGTTAATCATTATTTATTACAGTCAATTCTTTGAACGAAAAACAAAAAGCATAAAGACAGGAGATAAAAAAGTGGAAAAAGATCGAAGCGGAAAAACCGAGAAGGTGAAATCGCGATCCGCTGAAGACAAATTTAAAAGGTCCCGCAGCGGAGCAATGAACGGAGCTTCGCGGAAAAAGTGGTGCTCTGGAGCATAATTTGTTTGTCTTTGCGGTTTTTTTCAAACATGATGCAATTTGCTTTCTTTCGAAACGCTTTCCCTTCTGCGATTGTTTCGCAGTTCAAAAAAAAATTCCAGGCAGCTAAGAATCCAAAATAATCGATCAATCGGCTATCATTAATTTATGTAAAAAAACTGAGGACTAATTTGAAAACTGACCCCGCCGCCGTTTTTTGTCCGGAGCGGAACAGGGCTGGCTCTAGAAATTTCTAGCCTTTTTGGTGCCCCGCCCCTCTCCTATCATTGGCTCTCTCGATTCTCCGGGCCCTTTGACCCCTTTGGCTGGCTTCTAGAAAGGCTCGGCAGCCACAGACTCTAACGGACAGGTTGTTATGTCAATCGGCATAGCATCAGTAATTTAGCAAAAAAATTAGCTTGTGCGTGGAAAATGTGGCTAAAAATGGCTATATTTTGCTTACGTTGAGGCGTCCTGCATTTCTCCTTAGCACCTTTTTTTGATGAGGGTTTTGAAATTAACGGCGTTGCCCAATATCTCTTTGTGAATCCCTTTTTTCTTCCTTGTTGATTTTTGCGAAAATTTCTTACATTTTGATTTTTCAGGTAAACACCTAGTTCTCACTTCGAAGATGCTCCTCACCTCAGTGCAACGCGCGGTAGTTTACTTTTTTTTTTATCCTTTACTGATAGTTAGGCCACTGGTGCGCTCAAGGGCTTCGCTCCGCTGTTCGATCGTGTTCTCGTCGAGAGGGTGGCGGCTGAGGTTCGTTATTTTGCCTTTGGCATGGCGTGATTTGTCGGCCGGATGAAGATTTTGATTTTTAGGTCAAAACGAAGGGAGGGATTATGTTGCCCGAGAATTCGAAGGCCAAGATTTTGGAGGCGACGGTAGTGGCGGCCGGCCCTGGAGCACGAAAGGAAAACGGCGATACGATCCCAATGAACGTGAAGGTCGGCGACCGGGTCCTCTTGCCCGAATATGGCGGCAGCAAGGTTGGATCTTTTACTCGAGTTTCTAAGATTAGAAAAAGCCCGTTTTGATGCGATCCTCGCTTTATGTTATCTATTCCCCGCATTTATATTCAACTTTTCAGGTGATCATCGACGACAAGGAATTCACGATCCTCCGGGAGGGCGATCTTCTAGGGAAATTCGACTAGATGCCTGCCGTTGCACAATCCTTCGTACTGGTCTCATTTTTATTTGCCATTCGGCTTACTCTTAGTCCTAGTTAAATTAGTTTTGCTATCTTCGGCCCTCGATGGCTTGCTTGTTGTTTTCGTTGTTGATTTGGATGGAATATGAAATAAATATTATGACGTACGACTGTGTAGTGTACAGATACAGGAAGAAATGGGTGGTGGGAACAAGAGACGCTCGCTCGCAAGATGATTTCATGTGATTTGCCTGGTAGAATCGAATTCGGGGAAGAATACAGGATGCTGAATCTTTTTGCATGTGTTTTCTCAAATAAAAGACAAAAGGATGTCAATTCAATCACTCCACCACTATTCAAACCGTTAGATCAACATGAGAGGTATCGGCCTCCTACTCGCATTCTGCTGCCTCGCCGGCCAGGTCGTCTCACAGGAGGAAGCGGATCCTGCGTTGAAATGTGCCAGGGAGCATGCTCAGGTAGGCCGCCGATGCTTCACCTCGAACGAATATCCACTAGGCGGTCGGAGGGCTGCATGGCTTTAGTGGCGCAATCGGCGTCGCCATCAACCTCGCCAGCCTGATCGTCGCCTGCCTGTCGCTGCGACGCGTCAAGGAGATTGTGGCCGCCTACGAAGTTGTCCCTTACCGGTAGAGTAGAAGTATCATTTTCTTCAATCTTCAGGACGCACGACTTGGCCAAGGCATGTGCCCGCGCTAGCATCGGCCCCTCGACGAAGAAGGTAACGCATTTAAAATTTACAAACGTTTGTTGTTTAGTCGGTGTTGGACGTGGCGCGCCAGGATGCCGAACTGAAGGTCGTCGTGCCGAAGTAATTCGTGACGTTTGCCTACTGCCACTGACACTCGACGGTCGTCGCCGCCCAAAACACCCCACACCTCATACCTATAACCCCCGGTCATTTCGTATTTCCCCTTCTCCACGCGCTTTTTCTATTTTTTTTTTGCTTTCGGAGTTGAGAATAAACTTTGCGCCACTATGCTTGATGTCACACAAAACTCGATATGAATCGGCCGTGTTTCTCGTGAACGTTGGTTTTGTGATGGTTTCGGGGACTATGAATTTGCGCAACTCTCGAACGAAATTGCGGAAGTAAGCTCGAAACAAACGAAGCTGCTTCTGCGTCTCATCTTTTTTACGTCTCTGTCTAGTTTTGCGAAGGTTTTTGCGCGAAATTTATAGTCCCGGTTTTTCATATTTTTGGTAATCTTGATTCCGACGACTGAAAACCCAACTTGACAACTTTAGCATAGCAAACTATCCTGGTGAAGCTTCACCGAGCTTCATTTTTGGCTGTAGCTTTTGGGCTCCATAGCGCGACTATGCGCGCCGGACTCTGGGGACTTTGCTGGCGTGTCGCAACGAATAACATACCGCGGCGAGGGTGCGAGAGGGTATCGCAAATTAGCGAGAAACGCCCTTTTTATTGGAAAATATATTGCCTTTAGGTTATATCGGTTCCCCGCCTCTCACGATCTTGTTTTTGATATTGCCAAGCCCCCGGTTTCCATTTGCGTGCCTTCAGTGCCCTTCAAACTTCATCAATTCCTTTCAGCGTGCAATCGATCGCGCACGATGGCCGACCCGGCCTACTATTGCCATCAATGCCAGCGGCAAGTGCGATCACAAGGCTCGGTGAGTTTTCTTGTTGGCTTTTGAAACGGGTAGTATTGGCCGGTGCTGGCAATTAGCAAATATCGAACGGGTTGCGAGGTTAATTAGCTTAATTTAGATTGTCAACAAATTTGTGAGATTGGTCAAACTATCTGCTGGCTCGACTCAAACTTTATTTTACGCTAAGGCGCGGCACTTTTTTTCCGTTACAGCATTCGTTATTAGTTCAAAGCGCTGTTTTCGGCACTAATCTTTCCTTGCGGCATTTGGTGATTTCCGTAATAACCGACCCCTTCTAACTCTCCTTTTCCAGGACTTGAAATGTGCCGACTGCGGCGGTGAATTCATCGAAGAGCTGACGAACAACCCATACTTCCAAGTGGTCCGGCACGCAGCGCCCCATGGTCACGCTCATGCTCATGCTCACTTGCCGCATGCTCATGCCCATGCTCACGGCCACTCCCACATGATCTTTCCTGGACCGCCCCAGGCGGCTACCGGTACGTCGTTTACGTGTTTATTTCGTAAGATCATAGTCGGGGTATTTGAGCTAGACTTTAGCCTAATTTTTCTAACGAAGCTGTTTAGCACGCCCGCCCGGCGCGTCTGCTTCACCGGGATTTACGTTCCATGTTCGACAACATCCGGCCCCTGCCGGCAATGCTCGTCAACGGCACCGCCCGATGCAACAGCGCCACCACAACCCGGGCCGGCTGCACCGGCGCAAGAGAACTCGTTAATGGGACTGATTGGACAGGTTTCTTTTTCTACCTTTTTGGTGAAAATTCCTGACTCAGTTGAAATACAAAAGGCTGCGGCATAAATTAAATTAGGCTCTAATGCTTTTTTGTAGGTGATGAACCAGATAACCAGCCATGTTACTGGCCGCGCCGCAAACCCGCCGCAGCAGCCACCGGCTCCTCGACAGCCTGCCCAGCCTCAGCCTCAGCAGGTCTGAATTTTGCTTTATTCGTGTCGCTGTCAGGGTAGCGATCGAAAGGTGTTTTTTTTTGCCTCGAACCCAGTTGTTTTAGCAACAGCAGGCGAACATTCCTCAAGCCCACCGCCCTCCGAATCAGCACACCTACCAGATCCCCGGCAATCGACGCGTCATTTTTGCGGGCGGTCAGCCTCCGGAAAATATGCTCGCGAACATCCTTGGTGGACTCGGTGGAGCGGTGTGTTTCTTTCTATGAGCCTAGGCATTTTTTGGACTGTAATAACGTTCGCTAGTTCAGTACGCGGCTTTTCGTTCCGAAACTCTTGTAATTTCAGGAAAACGTCACGCTGCACCTCAACATTCAGGCCCAGCCGGGTGCTGGCGGATCGGGGTATGCGATTTTCAAAAGCCATTTTATACCCGGTTTTCTCTAGTATGTTCGCTGGTAACATGGACTTGGCACAAGGCATCGACCTCGACCACATCGTCACGACGTTGCTGAATGGCTTCGACGGCCCGCCGCCGGCTGAAGGTACTTTTGCCGAGCATCACCTGTTCATTTTAACTTAGGCCTAACTGCCGCTGAAATTGAACGGATCCCCAGGGCGACGGTTACCCAGGCACAAGTCGACAACGAGACGCAATGCACGACCTGCATGGACACCTTCCGATTAGGTGAGAGCTGCGCAAGCGGTTTATTTTCATTCTGTTGGAAAAAAATGCGATAAATGAAAAAATGTTGAAAAATCGATTGCCGAAATCCGAATTTCCAATTTGTAAATTCATTTTTTCGAGCCACAAGCTGACCAAAGCGAAATTTGGAGCTAATTATATTGTACGCATCGAAATTCGACATTTGAGTAGCAAATCTCGCTCGCCTTGTTCATGTGACACCTTTTAGATGAACCGGTCCTTCAGCTGAACTGCAACCACATCTTCCACCGCGACTGCCTGGTGCCCTGGTTTGAGCGCCACCGGACGTGCCCAATTTGTCGTCAGGTGCGCATTAGCCCTTCAACCATTTTTTTAAGTTTAGGAAGTTGATTCGACTACTTGGCGCCCTCCTCCACCGCCGGCCGCCATGGACGACTACATGGACCTTGATTAGCCGGTGTGATTATACTACTCGAATTGGCGAGCAACGCCCTCCCCTAGTCATGTTGCCCCTACCCTGGTCCCTCCTCTGTTTTCCACCCGGCTTGTACAGATTTCGGTGTTTTTGATGTGCCCAGCTAAATCTTTTCGCCTTGTTTGCCGGTCGCTATGTTATTGTCATTTCTCCTCTTTCCTTGATTTGCCTGCTACTCCTGGGTCTTGATTTGTGATGGCCGGCATGTCGGTGACATACCTTCACATATTTTCGTCCCCTTCAGTGCCCTCGGTTTGGCCATCAGGCGGCTTTGCGACGGGAAATAAACGTTTTATCGAGAGCAACTGCCGCTATCAAACTTCAGACATTCGACTTGTTACGGCCATTATGCTATTTTGACACGAAAAATTATATTAATTTCTGAGCAATGTGCATAACTGAAAATGATGGTAAAGAAACAGACAGATCAATGAGCGACGGCCGGTCATGGCGGGGCGTCTACGAGGAGTTTTTGTGGACTCTCTTTGAGGATGCGCATTCCATCATTGCCGAGGTGATCAGCGGAATAGAGCCTCACGAACCTAAAACTGATCTATAGATACTGCGGCTTGCCGACGAAATCCCAGCAGCCCTGCGCGACCCGGCCAAATCTCGTTTTCGCATGGTGTTGGCCGATTTTTCCTACTTTGAGAAAAGCGACCATTTTGAAGCGGGATTCAGAGGGAATAAGGTAGGCTCGTCGCAAGTCGAAACAGCAAAAGAGCGAAAGTAAAGGTTCAGGTGTTTAGGAGCTCGATGATCTCTTCTACGACGAGCACGAGGAGCAACTCGGCCGCTTCGAGCAACTCTTCAACGCAATCGCTAATTTTATTCGAGGCTTTCAAGAGTGGGTTCCGGGGATATTATTTATTCGGGATTCAATTGTCCTGACTTTTGGTCAGCAAAGTTACAGATATTGCGAGCAGCGCGGGGTGAAGAAATTAACGGCTGGTTTCACGGGAAGTGGATCTCGGCCGAGAGCTCGAGGTATTATTTAATAAGGAAAACTACAGTGACAATCCTTCCAAAATTATGGGTGATGACCAAATATAAATTACGTTGCAGATCGAAACCTTGTCCCTCCTAGCACAATTACTTCTCCTCATCGATCGCCATTTTCCCGGGAAAACGGCAGAATATTTATTTGTGTCAATTTATCGGATAAGGTTTGCCGATAAAAGCCAAAAGTAAAAAGCCATTTTAGCGACGATCGGACAAACGTCGAATTCCTCGTCGACCTTTTGCGGGCTCGCACGGCTGCTGGTGACACGCTCTTTAAGTAAGGGCGTTAACATTAGCGACTTATCTTTATTTAGGCGCGTGAAATTGAACGCGAATTTTGTCCGGGACGCGATACGGGTTTTCGATTCCGGGATGTTTCAGGTCGGATTTTTGGAAGCAATTTTCGAGAACCTACAATTTAGACAAGCTCAAACTCGTTAGGGCGGTTGCGCACGAGGGCACCACAGGTGGGAAAAACTCAGGATTTCAACAATGTAAAAAATACATTCTAGGTGCTCTGCGGTTGCCTCTTCTTTGCGCCGTCCATCCTCAACGACGCGCAGCTGATGCGCAAATTGATCGACAACTATTTCCGGGAGCAATGGGTAAGCGAGGCCGGGGGAAATAAGCAGAAGACCATTGTTTGATTTGCTATTATAATTACGAAATCGATAACATCCAAATTTCATAAGGCCGAAAAATCCCAGAAAAAAATATTTCGACGGCCTAAAAATATGCTTATTTAGACAATGATTTAGGTGATCTCCTTGGGGATGGGGACTGTCGTCAACCTGTTCGACGAATGGGCCTCGTATAAAGGGGCTCAGGCGGCCCTCGCCGCTAATATGGATGTCATCAGGGTTCGTCTCCATTCTTTTTTTGCCCACATTCACATTCTCTAGGCCAAAGAAGTTGCGGGGAACAAGCTGAAGAGCCTGCGGGCCGTCGAGCTGCCCCAGGGCCAAATCGGGGCCGAGAAGCTGAAGCCGTGCATCGGGCTTATTGCGCAGTACAACGCCCAACTGCGCTGGCTCGTCCTCCATTCGGGCAAGTTTTTAAAAGGAGAACAGAAATGGGTACTTATCTTTGATGGGGGAGGGTTTTTTGTAGTGGATATATTTAAGCTAGAAAATACGCACTTTTTTCTGCTATTTTGCTGAAAGATGTGACAACAACGATTAAAAACCAACAAAAGGTCAAGTTTTTAGTGCTCAAAAATAACAAAATAACTGTTATAGCCACTAAATCTTACCACTTGGTAATGTAAAATTTCAATTGGCCTCCCCCTCGCTAAAATAACAGCTCCCCGGTGTAGTTGAAGCCTCTCGAAATTTTAACCTGGGGTCCCTAATTAAAAACTTTACTTTTTGATTGGCGTGCCCGAATTTTTCAACCAAAATTAATTCTTTAGAAGAAATAGTGATATATTCAGACGACAAGGGACTCGGGAAGAAAGCGCTGAGCTACGCGATCGCCGTCCAGACCGCCACCCAATTCCAGCTGCGCGCGCTGCGCGCCACACTGAGGATTGCCAACTTCGAGATTGAGTTTTTCAAGGTGGGTAGATGAGAGAAAAAGCGACAAAAGATGGGGAGAGCGAAGAGAGCAAGAATGAGGCCCTTACGCTAAGGCTTAGGTTTATAAACTCACTCTAGACCTACCACGAATACCTTGGCCAAAAGGACGAGTCGATCCGTCGATTGACAGCCTCGGCCTGTGAGATGTTGGGCGAAATAGCGGCCGTCTTCAGCCAGGGTTTTGCCTCACTGCGTGTCGAGAAGAAAAGTGGGTACACTTACGCATAGGCTGCTTAGGCCTCACCTAGGCCTGGGCTTGGCTAGGCGTAGCCTTATGCCTTTTCTAAGGCATAGGCTTTGGCTTCATCTTAGTCTCAGGCTTCTTAGACTTATGTTTGACCTTTTCAGCCAAACTCCACGATTGGTTACTGGTGCTCCAGAAGACGCTGGCGGATGCCCAGCCGAAGACGCCGGGCGAAGGCGCCGAGCTGGCCAAGCACGTAAAACGCCGCATCGTCCAGGTAGGAATATTGAGCGTAGGCTAAGGTTTAGGAGACCACTGATTTCGCATCCAATCCTAATCCGAACCTTTTTTAGGTGGGCGAAATGCTGGACCTGGGCGGGAATTTGGCCATGGCGCAGTATTTGGAGAAGGTAAGCGATGTGAAAGGCTAGCAAAGATCCTTTGGGAAGGGGCAGGCTGGCAGAGGTTCTGAGGAACATACCTAAATTCCAGATCGGAGTTGAACTCGACGCGCTCGCCGCCGCGCACCAAGTCAGCCCGGGTGAACTGCGCCGGGCCGAGACATCCGCCTGCTCTGCGTACGCGTGGGCAATAGTCGGTAGGTGCTCACAGTCTTGTGTAAAATCGGAACTCTAGACACATGGTCTCCGCAAGTCGAGAAGCTGCTCGTCGAGTCGAGCAACAGCGCCACGGTCCGCGCCCTTTTTCATAAGGTAGTCGAGGCAATGGCAGGCTAGCAGAGATTAGTGTGGACAATACTTTTTTCAGCTCTCGCTAGCGGTGACGAACTTGTCAAACGACTTGCACACGGAAGAGCGTCGGAAGATGATCGCTGACGCGTATTCTGCGCAGCTCGAGAAAAGGTTGCGGTGGGTGAAATTAGCCTAAGCCGGTGTCTATCCATAAGCACAAGGCTAAGCCAAAGCCTAAACTTAAGCCTAAGGCAATGGTGAAGCCTCAGCCTAAACCAAGCCTACATAGATGACGCTATTTTAGGAAAATCGTCCAATCGGTGCCACGACATCTCTTTGTTCTGCTTCGGGATAACGTTGCAGCACTACTGGAGACTGAGTGGCCAGCACAGATTTTGAAGGAAGAGGTGAGAGAGAGAGAGAGAGAGAAAGCAAACCTCGATCTTAGGCTAAAGAAATGGCCGACTTCGAGAGCAACTTCAAGCTGGCTGAGGCGACGTCGACCATCTCGAACATGAGCGTCGGAATTTCGAGGATGTCGCTGACAAGGGGTAGGCTAGCAGGAATTTATGCGGAAACTTTCTTCTACAGTCGGCACACTGGAGGTGCGCCCTCGCGAATTGCTGACCGAGGGGATCCGAGCTGAGCTACGAGCACGACTCCCGGAAGTGATGGTTGTGAAGGAGAGCGGATTGCGGAGTTGCCTGTCCTACCTCACGAAAGCGCTGCATAGCTTGCACACGTCGTTCCTCTACCTGTGCGAGCATATCGATGTGGCTGGGCATGAGATGTGGAGGAATGAGGTGGATTGGGTGTTTCTGGTCCTCTCTCTCTCTCTCTCTCTCTCTCTCTCTCTATCTATCTAATCAGTGATACTTTCCAGTTAACCGGTTGTCTACAACGGATGGCCGAGGAGGAGATGACCTCCCTAATAGCTCAAGAATCGCTAAAGGTAGAGTGACACCTGCTAATCATACTTTTGCCCACTCCAGGGCAAGAACGGCCGATCAACGACGTTGAACCCCACCACGGCACTCGGCATAACCACCCAGATGCTGCTCAGCGCATCGTCGCCCAGGTCAGTATACTTGTCAAACGATCTCTGCCAGCCTCATTTCCTCAAGATTCTGCCAGCGCTTCCAAATTCAAAACCCGATTTCAGTACGACACGCTACTGTGAGGCCGAGATGAGCTGGCGAGAGCTGAAGTCAAATCGGGAGATGTTGACGAGCAATGAGGCAAATGGGATTGAGGTGGTCTCTCTCTCTCTCTCTCTCTCTCTCTCTCTCCGCTCTCTCTAATTCTCTGTCTTTTTTTCAGGCCTGGGTACCATCAGTGGCCATCGATTGCATCGATCGTCTCCTATGCTCGATCCAGGAAAGGTCGATCCGGAATTCTGTAAAGGATATTTCGGTAAGAGATTCTTTCCGAAAGAGAAGGAGGAGACTAGCAGATATTCTTTAAGAAAGGGAGTGTTTGAAACATTCAACCTTTTAGAGTATCCTCTCCAACTTACCAACCTTTGCCCTCGACGAGACGTTCTTCAAGTCAAAGATTTTTGATGTCTTGCAAAAGGCTACTGCCGCTCAGACCGGAATGCACGCCGACTTGGCAAAGGTCGGTCTGTTCTCTATAACTCTCTCGCTCTCTCTCTCTCTCTCTCTCTCACTCACTCTCTCTCTCTTTCATCATTCTTTTACAGGTGGGTCAATGCGTACTCTTGCGTACCCTCCTCGGGCAGTCGCGGCGTGAGGGTGCCACACTCCGAACGCCAGCTCTGGCAGCCGCTCTCGAGTCGGCAAATCGGTCGGTGTGCCCAGGCCCAGACTCCTCGACTTTAAGGAGAACCTTACAGATGCTCACTTCTTTTCAGCTCCGCCCTCTCGACCCCAGAAGCCTTTCCGGAAGCCGCGCTCGAGCTGCTATGTGACTTGCTGCGCGGGAACGCACACGTGCGGCCCGCGCTTACCAAGTTTCAGGGGATCAAGGTTCGGAAATTTTCATACAGAACTGAACTGCTCGAACAGACCGGATTCTAAATTTTAAACCGCTGTTTTTCTAGATCCCGACACACACGGCGTTGGTCTTGTTCAGCACCTGCCTCGGCCTTTCCCAGCGTTTCCAAACAGGTATTTCCCCCTAAAGGAACCGACAACCAAAAATTCAGGCTCGAAGTTGTGCCCAGCCAGCCTCCTTGCCGGCTTCCAAGCTTTTGCGCATCAATTCGGTTTGGAGCTGGAGGTGCTGGCCATCGCCCGTCTCTTCAACGACTCGATCAGGGTCAGCATGATCGCTTTAAAGGAGCAGGGCACTCTCTTGATTTCAATTTTCAGGTTCAAATCCAATTTCAGACCGCCCAACCGCTCGCCAAACTGCCCGCCCACTACGTGAATATCCTGTCAACGGTTGAAGGGGTCCTGGAATAGGGCAGAACCTTGTATACGGTATTTGTATAGGGTTGTGATTATTGTGCCATACGTGCTTTGAAATATATTTATTGCTGTATATTGCCGGAAATGGATAACATGAATGAACTATCGGGAGAGAGAAAGAGAGAGAGAGAGAGAGAGAGAGAGAGAGAGAGGGTGAAGATGAAAAAATGCCTGCTAACCTCCGTAGCAACCGTAACCGTAACCTTTTGAACACCTCCGGCTTGAACGGCTTGCCAAGCTTGCAAGGAAACTTTTTATGACGTAAAGCCAGGCAATCTGGCAGATATTATCGAGGAGTTTTGTCGCTTCCGTGTCCCTTTAAAGAGAAGGTGTTCAAATGGTGCCTTCCGTAGGGCTGTGATGGGCGGTCGCATAATAAATGGGTTGCTGACAGGGCTGGGCGGTGATCGCAAAGAGGTAGAGTGTAGGCAGGCGAGAGAGTGAGAGAGAGAAAGAGAGAGGGCATTGCACCACGAATAAAAGACATCAATCCCACGCCTACGGCCCCGGCGAAACCCAAATTTTTGTGCTGGAGTGATGCCCTCTCTCTCTCTCTGCCTTTCTCTCTCTCCTTCTCTCTCTCTCGCTCTCCTTTTCCTGCCTTGAAGTTCCAGGTTTCTGAACTTGCCCAATCTTTTGCCAACGAAATCGGCCTCGGCTGGCGGCTCGAGTGAAATTGTTCGCCGGCGAGAGAGCAGGGAAAAATAGAGACCCAGAGAAGCAGAGTGACAGGTCGAGAGAAACGAAGAAAAGGAGAGAAAGGGGCCCACGGCCCGGCCTGAGCGACAAGGTAAACATTTTTTGGAAAGTCGAGACGCCCGGGATGCCATTTCGCGGCCAGCCCCCCACCATTGGTCTTTCTGAGGTTTTTCACCGGGCTTTTGGACTCGAAATTTGGCCAGGCTCCTCAAGAAATGATATTCCAATAGCTGTTGGCCATAGATTTCCTAGAGAATCGCTGCTGGCCTGTCTGCCGCCTCGTTGCTTTCCGGCGCGACCGGATTCCGTTTATATAGACCCAGCTTTTCCGGCGCCTTTAAAAACAAGCAAGGCTCGCGAGGCTTTCGTTTATATACAGTCGGCCCCGGGCCGCTTCTGCCCTCGAGGCATTTTTGAGCACGAGGCATTCGGAATGTTTATCTCCTTGCCCGGTTGGCCTACTCTTTTTCTCGTCGCCCGACCGTCTGCTAAATAGCGGAGCCCGGGTTGTCTGCAGCTTATCACCGCGGTTTGGGGGGCTATTTTGGTCCTTAGAATGGCAGAGTAGCAGAGGTTTTTTGGGAGGGCAGGCTAGCAGAGCTTCTTTGGGAGGAGTCCTAAGCCTAAGGCTAAGCCCAAGCCTAAGCCAAGTCTAAGCTTAAGCCTAAGCCTAAGCCTAAGCCAAGTCTAAGCTTAAGCCTAAGCCTAAGCCTAACCCTAACCTAAGCCTAACCTAAGCCTAGGGGTAAGCATAAGCATAAGCCTAAGCCTCAGCCCTACTCTTCTCAAGGAGAGCACCTAGGCCCGCTCTCTTTAGATTGGCCACCCCTGCACCCGAGCGAGCGCTTCAGCGCCAAAAAATTGTTTTTGAGGGGCGCGGGTCTTCTGGAAGCCCCCCCCCCACCCTCACTATCAGTTCGTCTGATAATAAACGCGGGGGATCAGTGCAGCAATAGGGGGTAAAGAGGAGCGCCGTGGAACTTACAAAGCCCCCCGATTCCGGAGAGTTTCCCCCATCGCAATCCGGCATTTCGGCGAAACTGGTAGGGCTTCAGGCGGCGGGTCTAAAGTCCGGGCCTGGAATTGCGGATTCGTGACTCTCAAATTGGCTTGGTCTCAGTAGGTCTCTGCTAACTTACCCGAGCTCTGAAGCTATCCGAAGCGGTTTGTGATAGCTTTCTTCGGCTTTAAACGCTCATAAATCGTCTCTGCTCGCTTGCCTTGACGGCAGTTATGCTAGTTTGCTTTCTGTTACTGCCCGTGCCCGTGCTTCAACCTGTTTTCCCTGGGGATCTATGCTAGCCTGCCATCCCTAAGACTACAGTACTGAAACGCTGTCCTCTCCATAGTTTGTATCATGTCCTATTGGATGCCCATCGCTCCGATCATCGCTTGGGCAGCTGTTGCTCAGCCCTCGGCGATTTATTGCCCCAGGTTGCCCTTGGGGGATCCTTATTTTCTCACCCGATTCCTGAGATTCGGCCAGCACTCTAAAGGCGGCCTTTTCTATCAAACCTTTTCCAAAAGAATATCTGCTAGCCTTCCCTCTCCTAAAAACCTTTGCTAGGCTGCCGAATCCTGCAGAATCTCTGCTAGCCTGCTCTTACCTAAAAAATCTCTGCTAGCATTTTCTTTAGCGAATGCCGTACTTATCGACCGATTCGCCGCCTGACTCTGAATTCTATCTGCAAAGTCCATTTTCTCTCAATTTCTGCGTCCCCAGCGGGGGTCCAACGTTTGCCAGTCGATTTTGATAGGAATCTTTGGACCGTCTGCGTCTTTTCCCACTCCGCATCTCTCTCTCTCTCTCTCTCTCTCTCTCTCTCTCTCCTATTTTTCTCTCACCTCGAGAAAGCGAGAGTTCCTCCCTGCCCGCCGTTTCCCTTTTCTGCCACTTTGTGAATCGACGCGCCAAAAAAATATGAGCGCTTGGTTGCATTTTTGGAGGGTTTATATCTTGTCGATATCGTTTCATTTTTTATCTAATTAAGTACCGTGCCCTCGGGCTAGACCTAGGCCTAGGCTTAGGCTTAGGCTTCGGATCAGGCTTAGGCTTAGGCTACACTCCTTTAACGCGCGCGCTTCCTACCGTATCCCACATCAAAATAATCCCACAATTCCGTTCTTTTTTCCTCTCCTCCTTATCTCGCTGATCTACTTGCACAACTTTTTCTACCCAGTTCCCCCCACCCCAATCGGGGCGTTAAACCAGTTTTTTTTCGGGCGGGAGGGCGAAATCGACTCTCGATCTCGCGGTTCTCTCAAAAGTTAGTGCTCCCTCGCCACATCGGGAATTCTACTTGCTGGAAAGTTCCTTTGAAATTATTTGTTCTCTCTCTCTCTCTCTCTCTCTCTCTCTCTCTCTCTATCTCTCGCTCACTCTCTCTCCATTTCTCTATCTATATTGCTCCCTTTCGAAATATAGAAGCAGGCAAGAAGAAAGCCAGTTAGCACTCCTCTTCAAAAAATCGCACCTCAACCCCAACCTTCCCACGACTAGCAAAGATTCCCGCGGCGCGCTACGTGCCATTGTGACATTTGTCCGAGTGTCTGCCTCTCACAACTCTAGCAAGTGTCTACGCCCTACACCTATCTCTGTTCTCTCTCTCTCTCTCTCTCTCTCTCTCTCTCTCTCTCTCTCTCTCGGCTGGCCTTTTTTGTGCCCGAGAGACAGCCGATGCTCGGGCTGATACGGTTTGTCTGTCTGTTTGTGTGTTTTCCCCGTCTATCTGTCTGTCCGATCGCGTTCACCATAAACTCAGAATCCATGTGGCTTGTGTATAAGTGAGTAAATTTGTCAGAACGGGCCTAAACGTAAGCCAAAGCCAAGCCTACGCCTAAGCCCAAGTCTAATAAAGGTCCACACATCCGCCAGTCTGTCTGTCTGTATGCCTGTCTGTCTGCCTATCTGTCACCGACCATGATTGTCAATTTTTCCCTGGGAACCCGAGCAGCAGCTACTTTCAGTTTCCATGCCTGGAGCGCGCCGGTTAGCGCCTGGGAAAATGTCTAGTGTTGCGTTTACTAGGCCTAGGCTGAGGCAGACTTAGGCTGGGCTTCGGCTTTGGCTAGTCTTCCGATCCTACCGTAATCTGGTAGCACCGGGAAGTTGCTGGTAGCCTGTGCTAAAAAGTTCTGCAAAAATCTCCCAAAAAACCGACGGAGGCTAGACGGACTTTGGTTTTACAGCCATCCCCGCATCGAATTTACAGGTAGCCAAAAGCGCCCCGACTAGGCAGTTTTACTACTCCCTCCATCCCACCAAATTTCGTGCTGATATTACTGCTGATAAACGGCCGTGGGCCACGAAAACAAGGAGCTGATGAGGAAATTTTGGGAGGGGGCTAGGTGCCAAGGCCAGGAGGCCGTCCTGAGCCTAAGCCTATCGATATGGCCGATTTCTATGGCCGACCTCCTCTAGCCTGCGCCTAAGCCTATCGATATAGCTGATTTCCATGGTCGACCTCTGTTAGCCTCAGCCTAAGCCTAAGCCTAAGCCTAAGCCTAACCTAAGCCTAAGCCTAAGCCTAAGCCTAAGCCTAAGCCTAAGCCTAAGCCTAAGCCTAAACCTAAGCCTAAGCAAGGGGATTTCCTAAATAATCGCTGCATACGCGCCTTGACTTGGGCGTGGTGTGCGCGTAACGTGCCGGTCCAAAACTTCTGAAACTTTGCTCGGCCCTTTAAACAATCTGATTACTTGCTAACCTGCATTTTCGGAAATGATCTCGGGAATGATCCACAGACGACCATCGAGCGACCTTTGTTCCCAATATTCCCCGGCCAATTCTTGTCATTCACAAAATACATCGTCTATCCGCTTCCAAAAACGTGCAACTCGAATAGCAATATTTTGCATTAAACTTTATGAGAATTCCGGGGTGGAGGGCCGGATATTGTTGTCGGGTCGAAAAGTATTGTGGGAGCCGCCCCATTCCCACACAATTCTCGGACAGATCACGATATTGCAACAGCATCAGACATCCGCGTCATCAGCGCGAGTTTCACGTAGAATTCGCAAAGCAACTTTGCTAGCTTGCCCTAGATCACTAGGTTTAGGATTTGCATAAGCTGCGGCTTGGGCTTAGGCTTTCTCTGCCTCCTTAGCTTCTCTCCCCCTCTCTCTCTCTCTCTCTCTCTATCGCACGCCCTCTCTCTTTTTCGAAAGAACCATGACTGACACAATCCCTTTAAACCCTGAAATAGACTGCCAATTTTGCGTTGTATAGTATCATAACTTTGCATGAAGAACCTGGAGGGCAGACGTTTCAAACCTCGGAACACGGCTGCGGGCCCAAAACAGGCATAGATTAAGCCGTCGGCTGGGGGGATAAGCCCTGGAAAATTGAGGCCGCAAAAAATAGGCCTTAATCCGCCCCCGGAAAATACTGCAACAAGAGCCGGAAAAAGTGGGGGCGGCTTCTGGAAGGCGAGATACGAATTTCGAAATCTAGGCTTAGGCTCAGGTTTAGGCTTAGGACTTTGCTTAGGCTTTTGCGTAGGCTTAGTCATCGGTCAGGCTTAGGTTTAGGTGTCGGTTAGGCTTAGGCTTAGGCTTAGGCTTAAGCTTAAGCTTTGCTTAGGCTTTTGCTTAGGCTTTCAGCATCCAACAACCCTACTTTATTATGACCAATTTCCGAGACGTTCCACTGCCAATTTCTATCGCTAAAATCCATCATCGTCGGGGTGCCCGGCCCCGCGGTTGTGCGCCCGGGTGATCAGATAGGAAATCGATCCCAAAAACGGGCGAGCGCCACGGCATCCGCCATACAGCCGGCGGTGGCCTTGAAATCTTATTTTTACGTGGTACTATCCAGCCATCTCCCCAAATCTTTCTACCCTTTCCTAAAGAATCACTGCTAGCCTTCCAAAAAAAGCAGATGCTGCACGTTGCGCAGCTAAAGTCTAGCTAGGGCTCCCCCCGCTTCTTTTCGATCTCCAGCCCTTCAAAGGTCAGCGGCCCGTAAAAAAGTGCATTAGCTATGTATGAATTGTATCTCTCTATCTGCCCTCTCCTCTCTCTCTCTCTCTCTCTCTCTCCCTCTCTTTCTCTCTCTCCCCGCCCATTCACGTTCTCAAGGGGCGGAAAATTGGCGTTTTTTTGGGAAAGTTGATCCCAATTTCGGGGACCACCCAGGCAGTCTGAGGGCCTATAGGAGCCTCCCGGAATGCATGCCCCCGGCATTTTTTCGGCCACTTTTTTGGACGTCGGCTCTTTCATATTCACGAGCTGGGGCTGGTGGTCCCTTCCACCTACTGCGGCCCGAATTGGTCGACATCAATTTCCGGGTTTAAAGGATGCGCGCAGCCTAGCAGTGATTCTTCAGAAGCTGTAATATACCCATATGTAAGTAGTACACCCGTTCTGCCCCGTTTTTACCATTTACATAGCGACTGCCGTGCCTGCATTGAATTTTACCGAACCGATTTTTTTGCGCGTAGCCCGTTCCACCGTCTCCCGAGCACGAGCTACGGCGACGAGCACCCGACGACAGCCCGACTCCAAAAACTATGCTAGCATGCCTAGCATGGCTAGTCTAGGTCATTTTGTATCCATTTGTTCGCCTAGAACCGTTCACCGGGGCAACCTGGCACCTGAAATTTTCAAGTTCCGATGGGCTCCAAATTACGCGGCCGACGCAGACAAGGTAATTAGGGACTTGCAGCGGGCCTGAATTAAACGTGTAGCCTAGGGGCAGAGCGAAAGGCGGATACGATGGGGAAGAGAGGCTAGCAGAGATTCTTTTGGAAATGGCAGGCTAGCACAGTTCTTTCGGACCATCAGCAACCACAACTGAGCCTGTCCAGCCGCCTTTAAAGCCACTTTCCCCGGCCACAATACCCTGTTTATTCGACTGCTCCCCCCGCCGAAAGAGGCGTGGCCATTGTTTGTCTGTCTGTGTGTCTGTCTATGTTTGTCTCTCTGTCCACCCGATAGGCCACGCCCCCTTTCACCCCGAGCATCGGCCGGAGCGCCGCGTAGACCCCTGGGAGCCGGGGCAGCAGCCGGGCGCCTGCAGACCAGTTGAACTTTTCGGCGTTTTCCGATATATTTCGAGCTTTCGGGTAGCATTAATGCTAGGAATATCTGCCAGTTTGCCTGCTTCGATCCATAAAGAACCTTTGCTAGCCTACCTTTCCTAAGGAATCTCTGCTAGCCGGCCTTGTCCTTAGGAACCTCGGCCCCTATCCCTTTTCTCCATCCGTTCGGAGTACTGTTGCGTAGTGACTGATCCGTCCTCCCGTTCGAATGAGAGGGGGGTGAGGGGGTCTACTTATCAGTCGTATCTCACGATTTTTTCGGCTTTTCCCCCGCCGGCTTTCCATCACAACCCTCCCCCCATCCGCTTCTCCCTCTCTGCGTCGACTTTCAGGTTTCACACGTACCCCCCACAGAGTGTCGATAGGAAAATCGTAGCCCCCAACACGCCTCGGGCTCAATCAATTTATAGGCAGGCGCCTGTTCTCTGCACTTGCGGCAGGAGAAGCGCGGGTATTTCTGTTTCTCTCTCTTCTCTTCTCCCTCTTCTCCTCTCTCTCTCGTTCTATATCTCTCGCTTCCCCCTTGCGCACCCGGTACCGTCACTCCACCAATTTTTGAGCATCAAAAAGAAAGCCTAACCCTTTCCTGAAAGATTTCTGTGGGCCTACATCGAACTTCAAATGCCTTGCCTGGTCCTTTAAGACTCTGAAACGGTAGGGCAGGCTAGCAGTGGTTCTTAAGGAGAGAACAGGCTTGCAGAGATTCTTTAAAATCCGTAAAAATCAACCTCCTGGGCGCCCCTATACTGTTTATTTGTGCATGTCCATGGCATGGCAATGTTTCGTAGCCTGGTGTGGATATGGCTCTCTGTGTTTTTTTTTTTTCTCTCTCTCTCTCTCTCTCTCTCTCTCTCTTCTCTATTCGTCCAAGGGCAGCCGAGGGCTCTCCGGATCGATTCGCTGATTGGGGGAAAGGCCGTTGTGTTGCCCAGCTCCAGCAAACAAAATTTTTTCATTCGACTTTCAAATAAGAAGAATATTGTTTGGATTCTAATTCAATTCTAATTTTTATTCCACAGAATCATTATCAGCCCGAAGTTTCCTAAGGAATCTCTGCTAATCGAATTCTTCATCGTGCATCAATGCTCTTTCACCTCCTGGGTATGCTAGGCCTAAGCCTAAACTTACGCCTAAGCCAAAGCCTAAGCCTAAGCAAAAGAAGCATAAGCGCGGCCAGGCAACTTTCGTGAATCGGCAGGTTAGCAGAGGTTCTTTTGGACAGGCAACCCTGCCGGGATTCGACCGGAAATTGTCGTTTCTCGTCATTTTCTGCAAAATTTTCTGCAATTGCAATTTTTTCGGGGTTTGCCGCCGCGTCATTTCCATAGAATGCAAACGAAAATACCGCGGGCGTTGCGGCCTTTTCATCGCTTCGTCACACCCCTCAAAACCAATTCAATTTTTGGCCTTTCCAGCGGCATTACTCATTTTTTCTATGCGGGTCCGAAAATTGACGTTTCTCATTTATTTTCGGGTGTTTTGATTTTTGTAGCACAAGTGAAAATAGTGTGTTTTCCTATTTAAAGGTAGTGAAAATAGATAACCAGTCGATTTTCAGAGGAGCGGGCAGACGACGGGCGACAATGACACCGTACGCCCCAGCCGCAGCACTGCCACTGCCCCGCGTCTGGGACCCACTCCTCGAGTACGTCACATTCCATTACGTCGAAAGATCGGGTTTTTGGAAAGGGCGCGCTAGCATAGATTCTATGGGAAAGGGCAGGCTAGCAGAAATTTTTTAGGAAATGGCAGGCTAGCAGAGATTCTTTAGGAAAGCGCAGGTTAGCAGAGATTCTTTAGGAACCTATTTTCCATTCATCACATTTCCAGAGTGATCCAATCTCATCCCCGTTATGAGGAGCCGTTCGTCCGCTGCATCGGCCAGCTCTTCTATGGCGAAGGTCCACTCCGGGTGCAGGAGCGTCACTATGTCGCATTAATGGTAGGTTTTTTGCGGGCTTTTCAAGCGAGATGTCGCTCTGCCTATAAAAGTAATTTTTTATTCCCCCAATGTAGGGCATAATCAGACAAATCTCGTACTCGAATTATGTCTGCTCAAATCGTTGAAAGTCACGGACCCTAACGCCCGACGATTGTCGCCTTTTTGCGGTGTTATTCGGGCTTTTCTTGTGATTTTTCAATTTTTCCGCGCTGCTACGTTGGCCAATCAAAGCGTATGTAGGCTCATATCGTACTCGAGGTCATTTATGGTTTTTTTACCGAAATGGTCAAAACTAAGATAGAAATAGAGGTTTTCTGGGGTTTGCCGCTGTTCCCGGCTTTTTCGGCGTGTTTCAGGTTTTCCGCTTAGCTACGTTTACGTTTTCCGTTTTTATGAATTCCGGTATTAACAAAAAAAATCTCCGGAACTTAATAACTTATCACGCACTTAAATACCCGAAAACCCGAGTTCCCGTAGTTTTTCGGCAGTTTTCGATCAACCTTCGTGCCGCAAACAAGTCACAGAGCAACTGTAATTAGGCGCTTATCGTACTGTAATTTCCGTTAAATCGCTGAGCTCCGCCATTGGTACGTGGGGGTGTACGTAGCTAGGAGGACGGGACTCGCCTCCTTCCTCTCGGCTCCTCGATCCATACGCCAGGGCATAACCCACGCTGCGTCTCTGCCCCCTTTCCCCGCTCTGCGTCTGTTTAGCTCTCTCGCTCTCTCACGCGCTCTTCTCCCTTTCTCTCTCTCTCTCTCTCTCTCTCTCTCTCTCTCTCTCTCTTGCCTGCCAGTCTGGGCGCCAGCCCACGGAAAAGAGCAGGGGCCGACACCCACACAACGTTGTTTGGGGGTCAATTTTTTACGGGGATGGAAATTGTCAGGCTTAGGTTTAGACTTAGGCTTGGGCTTAAGCTTTGGCTTAGGCTTAAGCAGGTTTACACAAACAGGAAGTACCCAGTTCGGCCTCTCGAGAAGCCCCTTTCATAATCCTAGCCCCTAGCGAACTTGCTGAGTTGCCTGAGGGACTAATGCCCTTACCCCAGGCAAGCGATCGGAGACGCTTGATCACACGAAAACACAAAGAGCAGCCCACACACAGGGTCTTCCCACGACTTTTCGAGTGTGCGAAATGAGTAGCGGAACAAACGCGTTGGGTCTGTATGTATGTCTCTCTCTCCCGCTCTCTCTCTCTCTCTCTCTCTCTCTCTCTCTCGCCGTCCATCTCGGTATATATATTTGTGTGTGTAGGCCCAGCGCCGCTCCTCCGCTCTTCTCAGGGGCCATTCTTTCGAATTTTTTGTTGGTGACTGCTCAAAAGTCGAGGCCGAGAGAGAGAGAGAGAGAGCGGGAGAGAGAGCGGTAGAGAGAGATGAGAGAGAGAAAGAGACCCTCTGCGTCTCGGTGATGGTCAATATTTTGGGGAATGTCCCCGTCGGCTCCTTGCACCTGACAATGATATGATTGGGGGGGGGGATTTTTGAGTCCCTTCGGGAATACGCAGAACTAGATCATCACGATGGATCTGAAGATTAAGCCCACACCAACGCCTAGCCTAAGCTTAAGCCTCAGCCTAAGCCTGCCACAGCTGACGCGCTCCCTTTAATATCGTCTGTGTTTTGGTTTAGCCATCCTCGCATCGGGTCCGGGCCATTTGCCTCGCCGCAAAATGGGCTCTTTTTGTGAAGCGCCGGGCAGGGGGTGAACGATCGTCGGCTTCCGCAGCCTAGTATTTTATGTCTGTATGCCTCTCACTAGTTCCCGCTCTTTCTCTCGCTCTCTATCTCTCTCCCCAAAAAAATCGGCTCCTCGTTGACTTTCGGAAACCGGACCCTCGACCCCCGGGTGCGGACGGGGTGAGCTGAATTTTGAATTGCTACCAACGTCCGCGGACAAAATTGGCCCAAAAATGTGGGCTTTCAGCGCGGGGGACGCGGTTAGACTACATACTCCACGAAATGTTTAATCTCTGATCCCTCTGGGCGGCCAGGCGCCCGGATTTTATGTATTCTGCTGTACAAACGATCCCCTCGATTGGCGCGACATCCCGATCGGAATTTACGCCTATAAATGGGTGTCTGGGGCGAGAGAAAGAGAGAGAGAGGGAAAGAGAGGTAAGCGAGACAGAGATAAGTAATACCGCTGTTAAATTACAAATGAACTTATTGAGAACTAGTGCAAAATCAGCAAGGCTGGCTAGCAAAGATCATTCGGAAAAAGGCAAGCTAGTAGAGATATGGCGAGAATTTGCGAGGGACCCGATCTACCTGGTCGGGTTCTCACGCCGGAACCCCCGCATGATTGGGTGCTTCTGCATAAATGTTTATTCTGGGTGCATTGCGTCTCTCTCTCTCTCTCTCTCTCTCTCTCTCTCTCTTCTCTCGTTCTCACTCCAGCATATTTGCCCGCCTAAGCGCTATCGTCCCCGGTTAATTTGCATGCGGGCGAGCCGTGCGAAAAATCGGTACTCGTCGTTGATAACGGGGTTACCGTGCCTGGCAAAATTCCGCTTATCCAGGGTAATCTCCGCTAGCCGGCCTCAACCCCAATTAAACGGAGGCTGACACCAGAAATTGCGCTCCTGCTACAGTAGTGCGGAGATAATGAGGGGATTACCCTGGATGGTGGGAGAAGTCAAATGGCTTTTCGGGGGGGGGGGGGGGGGGGGTGCATCGCGAGATCGGATTAGCATAAGGCGAGCTCCCATCGGCCTCCCATCGGCTAATTATAGCAAAGCCCCGCGGGGGCAGACCACAAATAGCTCGATGGCACATTTTCGGGCTCGCGTGCCGGAAACGGGATTCTGGAGAGGGGGATGAGGGAGGGCTTTGTACTTCTGGAGGGCATGCTAGCAGAGATTCTTTAGGAAAGGCGGGCAGACTTTCACTCGAAATGGGTCCAGGGATTTTTTTGGAAAACCACTGGCGAAAACGATGTGGTTTAACTACCTTTAGGGCAGGCTAGCGGAGATTTTTCGGGAAATTACTTGGAGGTCAACTGCAGGTTCCCCAGGCTCTCTCGCTCTCTCTCTCTCTCTCCTCTCTCTCTCTCTCTCTTTCTTTTTCCTTTTCCCACAATCAGTCCGATCATCGGCGTCGCCCTGTATATATTTATCTGTCTGTCCGTCTGTCTGTCCACACCGGCCAATCGTAGTAACAAACCCATCAATCGCCTATCCGCCCCGACCCGCGGTGTCTGTGTCTGCACTTTGGCTCGGCGACGTGCCCCCAGGGCACAAAAAGGATCAATGGAACAGAGAACTAATAAGTGTCTCACAGTCCTAAAACTCCAGTGCTAGCCTGCCCTTTCCTAAAGGATCTCTGCTAGCCTGCCCAGTGGTCTCTGGTCAGCGAGTCAGTCCCGTATAGTTAGCCCGGGCACTCGAACCCTGATGTTTGCCGACGGGTTGGCCAGACTGGGGCGTGCCGGGACTCGGCCTAAAGGGATGGTGCCAGCCAGATAGATTAGGCTTAGGTTCAGGCTTAGGCTTGGGCTTAGGCTTAGAAGCAGTTAACTCCGGACAAACTGCCAGATATTCAAATAAACAGACATACTTCCGCGCAATTTTATGAGCCATTTCCCCGGGCCTCCCTTTCCTTCAGGAAATGCCCGAAAGGCGTAAACAGCAGTCGAGCGGAGCGGAGCCTGGGGTGGCTACGCGACGCTTCTATTTCCAGGGCGGGGGGGGGGGGGAGGAGAGAGAGAGGAGAGAGAGAGAGAAAGAGAGAGAGAGGCAACGTATGGCTAATGAGGGACACCCTCCTTTCCACCCTCCCAGGGGCGCTTTTGGTTATTCAATATATGGACTTTGGTCGTCAGCAGCGCAGCCGAGTGTACTTTTAGCAGGGAGCCCTCTTTTAAAGGGGACGGGAAGGCGGAAAGACGGCAAAATCCTGATGGAAAGCCAGCAGAGAGCCACAGGGAAATGTCGCGGCTCTGGCAGACCAGCGGGGATTATTTTGGAATCGCCTCGAGCCCCATCGATGAGGGTGCATATCATCGATGGGAGACTAGCAGCGATCATTTGAGGTAGAATTCACTCGAGGACGGCGAGGTAGCAGAGACGCATTAATCCGCGTAAAAAACTCCTCAAAAACCTCAAAATTCACTTGCACTATTGGCTTTTCCCCTCAGGCACCCTTCCACTCACAAAAATTCGCTGCGACAGAGTGGGGTCGGAAGAGAGGGAGCAGTGAAAGAGAGAGAGAGAGAGAGAGTGAGAGAGAGGTAGTGCAAAAATCGGCTCCCAAAAAATTATAACACACCCCGGGCGGCGGCTGAAATTAAACGGGGGCCTGGAAAAAACGTCCTCGCAAAAATGAATTATTCGGCGAGACGCCCGTGTCTGGCTCATTTCGTAGGGAAATGAGGGCCTGTCTGAGGGGTGGCGGGTACGGTAGTTGGGGCACCGGATAGAAAATGGTTCGAGCAAGAATATTTTGCCAAGCTCCAAAAATTCTTGGTGGTTGCTAGAATGTTCAACATGGGCTTACGTTTAACAATGGCCAGATAGAGAGCAGAATATTTTTGATGGTTTAGCAGAAAAATGGTTAAGTGTAAGTAAGCCTAAGCCTAAGCCGACCCCAGCCTAAGCCAAGCCAAGCCTAAGCATACGCCTATTCCTAAGATTAGACTAAATCCATCACAAAACTTTTTTTGAAAACGCTATGGATATTGACTTGCAGGTACCTTTAGCCCCGACAATTTCTTCTTTTTTTGTGCTTTTTTTCTTGTTATTGTGCCCTTGGTAGGGGCCGGGGTGGAGATGGGGGAGCGGCGTCCTTCGGAAAGTCGGGTAGAGTCTTTCTCTCTCTCTCCCTCCCTCCCCCTCTCTGTCTCTCTCTCTCTCTCTCTCTCTATCTCTCTCTCTCCCTTTGCAACTCGGCCCGGCCCGCCGCATCGATCGGCCGGCTAGACTTGCCCAGGCGGGGGCAGTTTTTATGTGTGCGCCGTCCACACACACACACTGACTTTCTAGGGGTCGGCGTGAAATTCTTCGGTTTCCGAAATAATCTCTGCCAGCATGCCCGGGATTGGGTAACGGGCAGAGGAAAATGAAGCATTTTTGAACAAGAGAATATGGACAAAAGTTAAAATCTAGGCCTAAGCCTAAGCCTAAGCCTAAACCTAAGCCTAACCTAAGCCTAAGCCGAAGCCATGCTTAAGCCCAAACCCGGAGGAGGCAAATTTAACAAAAGATAAATACAGAAAAATGTTAAATTGGATTAAAAAACTCCAAGAACCGGTTAAATTACTTTCTAAACTGAGAACGTTTATAAAATATAAAAATCCATCTTCAGGCGGCCTCCCGGCACCGCTGCTCTTTCATGGTCAACCTCTTTGAGCGCGAGTTCGAGGCGTGCGGCGGCGAGTTGGGGTGGTTGAAGGTAAGTTTCACTTTCCTTACGAATCTCTGCTAGTTTACCTATGCAAATTTATCAATTTCAGGGTCTGGCGGCGTGCAGCCAGAAGCGGATGCAACATCTGGACGAGATGAACCGATTGCTCGCTCATCAACCGTGGCTTTTTGTTGCTGAAGATATACGAGTCAGTTTGCAACACCACTTCGTTATTTGTCAGTCTCAAATCGCCGCTACTGGACTGCCATTTCCTAAAGAATATCTGCCAGCCTGGCCTTTCCCTAAAGATCTTTGCTCGCCTGAAAACCACTTCCCGGCCGACCGCCCGATTCGTCCCAGACACTGCTTTTTTCGTTTCCTCCCCTTTTACACTGCCACTAATCAGAAATTATAATAAGGGCCGCGACGGCAGCTGCCCGCTGCTTTTTTTGGGCGGCTGAATTTTTGAGACGACACCACGGTTGGGAGACAAAACACACCGTCGTACTTTGGGTGCCCTTTGAAGGGACCGCATTTTGGAAGTGTATCCAGTTACACCTTAGTCTAAACCTAAGGTGAAGCCCAATTCTAAGCCTAAGCCTAGCCTTAGGAAGCCTAAGCGAAAGCCGAAATATAAGCCCAAGCCCAAGCCTAACGTACGCCTCGCCTAAGCCCAAGCCAGCTCACGAAGCTTAGCCAACTCAAGATATTCAAAGTGTTGAGGTTGTATTTTGTAGGGCCAGCTGTACGAGGGCTTGGGCTTATTATGCTTAGGTTTCAGCTTCACCCGATTCCAGCTTCTCATGGGCCCCGATGACCGACTGGTTATGTGACCCCCTAGGGGCCCAGCGGGGCCCGGGCCCAAAAAATGGCGGCCGCCAGCCGACAGGTGGTGTCGTGAGAGGCGTCCTGCCAAAATGTGCCCCCGTTTTCGATGGCGGCGCGTCTGAAAAAGCATCAATTTCACCCTGGTTGCCCATACCTCGGGGGCCTCCTGACGAAACGGGCAACGGGAGGGGGGCGCAAATTAATGGGCCGTGAAGCGTGGAAATTGAGCGAGGGGTGATCTACGTGGGTTTGGAGGAAGCCTAAGCCTAAGCCTAAGCCTAAGCGAAGCCTAAACCTAAGGGCATCGAATCGATCATTGATCTCTCGCGCACACGATCCAACCCGCAGATTGCGCCCCGACACCCGCGAGTCGCCGGTGCGTGGGAAAATCGGTAATAAGGGGCACGCCTTGCACGCACTTCCCGGTGACGATGCACTTCTGACAAATTACGCAACCCGAGCGAGGCGTACAGTGGCGTACTGTAGCTACTGAAAATCGGCCAGTCCTCAGGCTCAAGCTTAAACTTAGGCTTAGGCTTCGCTTTGACTTGGTCTAAGGCCTAGGCCAGGCAAAAAACCTTTTCGGCGTTCCCGAGCTGGCCAAGAGCCAAACAGTCACTTTCCCCAGATGCGCTGACCTCTTGTTTTGCCCTCACCACCTGGCCGGGGCGCATTTCGAATTTGCAAACACCGATCGGGGAATCGCTTGTTGTTATTTTGGTCCCGGCAAGAGTATGCGTGCACTACGGGCGGCTCGCCCCGAACGGGCGCGCGGGTCAAAACAAAATTTCGACTTTCCGGAAATTTGAGGGGGGATCTTCAAAGACCTCTGCTGTATTGCTTCAGCGAGATAGCGGCAGAGAGAGAGCGACTGTTAATTTGATCGGGCTGAACCCCCTCCGGCGCCGATCGTGATCTGTTTTGTGACGGAATAGGGGGCCAGCCAACCTATTTGTTTTCTCGCCCCACACCGGCGCACCTTATATCAAATAGCGCGATCCTAGGCTAGAAGTGGCGGGCGGGGGGGGCGGGGGTGGAGAAGAAAAAGCTTGGCTAACAGTTCGCATCACAGAACGAGAGAGCGAGAGAGAAAGAGAGAGAGAGAGAGAGAGAGAGGGGGGGGGGGGGGGGGGCGGTTTGGGGGGGATCTGGTTGGTTTTACAATTTGGATGGGGTTGTGAAGGGGGGGGGGGGGGGTAAAAAAAAGTTTAAATGGACTTTATTATATTTTTATTTTTGGGAGTACTATAGAAGTGGGTAGGCTTTAGGTTAGGCTTAGGCTTGGCTTCACCTCATTTTCCAAATTACGGTAATCCGTTTTTGCTTAAGACTCTGGTTTCTTGAAATACCGTAGCCCTGGCTGCATTAATCCCATCAATCCACGCGGGCAATGCATGTAGATTTATTCCTATTTGGCGCGCGGGTAAAAACAGTGCTCTTTGTGCATGGAGAGACGACAAAATTGGCAGTATGCCCTCTCTCCTCGCTCTACTTCGCTCGCTCTACTATGTACTGTACATCGTACTCAACACGCGAAGATTGATGGCGCGACGCTCCCCTCCGGAAAAAGGGGCCAATTTTCTGGCCAGCGCGAAAGAGAGCGAGCAAGAGAGAGAGAGAGAGCAAGAGCGCGTGCTCAATTTCTTGGCCTTTTTTCCATCAGCCGGGGCCATAAACCCGAAAATGCACTCGCCCGCCGTACCTGTAAAAAGCGCAAAACCAGTCCGATCGCCCCGAAATCGGACGCGTGCATCTGAACGCTTTTTTGGACGTTGAAAATCGTAAAGTATGCGAAATCGGAGGCACTGGAAATTGAGGCAAGGGTTCGAGGGAAATATAATAAAAAATGCGTAATTAATGCGTCGGTTCGTGTGGATTTTCCAACCTTTTGGGTCCTTTAAAGGGATATGGGTGCGTTTTTATTTCGGCAAAAATTAGAAGGTCGAAATTCGATAACGGCACACCTAAACGTTTTTTTTCAGAAGCTCACCTCCACCGACACCGGGCTACATTTCTCGATCCAGGAGGTAAGGAAAACAGCTGCCGGAATCGGTTCCGCGGCAAGCGAGCGGAGAATCTTTGAGGAACCGTTCGACGCACTAACGATATATCCACGTTTCAGCTAGTTCACGTGGCCATCGTGATGGCGCATACGCACGCGCTGTGCTCCTTTGCTGAAGCATTTGGGGCGGTGCCAGTCGAGATTTCGAGGTGAGTCGATATCAAGAGTGTAGGCCAACTACAAGCCTAAGCTTAAGTCCATGCCCTAGTCCCAAGCCTAAGCCTAAGCTTAAGCCTAAGCCTAAGCCTAAACATGAGTTTATGCCCAAGCTTCAACTTAAGTCCAATTTTCAGCTGTGAACGCCAATCGATGGCGGTCCGCTGCGAGTGGGTGGCGCGCGACAAGGAGAACACCGGGGTCGCTCGCCGAAAGTAGGTTTTTGCCTTTTTACAAAGCCGTGCGGTGGCAGACTAGCAGGGCTTTGAGAAGAGATTCCCCATGAGAATGATTTTCCTTGAAATTCAAAATTTCAGAGGCGAAGTGGAGGACCTGTTGAAGAGGATGAATCGACTGCGCGCCGCCGTCACCGAGGAGTCCGACCGGTCGGACGAGCGGGCTTTCGAGCGCATCCACGAGCAGCCGGGTACGGTAGCGGGAGGACATTTTGGGAAAAGCTCTGGAATTTGACAAATTACATGGGGTAGAAGAAGATAGATGAGGTCGCTACCTAAGCCTAAGCCTAAGCCTAAGCTTGGAGTCCCCGGGCGAAATGGTAGATAAACCTGTTGAAATGCCCTGAGGGCAAAACCCATCGTGAAGCCCATAAAATGGGGTTGAGTGATGGCCCGGAGAGGGAGGCTAGTCCAAACTATAGTTAGTGTAAGGGGGGTAGCCACCCGGAAGGCTAATTAATGTCCCGGGATAACCTTCGATAGCTAGCAGAGATCCTGCAGGAAAGGGCCGGCACAGCGACTCATTAGGAGCCTGGAAGAGTGCTTACACCGTGCGCACGCCCAAAGGATCTCTGCTTGCCTGCCTCCCAGACCTGCCACCACGTTACTTCCTGCTTCCACTTTTTGCCCCTTTGGGATACGCACAAAAACTTCCAACTGCAGTCGGACGGACGCCTGGGGATGGAATCGCAACATTTTATCGCCCCCGTTTTATGGCTGGCTGGCTGCTTTTTGGGGAAAAAAGCCAGCAAAAAGCGGGAGACCCGAAAAAGACGGAACGCTGAGATAACGAGGCGCGTCTTGGCCCCGGACAGCCAACGCGGGCATTGGATAGTGCAACTGGTAGGGGACGTTGCGAAGGAGGATAGCTGGCAACGGCTTTTAGAGAGGCCTAAGCCAAGTCTAAGCTTAACTAAGCCTAAGCCTGAGCTTAATCCTAAGTCTAGCCATGACCAAATCAACTTTCTTTTCAACCTCTCGGCTCTTCCGAAACATGCACTTCTGCGTGCGAGTGTCAGCTCAAAAATGCATTTCAATCGGATGTCGTCCCGGAGCGAGAGAGAGAGAGAGAGCGAGAGAGAGAGAGAGAGAGAGAGAGAGAGAGAGAGACTACCAACTAGACTACCCCTGGCTACGTGCGGGTCGCAACAAAAATTCCCCTTTTTACCCGTTGACGCCGTAGCCCGGGGCCCCTCCGACAAATTGGTTCTCTTGCTCAAAAGAAAGCGGAATAATTGGCTTTTTCTGAAGAGGGAAACTGAGAAAGGGGGGGGGGGAGCGTCACAAAAATGGACGCGACAACCCGGGGATTATCCGATTATGCTAATTTTTTGGAATTCTGGAGGGATTTGAGCTGTAGGCTAAAGGGACCGACACGAAAAAGCTGTTTGCGGGCTTGTCAGGGCCGTTAGAATTCCTAAAAATTATGTGCTAATACCCCGTTTTCCGCAATGGTCTTTTCTCGCTTCCCTGACTTTCAGTTTTCCTCAAGGATCCTTGCTAGGCGGCCCAGGCCTTGGGTATTCAGCAATGATCCCTTGATGGCCTGTCTTGGTCCTGCGATTTCCCCAAAGCTTTCCAAGGTCCGTCTTTCCAATTTTTCAACTTTGGTTTCTTTTTTCCCCAAAGATATCTGCACCCCCCTTCAAGTGACCCCTAGGGGCCAAAGAGCACCTCCTGGGGTCCCAGTGGCCCACAAATCACGGTGATCAGAGGGATGTTCTAGTGGCCATGGTGGGGCCCAAGGAGGGCCCACGGGGTTCGGCCCCATTTATCACCGACTTGTTTTGCGGCCCGGGCCCCAAGGATGGCCGCCGGGCCCCCCAACCTCTCGCCCGAAAACCGCAACCATCTATCAGGGACCCGAGGGGGGGGGACTACTCGCTACTGGCTGGCTACCCGGCTGTATAAAGTTTATATTAAAGGGGTCGGCTTTGAATTTCTAGGTTCTTTGCTATTATCGGGGACGGGGTAAGCCTAAGCCCAAGCCTAAGCCTCAGCCCAGGCTTAACCTAAGCTTAAGCAAAACTACAAACTACGCGACGCTCCAGCTACCGTATTTGAGAGTAGTAGTGTTCCGGAGCCATGCCCAGAAAACAAATCAATAAAATTTGTTGGATGAGGATGAAGAGAGAGCGAGAGATAGAGAGAGAGATGGAGAGAGAGACGTGCCCAGACGCTGGCGGCCCCGTTCCGCGCCATAAATCTCGGCGTCGCACCCGGCGGCGCTGCTCAAAGGAGGCACCGTAAGGGATACGCCGGACACATAGCAACACACACACCCTCTCTTTCGCTCTCTTTTGCTCTCTCCCCCTCTCTCTCCATGGAATCTTGAAGAATCTTCAGAGCCTCTGGAAAGTGCAAAAGTGCCCCGGGGCGAAACGGCGACACAGAGCGGGGGTTTTTCTAATTTTAAAGCGACAATGAAGTCGCTGTCACCATCCCTTGAAGCATATAGATCTATGAATCTCAACTAATTAGCATTTTTCAGAAGACGGCAACGGAGGCGACTCGCCGACGACGGCTGGTGACGGATCTCTGCTGCAGAGTTTTCAAAGGTCAGAAAGCGAGAGAGTGAGAGAGAGAGAGCGAGAGGGCGAGAGAGAGCGAGAGAGACCAAACCAAAAGAGACAGTCTGAGAGAGAGCAAACTCTCTCTGAAACGCCCCGCTAAACCGTTCGTTCCAGGTTCACCAACAACCTCGCCTTCACCTACGTCGACTTCTACACGTCGACCCGTAACGACACCACCAAGACGTTCAACCTACACGTAAGCTCGACCTCGAAAATTCAGGAATGCAACTTTTCAGGAGTTCTCCTGGGATCAGCACGGATATATGATTCTCGAGGAGCAGTACCAGGAGCTGATCGCCAAGCTGGACGACAAGTTCAACCTCACGCAGACGCTCACCTATAAAACGTAAGTAGTAGATTTTTAGGAGGGTGACGGCTAGCAGAGATCCTTTAGGAAAATTTGATTTTCCGACTCCTTTCCGAACTTGCTCTTAATTTCCGATTCCAGTATGGGCGAGTACACCGACGTCGACACGTCCTCCTACCGTATGGCAGTGTGGAACTACATCCAGGCCCTCTTCGGCATCCGCCACGACGACTACGACTACTCTGAGGTTAGTCCGAAATTCAGAATGCCGAGATTTCTCAAAATATTGTCTCACCGGATTTTTAGGTAAACACGATGCTGTCGAAGGAGATGAAGACGTTCATCAAGACCGTCGCGTGCTACCCGCATCGCGTCACGGAGGCGTTGCGCACGAGCGTGATGACTGATTTCAAGAACTCGGAGAAGGTGCGTGATTTATTTATTCGTGTTTTCAGGCCTATAGTTCTCGCCTAGCCTGTCCTTCCCCCAAGGAATTTCCGCTAGCCTGCCCGCCCCAAAAAACCGTCGAATTTTTCCAGGTGCACGTGATGCTGATGGTGATGGAGGCGCGTCTCCAGTCCGAGTTGCTGTACTTCACGAGGACGCTGACGAACTACGACCGGCTGGAGCGGACCATGCTTTGCTAACCGCACGGCCCCCTAGGCTATTCAAATTGCGACCCTATTCTTTGATATTTTTGTATAAACTTGGATGGTCGGGGCTCTGTGGCGAGCGCTGCGGGACCCCAGCCATTTGGAAGTCGGGTAGCAGGAGGCCAGGGAGAAGGCTTATGTCTATGCTTATGCTTGGACTTGGGCTTAGGCTTAAGCTTAAGCTTAGGTTTAGGCTTACGCTTAAAAAGCTAAAACCCGACTTCCGCCCACCCGCAAGCCCCTTTAAAAAGCTAGTGTTTTATCTCCGTTGTTAGCCCTGCCCAACCCACGTGCGTTACGGTAGCGCCGAGATGTGCTTGTTTTTGTATGTTATTTTTTTTTGCGGTTTTGGCAGGGGAAGGACTTCAACGGCCCTTCCAAATTGGCCACCTGGAAATTTTGCACCCAGAAAAGCACTCGTGTCGAAAGAGCAAAAAATTCTGGACCAACAGTGGTGCTCAAACATTTGACAGCGAGTACGTAATTCTAAAAAAGCGTATTTTTTCTTTTTCTTGGCTACAAAAAACTATCAAAGAAAATTTTTAATCCCAAATTTTTGCCACTACCGTAACCCAGGGTAAACCAGAATTTAAGTCAGAATTTTCCGTTTTTTTTGCGATGGGCTACAGTACCCCAAATCCCCCCTGCCAAAACCACCGTAGCTCCCTGATTTTTCTTTGTTGCCCCGCCGTGGAATTCGTAATTGGCAATTGGTCAATTTCCTAGCGTGACGTATTGCCTATGAGCGGCGCGGGCAGTTGTAGTCTTTATTTTCCAATTGTATGCACCCCGAATGAGACACCGACACCACCATCAACCCCCGTCTACTGTATCCACCCGGAATTTGTCATTGTTTAGCGTTTTTTGTGCGGCCCGACCGGGGCGTGGTACGGTAATTGATGCATCTATCCTAAAGCAACCAGGAAATCGTCTTAAAGCGTTTAAAATAGCTAGAAAATAGCTTGAATTCAAAAATTTACATATTCGATTTGAATTTTTAAAATGGCATCTTTTTAATGCTAGCAAGTAGCTAGTAGCAACGTTATAAATTGCGCAGTCTCGATCCAGATTCAAATTGGTTAAGGCTGCCTTTACCGTACCCTTCCCCGAGGCGGGCCCCGCCACTTTTCCAAGGCCCTTCCCCCTATTTTAGTGGTATTCGTCAAGTTCAAAAGACCCAGGCTTCGAAAAACGTGTTCCCGCAAAAATCTTATTTCCACTCCGTATTAACGGGATTGGCAAGGAAGAATCCATAGGAGCGGTTGCCTTCCACGACCCTTGAAAGGGAGGCGATAGCAAAGCCTAATACTAAACCTAAGCCTAAGCCTAAGCCTAACAATAAGCTGAAGCCGAAGCTCCCAGCCACTACAGCCCCTTTTAAATGATCGACGAAGTCAGACACTACTACGGATTCTGCCTTCCCGGCCCCTTTAAACTTTGCCGAAATCGAAATCTCCCCCGTACCATGTTTTTTCTGGGTTCATCTTGGGTGCCCCTTTAAGTTCTAGCCCCGTCCCCCCATTTTTAATGCCAACTATTGTTTTTTTGTTTGTATCCGCTTATTTATTGGAAACGGCAACGGGCAGGTTAAAGCGACGGGTTGGCCAAGTTGACATTTTAAAGGGCCGGTGAAGCCAAAATTAAATCGGTTTTCATAATCGAATCTCCGCGAAAAACAGCCCGTTTCCGTTTCCGCGCCGCTGCCCCGTACCGTACTGGTCGTCGATTCTCCTATTTAATACGGTCCTCAAAAACTGAAAAAATACTTGAAAATTGTCGGGGGCGTGGCGTGGAGGTCAGTTGTTCATGCGTAGGCTTAGGCCTAGGCGTACGCTTAGGCTTAGACAGCTGGAAAATCCTCAATTCGGCCTCACCCCACGCCCCAGGCCATTTGCCCAAAAAATCGCCGTCGTGCTTGTCTTCCACCTGTGGCCCCGTGCCGTTTTGATCGTTAGTCCGCCCTTTCCTGGTGTTTGTCCAATCCAGTGGGTTTTCTTTAATCCTTCTTGAAGTCCCATTTAAAATCCAACTCCGGAGGAGTGTTCAGCTTCCAAAATTCAGTTTGCTAACAGCAAAAAGTTTCCTGATCTTGGTTCAGGCTCAGGCTTAGGACAAAGCTTAAGCTGTCAGTTAGCTACTTTAAACCTTTGCGGAAGTTGAAGATCTCCGTCAAACATTACCTAGTATCAACCAGACGTTCGCTCGCGTGTACTACCCCCCAAAAAATTCTCGTCCGCCCCGAAGTCGATGCAAATTGTGCAGCCACCCCAGCGATACTGTGAGAATAATAAATGCTTCTGAAATTTACAAGAAAAAGGCAGCATATTCGACAAAGCGACGCATTCAAGGGAAGGAACAGAGATATTTTAGGAAAGGGTAAGCTAACAGAGCTTCTTACAAGGGCCTCGCACAGGCTATTCAGATCTTAAGATTTATTTAAATGGTATAGTTCTCATTTCGTCGCCCTACACCGCCACTTCCGTCAAGTTCTGGGCGGACAGGGTGCGAGGTCCACGAGCGCTGAAAATATGTAGGCATTAATGGATAAGGAAAAGCGGAAGCCTATGCCTAAAAGCATAAGCTTAAACCTAAGCAAGCCCCAATCAAAAAAGTTCTTTAAACGCCCTACCTGTTTTCCCGGGTATCCAGATGATAGCTATCTTCGCGTCGGGCTTCCTAAATAGGCAGTTAAGTCTAATACGCGTATTCCCTACCCTAACACGGAGTGGTTTTTAAGTGACACTGCAATTTTTCAATGTGTTTCAGAGTTTCTAAATTTACATAAACCCGGTAAACCCAGTATTCCCGGTAAACCCCCAAATCCTAGGCAAAAAATTCGACATTGTGAATTTCGACATTATGAAATTTCGAAATTATGAGGCTTCGACATTATGACATATCGACATTGTGAAATGCCGACACTATGAAATTTCGATATTGTGAAATTTCGACATTCTGAAACATCGACACTATGAAATGTCGACGTTATGATTTTCGACATTATGCTAGCAAATCGGTAAAGTAGACCCTAGCCGAAATTCGTTCGCTGAAACGAGTTTTGCGACCATTTTTATATTTGCGCAGTTCAATCGATCTAACGGCCCGCCGCTTCAAGTTTCTGGCTTTAACTTTATAGGCGGGATAGCTGATGACGTTCCGGATCTGTGGAAATTTTCAAAAAAATCGAACGAAATACAGCCATTTTAGGGGCGGTTGATGAGGGGTACGGCATCCCGGAATCAGGAGACTATTCCAGGTCCTTTCTTCTACCCAAAGGAAGGGATGCGCCGCTCATCTATGTCCCACAACAGCAGCTGGCTTGTCCCGACCTATGCGTAGGGGTGCGTATCCGGTCGGGCGGGCGTAAGCTGTGTAAGGCGCTCCGGTACGGCCGTTCTCACGGTCGGGAACTCTTCTGTCCGATTCTCAGACCACCCACCCTTGAGGTGACGTGCGAGGGATAGGACAGGCCGGTGATGCAAGGTAAGCTGTACCAGTCGTCTCCTGTGGCCACGGGAACTTCACGAGTCAGCAAGGCGGGCGTGAATAGAGTTTTGCTTTTTCTAGACCAGTTTTTTGTGCTGGATCCGAATTTTGGGTCCGTTTAGTGTGGGTAGCTATCGTTTTTGCGATACCGGCCCCCAACCGACCTTCATAGCTGTGAAGTATACCCAGGCCCGTACGGGAGCCGAGATTTCGGGGATTTTGGCACCGACCCAAAAAAAATTTTGGCGACCCGTGCCCCCCCCCTGCTTGTGAGTTACCGCATACCTGTGCCAACTCGCTGGCCGTCCGCGGACGCTCTGCCGGCATAGGACTGACCCCGCGTTTCAGCATTGAGGGAGACGCCTGGAATTTCCTGCATGCTTTCTGCTAGCCGGCCCTCTCCGAAGAATCCACGCTGGCCTGCCCACCTGACTATTCGCCCCGATGTTCCCGCCATCCGACGTCTTGTTCGAGCGCCGCCGAAACAGGGAGAAGCAGTTCAGGAAGGCGCGCCTGACACAGATTTTTGGTGTTCGTCCGACTGGGCTAACCGATAGGATTTGAGGCAGCATATTGTGGCCACGGCGTCAATCGTTGGGCTCCATGACATGGCGTAGTGGACGATGTTCATCGTCGCCCAGCCGCGGCCTGAAAACAAAAATTTATGCACTTGCCAAAAAATCTCTGCCAGCTTGCCCTGTTCCTAATGAATCCCTTCCGGTCTGCACTTTCCCCAAGGATCTCTGTTAGCCGCGATAAGCACCCTACCCGGTTTCTCCATACTCGGGCTGTCGACGATCAACGTCAGCGAGAAGAGCGGCAGGTAGGTGAGCAGCGGGGCTAGTGACTGAAAAGCTTTTTAAGGGAGTCATAAATGCATTAAACTTGAATGATGATGGCAAGGAGGATGCTTCTTTGCCTCTGGATGACTTGCTGAGAGACGGAGCCTCGGATGGAGCTCTGACTCGAGCGGACGAAGAGCAGCAGCTTGATCACGCAAAACTGGAATGTTGGGAATTAGAATCTTGTAAGCCTAAGCCTAAGCCTAAGCCGAAGCCTAAGCCTAAGCGAAGCCCAAGCCCAAGCCTAAGCCTAAGCCTAAGCCTAAGCCTAAGCCTAAGCCTAAGCCTAAGCCTAAGCCTAAGTCTAAGCCTAAGCGTAAGCCTGAACCTAAGCCTAAGCGTAAGCCTGCGCCGAAGCCGAAGCCTAAGCCTAAGCGAAGCCCAAGCCTAAGCCTAATCCTATCAGCTAGCTTCAAACGACTCACCGTTGCGATCGAGTACGATACCACCGGATAGCTCAGCAGGCTTAATGTCGAGATCCAATCGCCAATTTGCACAAAATTCGCGCTCAACGAGCATAGGGAGTTCGAGTTGGCGTAGTCGAGCCTGAAGACGTGAACGACGAGCTCGAGGAGTTCAGTGATCACCAGCGCCACTCTTAAAAGAATGCCCACCACTCCAATTCATCAGCATAAACGGTATAGACGTCGCGAAGAGTTGTGATGCCGAAAGCTCGGGCGATGTAGTAGATCAACATTGGGATCAAGTTCGGGAAGAAGGCTGAGATGGATCTCGCTCTTGCACTATATATCTCTTTATCTCTCTCGCGCTCTCTCTCTCTCTAGTTCTCTCTCCACTCACCTATCAACACCCATGCCTTTCCTGAAAATCGTTTCTGCTTCCAGACGACGTGCACGAATCGATTGAGCGGCACGATGCAAATCGACAACAAATTTGCCTGCGTCTGCCTCAAATAAACGGCGTTGAACACGACGGAACACGTGTCTGAATCCTCATTTTAAGATCAGAAGACTGAAATAAAGTCTGTGCGGCACGAAGTAGCACAAAATCAACTCCTACCATCCGACACGAACGTCATCAACGGGTTGGCCGTCGTCACCAGCGAGTACTCGTAGGCCGAGTTGTGTTTGAGCACGTTTGGCATCACCATCAAAAGGCCGGTGGACAGAATACAGTTGGAGAGGGAACAGCCGAAGAATACCCACTTGTACTCGCCCCTGGCAAGATGAAGATTTAGCACAAATTGCCTCCCAGCTGCCGTTCCCCAAAGAGTTTTTGCTAGCATGTCCTTTCGTCAAAAAATGTCTAATAGTCTGCCATTTTTTATAAAAATTTATTTAGTCTGTGGGTCCTAAAGAAACTCTGCTAGCCTGCCCCCTCTCACCTTGTAGCCGGCCTCCAGCTGACCCACAAAACGAATCCGTTCAGCAATAACGACAGCGCGCACGTCAACAAGTAGTACACGAAGGAGAATACTTCCATCATGTTTAGAATTAGGCTTAGGCTTATGCCCAGGTCAGCCAACACAGCCAATATTCCGGCCCCAGAAACTGGTCGGCTATAATGGGCAGATGAGGCCAAGGGGGCAGAATGCGTCAAATGGGGGGCATTAGAAGAGGTGGGAATTGAGGGGCATAGAAGCGGCCCGAAAAGGCTGTAATTAGTGGAGCCAGGCGGAATCTCGGGCGCTTCGCACTTTTGCTCGCCGGGTTTTTTTTTTTTACGGGGCGCCTGGGAAATCGCGGGAGGGGCAACCTAGCCAGCGCCGATTCTGTGGCGTATTTTTAAGCCTGGGGCTTCGTGTTATGGTTTTTTGAGTGTTCTCCCACGGCTTGACGTCTGTGACTTTGCAGTGGCACCAAACTGAAAGTGTAAAGTCCATCACATTTGTTGGAAGAGAAGGGGTAGCAGTGCTTCGTTGGGAAAGGGCAGGCTAGCAGAGATTCTTGAGGAAAGGGTAGGCTAGCAGCGATTATTTAGGAAAGGACAGGTGGGACCGCTTCATAAACGAATAAAATAAAGCCTTTATTATTGCGACAAAGGTTAGACTACAAACTACAAATTAGCGGCGGTCTTGCAGACGAACGTCGGGAACACCTCTTGGTCTCGCTCGAACGGACTATAAAATACGGGGGTTAGGCTGTGCTTTTGCCTCACTTGGTCGACCATTTTCCATTGGCACAGAAGTAGCACGTCTCCGGGTAGCTGGACATCTGCAAGGAGGTCAGGAATGGGTTTGGACGGGAAGGTAAAACCCATACTCTAAGCCTAAGCCTAAGCTTAACCCTAAGCCCAAGCCCACCAAAATCGTGTTCCCATTCGGACCGCTGCCCGCCGACCCGCACAGTTCTTTGGTGTAGTCTGTAGTCGAGTTGTCGGCCCACCACTCCACTTTGTTCGCTGAAAAACGGGTCTTTCCTCAAGAAACTCTACTGGTCTGTGTCAAACCAGCAAACCCACTTTTCACATCGATTTGTCCGCCCAGAATCGTCGTCCCGCGAATATAGTTGTTTTCCGACCGTTCACAGGAGTCATCGTAAGTCAGGTCTAAAAGCCAGGATCTTTAAAGCGGCGGTGACAACAAGAAACCCTCAACACCTCCCACCTTTGATGAAGTCATTCTCGGCATCGCTATGCACCGACGCCAAATGGCCATTGAAAGAGTTGCAGAATTTCTCCGCGTCGTTGTACGTCTTATCGTAGCCGACACCGTAGCACATCTTCGTGTCGTTATTCAGGTGCCAGCCGGAGGGACAGGTGCCTCAAAAAAATTGTCTAAAGCAAGGCTAAGCACGACCATAGGCATACTCCTATGCCTAAGCCGCTTAAGCTTAAGCCTAAGCCTAAAAGCCAGACTCCACCAAGTCGAGTCAGCCTGAATAACTTAAAAAAACCCACTCATATCCTTGCCAGTAGTCGTCCACGGTGTCGTAATAGCGTATTCTAAGTTCCATAGCCGACATTCCAAAGAAAACTACTTGAAAAAGTGCAGATAAACGGATACGCGACGCTGCAATCCACCGTACGCCACGCCATCTCGGCCACGTCGAGCACCACGCAATTCGCGGTGCCGGGTTGGCCTGAAAAATCGGACTTACCGTAGTCAGAATGATACGTTAAAAAGGCGCAAGTGTGTCCTAGACGAACCCGATGCCCACTTGAAGTAGTTGACCGAATAAGTGTCGGCCCACGTCCAATCCTTATTCGTGGCGTTCCGGAAGAGTCCGATGTACGCCTGGCCCCCCTTTAGGTCTAGAAAAAGATCCGATGAATCAAAACTAAGCCTAAGCATACGTCTAAACCTAAACATAAGCCTAAGCCTAAGGTTACACCTAAGCCTAAGCTTAAGCCTAAAACGGAGCGTAAGCCTAAGCCTAGCCTAATCCTAAACGTACCTCGCATCGCATAGCTGGACACGACCGAGATTTCAAAGGCACTTTTTAGCGATACCAAGTGACCGTGGTACTCGTTGCAAATGTGCTCCGCGCCGTCCCAGCCGATCGCTAAAATTGCTTTTTGAAGAATCACTGCTAACCTGCCCCTTCCTCAAGAATCTCTGCTAGCTGCTTTCAAAATTGAAAAAACCCGCTCGGTACCCACCAACATCATTGAACAGCACGCACTCGTCGAGCCCATCAACATAGTCGGAGCCTGGAGGACAATATTGGCCGCGGGCTACTTGGCATAAAGCCAGGAGGCCAGCGTACAAGATATTTACGAGCATTTCGGGGGTGGTTGCCGGGAATTTAGGGCTGAATTTTTGGTCGCGCCGATGGAGGCAAGATAAGGAGAAACTGGCTTGAGCGGTGTGTGTCCAGTGGTTTGGCACGGGCAAGCTAGCAGAGATTCATGGGGAAATTACACTGTATTTAAGGTATGGGTACAGAAGAATTTTATTCAAATTTGGAAGAATAAAGTCCATCTATTAGATGGAGCTCCTTCATCGGCTTAGCTTTGCAGACAAACTCGGGCCACTTGTTCCCGTCGGTGCTCTCGAATGGACTGGAAAAACATTAAATTAATGAATGTCGATTTTCCTGTTTGATATTATCAGGTTGGTAGATAAGTCCTGTCACAAATTTTTTAAATCTCTCTATATAGCCGCAGACATGGCCGATTTAACGTTTGATCCTGATTTGATAGGTCTTGGGCTGCTCTATAATGGGAGCTGCCGCACAATGCCGAAAAGTTACAGGACGCCGAGTTACAGCACCGGGAAGTTTTTCATAAAATCTTGACAAAGCTTGTTAGCGTGCTATCTCTGCAAAGAGAAATTTGCATGCGATACCTTCAACACCAATCGATAGCTCTCGAGGAGTAGATATCGATAGATGTTGAGATCGTCAAAATTGGTCACCGGATGACCGAGATACGGGTCCTTGAAATTTGGTTGATTTCTTAGAACTTTTCCCGAAATCCCATACATTACGCATCTGTGACAAATCTTGCCAGTTGGTTTTTGAGCGCCCGGAGAAGGTTTTGTCTAAATGTATGGGAATTCGGAAAAAGTTCTAAGAAATGGACCAAATTTGAAGGGTCCGTATCTCGGTGATCCGGTGTCCAATTTTGATGAGCTCAACATCTATCGATATCTACTCCTCGAGAGCTATTGATTGGCGTTAATGGTATCGTATTCAAATGGCTCTATGCAGAGATAGCACGCTAAATAGCTTTCTCAAGATTTTATGAAAAACTTCCCGGAACTGTAACTCGACGGCGAGCCACTTTGGGGTCCAAAGCGGGTTTTGCCGAGGTAGCGCGTCCCAAGATCTATCAAATCATGTATCGAAAGTGAGAATCCGGCGTTTCTGCGGCTTTCTAGGGCGCTTTCAAAAAGTTGTGACAGGACTTATCTACCAACCTGATAGTTTGATCCTAAGCTTACGTCACGACCCAAGCCCCATCGGCGCATTTTTCGAAGCATTCCGGCGGGTAGGCTTGCATCTGAAAAAAGCTTTATTAGAGAGCGAGAGTGAGAGAGAGAGAGAGAGAGAGCGAGAGCGAGCGAGCGACACCGCACTACTACTACTTACCAAGATATAATTCCCTTCAGACCCACTGCCCGAACTGCAGAGCCGAGCCGTAAAGTCCGGAGCCGACCCGTCAGTCCACCACATTGTTTCGTTGCCTAAAACTTCTTTTACACTCAAAATTTACTCACTTGTCTCGTTGACCTGCCCGCCAAGCACCGTCACCCCGTAGAGCCACCTGTTGCCGTTACGGTCGCAGGTCGTGTTGTAGGCGAGGTCTAGGCAAGGAATGGGTAGAACAAATGGGACTAAGCCTAAATCTAAGCCTACGGCTAACAAGGAGTGGTTTTTGAGTGTCATTGGCAAATCCCTTAGCGACCTAGTTCATTCGATAGAGAATTGAATTCTGAACCACCTCTCGTTGTTCATTTTTGCAAAACGGCTCTCCCTGATTTTATAAAATTAAAAAACTAAAAATTTAATTTTACATACCCCGTGTGGCGCGGCCAGCCGCCTGGAACCCCCTAGGACATGAGCTCTCTCCGCCTCCCTCTCTCACCATGGGACGTGGCCTAGTGGTTAAGGCTTCCGCCTTCGAAATTTTTTTGCATTTTTGTGGAAAGTTCGGTTCCTTGCCAGAAAATTTATTTTGCTTTTTGTTAATAAAAGCGTTTGCAGACGCTTTGATAAGTTAATTGATTTAAAATAATACTTATTACAAAGTTGGCTGCTCTGCGCGCTTTCAGGAAAATTTACAAAAAAAAACAAATATTATGATCCAGGTTAGTGTGAGCGCTCTAAATTGGAGGTGCAACCTATTTAAAAATACTGGGGCCACTTATAATACAAAAAGCAAAACAAATTGCATCTACAAGAACCGAACTTGCAAAAAATGCATAAAAAAATTTTGGAAGACAGCCGCGTTAGCCACTGAGCCACGGCTGATGCTGATGGGGGCCGCGCTGAAGGCCTCTTCCCCTAGAGCGGGCCGGCATGATTTTGATGCGGCGAACCGACGGTTGGCCAAAATTCCGTTTAAAGTTTTTAAATTTTATAAAATCAGGGAAAACCGTTTTGCAAAAATGAACACCGGGAGGTTGTTCAGAATTCAATTCTCTATCGAATGAGCTAGGTCGCGAAGGGATTTGCCAATGACACTCAAAAACCACTCCTTGTAAGCCTATCGATATGGCTGATTTCCATGGTCAACCTCTGTTAGCCTATGCCTAAGCCTAAACCTAAGCCTAAGCCTAAGCCTAAGCCTAAGCCTATGCCTAAGCCTAAGCCTAAGCCTAAGCCTAAGCCAAACCTAAGCCTAAGCCTAAGCTTAAGCCTTAACCTAAGCCGAAGCCTAAGCCTACGACCCCATTGTACCTCTTACAAAGTCGTTCTCCTCCTGACTGTGAATCGATGCGAGATGACCCCGGTGTTCCTGGCAAAAGTCCTCGGCCTCGTAGTAGGACATCTCTCGGCCGTGCTGAAGCAGAATTCAAAATAAACAAAATTTCAAAAACCCACAAGGTAGCACATATCAGTCTTCGCGAAATATTTCCAGCCGTCCTCGCAAACCGCTGAAAAATGGGATTAAAGGCAGGCCTCAGCAAGTTCTTTTTTCTTTTCTAAAGAATCTCTGCTAGGCTACGGTGCCTTGAAAGCGCTTCCGCTTTCGACGCACCATCTGGATCCGGAGTCGTCGTATGTGGTGTGGTTGTCTGCAGCTCAGCAAATCTGCACACAAAAGGGAGCGGAGTGGCGCAGTCGATCGTCCTCCAAGTGCGCTCCTCGATATTCAGAGCCACACATCCGCCAGAATCGGGTTGACCTGAAGAATCTTTCTCAGGTTTGCACTTAGGCTTGAGCCTGGGTTTGGCTACGGCTTCGGCTTAGGCTTTTGCTAAGGCTTAGGCTAAGCTTTCATTTAAGCATAAGCTTAGGCTAGATCTAGGCTTAGGCTTTGGCTTAGGCTTAGACTTACCTGCAGCCCAATGAAAATACGTAGCATTCGTCCCATCGCGCCAAAGCCACAAGTCGTTGGTGGTATTGTGCTGAAGGCCAAGTAGAATTTGCACGTTTCCGATCTCTAAAAAGCTCAGGTTTGGAGATGCTCTAGAAAACGTAGGCTAGAAGAACTTCTTCAGGAAAGGACGGCGGTAGCAGAGATTCTTTAAAAAATTGTTCATCTACCTTTCAATGCATAACTGGCCACGATTGAATTCTCGAATGCATTTTCTACATTCACCAAGTGGCCATCATAAAAGTGGCAGAACTGCTCCGCGTCGTCACCCTTGGCTGCTGAAATATCAATTCTGGAAGCAAACCTGCTAGGGAATACTCCCCACCCCGATATTGCAAAAGAACCAGCTACCCTCTATCCACTTACGAAAATTTGCAAAGAAAAAGCAACTGCCGAGGTCGGTGATGAGCAGCGAGTCGGAAGGACAGTAGCCGAATACCTGGCCAATCAGAAGGGCAAAAATCCAGAAACTCATCGGCCTGGGAATTCGGGAAAATAGAGACGACGCCTTATCAGCATCCGCAATGTTGGCGCGAGGCGGCTTGCTTGGTCAAGGCTTTTCCGGTGATTTTTGAAAACTCGGATTTTTAGTGAGACGCGCAAGGCAAGGAAGGGGGCTTATGCTTAGGCTTATGCGTGGGCTTAGCCTGAGGCGGACCGGATTACCAAGACTCCTTTGAAAATAGCTTAGTAGCTGAGTTGCTTTAGGAAACGACGCTTAGAACATTATTCTGCTCATGTACAAATAAAATTGCTAATTAAAACGTGCCCTTTCCAAATGATCCCCGGTGCAGCCGTTTACGTGGTTGACACGATCCGGGCGATGGATCGTGGGCGGAGAGAGGCGCCGAGAGAAATCAACGGCAAGAAGGATTGGGTTTTTGAAGGGCGCCGTAGACAAGTCGCCCCCCTGGGGGATCCGGCTTTCCTTTTCGGAAAATTTCAGAATTTAGTCGCCACACCACGCGGCCGTCAGACGCCTCCAGCATAAGCGTCTGGCATATGACACTCCATCTCTCTCCTTCTCTCTCTCTCTCTCTCTCTCTCTCTCTCTCTCTCTCTCTCTTTCTCGAGCTCCAGGGAGCTACATGTCCACTTCAGACTTTTGGTTCGGCATTGTTTTGTGGTCTTTGGAGAGTTGGGAGTTCAAAATCCGGTATTTTTCGCTGCAGGCAAGCTAGCAGAGATACATTAGGCAGGGAAAGCTAGCAAAGGCAACAAGACCTATATGAACAGTCCCTTCCAGGAGTCTGGATGCTTGACTGATCCTTTTCAGGGACCAGTTCCCGGTGCGACCCATAAGAGCTTGTGCGCCGCCCAGGGGGAATCGGCATATCTCCGCAAGAATTTCTGTCGACCTGATCTTTCCTAAATAATCTCTGCTCAGGGTTTATTTTCAAAATGTCGAAATTCAAAATACCGAAATTCATAATGTCGAAATATATAATGTCGAAATTCCATAATGTCGAAATTTACATAAGCTAGGATTCCCGGTAAAAACCCGGAATCATATGCAACAATTTTCGACATTCGGAAATTTCGACATTATAAAATTTTCGACATTCTGAAAGTTCGACGTTATGAAATTGCGACATTATGAATTTCTACATTAAGAATTTCGGCATTCCGATAGCAAATCTTCTGCTAGATACCCTCAATGTTTTCGGCACGCTCTCCCGCATTTCCCTAATCACATGCCGGAATTCAGCCGGGTTGGGGCCCACTTTTTGGCTGGCGGCCCCCTAGGGGCCCAGTCAAAAATTCGTATGCCCACCCGGGCCCTACATTTTCGGCAACACGCCCGTTTCGGCGGCCGAGGGATGGCCGGGGAGGGCATTCGACCGGGGGGCGCGTCGCATAAATTATGCATTGTTAGGTGCTGAAAGTTTGACGAGAGCCCCATCCCCGGGACATTGCTCCGCTCATAGGAGCATGCCGTCTCCACCCACCCTCCCCGCATGTTTCCGCCCTTTTAAAGGGACTTGGAACCCAAAGATAACCCCGAGCCTATGCCGATTTCAGACCTTGATCCTCTTGATAACCAAACCTGACATGGAATAAGATCCCGACATTCGAAAGCCCCTCAGATTCCCTGAAAGTCCCCGCGCGGTACAAGTCAATGGGAATGGGTCGCAAAAACTGATGGAGGCGCCCAGTTTTGGGCCCAAGGGCCCAAATCTGGACCTCCGACGACACGCAACAGCCCAGTTGGCCCATCCCCCTCCGAGTAAGTGCTCATCAATTTGGGGGGAGCGCGCGTGCTCCCGGGCTATAGAGCCCGAGCCCATCCTCAACGCTCAAGCACTTTTTCGGCTTTAGTGAGCACTGTTTATGGCTCCTTTCTCTCTCTCTCTCACTCTCTCTCTCTCTCGCTCTCTCTCGATCGCTATTTCTCTCCGTCTCTCCCTCACTCTCGGTCCTTCGGAAAGCCCAGGCTAGCAGAGATCATTCAGGAGCCCTCGCTTGTCTTTGTCAGCCGCCATCCAAAATGTTTTCTGCTAGCCGGCCCTGAATTTTTGATGCCGAATCGGCCGATCCTCCATCGCTCATCCTCATCCACTAGACCCCCGGAAATTGGCCTCATTTATGAGCTTCTTCCTCGTCCTCCCATGCCCTTCGCCAGGGATTCCAAATTGCTACTCCGTGCGCCCACCATAGATCCCCAAAAATATGGCAAATAACTCGGTGTGGCCTCGGCCTAAGCCTAAGCCTCAGCCAAGCCTGCGTCTAAGCCTGGGCCCAAAGCTAAGCTTAAACCTAAACCTAAGCCTAAGCCTAAGCCTCACCCCGCTAACCACAGGAATTTTGGATCGACTTCAGCCCCCTCCTACACAACGCCAAGAGGCGTCGATGTGAATTCAATTTTGCGTCGCCACGAATTTCTTCGGGGATCTATCCCCTTGTCCGCGGCGCTCCTCTAAACGGCGTGTCGGTCCACCGGAAAGAGGCGTAGCTCCCCTCGGCGGGGTCAAATCGAGTTGTTGTCAAGCGGTTTTGTGTCGCCAAGTCCGCTAGGGGGTCTCTTTTTAGTGTATACGGTAGTGTTTTCGAGCTTTTCGAACAGGTTCCAAATGCTCTTTGCTAGCCGGTCTTTCTTACCGAATCGTTGCTAGCTTGTTTTTCTACAAACATCGTTTTTGTTATGTCTGTGTCCCGTGAAATCGCGGCGTAATCGTCGGGTGCAATATGCAAATATATCGATCATTGGCCCCAAGTAAGGTTATCTAGTTGGATCGTGAAGAAACTCTGCTATCTCGCCTATCTCTCAAAATCTCTGCTAGCTTTCGTTTTCCGAAAGAATCGCTGCTAGCTTTCTTTTTCTGAAAAAGCTCTGCCCTTTCCTAACGGTTCTCGATTTCAAGGATCCTAACCGTCTAAAGAATCTCGACTAGTTTGCCCTCCTAAAGGATCGCTGCTAGCTCTCCGTTGATCGTAATTCTTTTGCTCCTTTATCCATCCAGCTTCTGGGTGTCAATGGCAGGCTAGTGGAACCCTCGTACTCCTCAACAAGTGCCCCAATCAGCCACCGCAACCTCGACATCCTCTACCCAGCATTCCGGACGCTAGCAGCTATTCTTGAAGATAGGCAGGCTAGCGGATATTCTTTAGTAAAGGGCAGGCTAGCGGAGAGTCTTTGGGAAAGGGCAGGTCAGCAGAGATTTTTGAGGAAAGGGCAGGCTGGCGGAGATTATTTTGAAAAGTCCCGCCCCTAACAATTCCGCAAACTCAGCGGCGACCTCAACAAAAACAGGACACTCTTCGCGGGCTGTTAATCCAATTATGGCCATCAGCGGGCACGGGCGAGGAAACACCTCTACGCCCTTTCTTTTTTTCCGTCCCGTTTCTAGCATCCTAAAGAAACTCTGCTACCCTGCCTCTTGTTATTCTCTTGGTTGCTGCGTTTCAAGTCTTCCCTTGTAAAACCAAAAAGCCCATCGAGAAGAGTTGTACCTTATGAACCGCCGGAAGACATAAATTACGAACCTGCGACGAGACGTGGCTGGGGGAATTGAAGTGGCTGCTGCACCACTCGAAATTCAATTCGATTCCATAAGCCCGGGAGGCGGAGGGACCCAGAATCGATGGAAAATCGAGGAGTTAAGGATGGACAGCTTAAAAGGGCACCCAAGTCTAAACCAGGGTAAAAGCTAGCATTCAAAACCTAAAAAAGCACGCCGCCATCTTGATCAATTCCGCTATATCAGATTATCCCTCTCTTCCGCGCTCTCGCTCTCTCGCTCTCTCGCTCTCTCTCTCTCTCTCTCTCTCTCTCTCACCTACTTTTTCCGACCCACCCCCGCATGGTCAACCCGGTGGAACGGCACGGCTCATCCGCTATATCCTATCCGCTTTCGTAATTTTTGGTTTCCGATATGCCCTTAGGCGTCCTTAAAAATCTCTGCTAGCCTCCCCTTTCCAAAGGAATCTATGCTAGCCTGCCCTTTCCTTAATAAGCTCTGCCAACGCGCCGCTCCCTAAAATTTTTAAAACATCGTTTCAGAATTCCGTCCGCCCCCGGCGATGAGTCACCGCTATCGGGACTCACCGCCCAAGCCGAACGTACTTGAAAATAGGTAAGGCTATGGTTTCTCAGAATAAAAACACTGATTATGGCATTTCGACATTGCCGATTGCGAGTTTATGAATTCAGACATTCGTGGATAAGCCCTAAATCTAAGCCTAAGCCCGAAGCATAAGCCTACGCCTTATCCTAAGCCGAACCCTAAACCTAGGCTTAAGCCGACTCCTAAGCCTAAGCCTGAGCATAACCTATGCCTAAGCCGAAGCCTAAGCCTAAGCATAACCAATGCCTAAGCCTAAGCCTAGGCCCAAGGAAAAACCCATCCAGCTTCCCCCTCCCGGCTCAAGAAAATACACCCAAAAACGGCAAACCCCCATAGACGGCGTCCCCCATATCATGCATTTCGAATGCGCTAAACGGGCACATTTTGGCGACTATGGAAAGGGTCCCGCCACGAAATAACACGCTGTCGGCAGCCCCATCAAGTCAATTTATTCAATTTAAACGTCCCTTCCAATCGATTACGCCACCTAAACCTTAAATGTTACAATTCGTCACCGTGCCCCTGCTGTGCAGACCCAAATTTCGGGAGAAGAAAAAGTGGGTGATGGGCGAACGAGCAGGAATTTTGTGGGAAGACGTGCTAGCAGAGATTCATCCGGATAGGCAGGCTAGCAAAGAGTTTTTAGGAAAGAGCAGGCTAGAGGAGATTGGTTACAAAAGGCGAGGCTGGCAGAGATTCGCTACGGTCATGCTCACTGATTTTTCCAGTGAGCCCTGCCAATTCTACCAAAAAATCGGTGCCTGCCGCCACGGGGACAAATGCTCGAGGTGAGGAAAACAAGCTTCAAAACTGCTTTGATATTTTAGGGTTCACACTAGGCCGGTGAAGAGCAACACCATCCTCCTGAAGAACCTCTACCGCCAGGCAAAATGCTTTCTTTTTCCTTACGGAGGTATGGCCGTCTTTCCTCTCACTCTCTGGATCTTGTTTTCTCTCTCGCTCTCTCTCTCTCTCATTCTCTCTCTCTCAACTCTTAATTTTCAGTCGAACCCCTCAGCGACGCGCTCGAGCAAGCAATTTTTGAGGAATTTTTTGAAGAAGTAGGTTCGAAGCTTTGCGAGGAATTAAAGGATCTCCGCCAGGCTGCCTTCAATTCCTAAATAATCTCGGCTAGCCTACAAAGTATAATTCCAGGTCTACAACGAGATCAGCCAGACATGCGGGCGTATCCGCGAGATGCACGTCTGCGAGAACCACGGTGCCCACTTGAATGGAAATGTGTATGTGAGGGTTGGTGAACACATAATTTGCCAAGGTTAGGCCAATGCTAAGCCTAAGCCTGTCCTAAGCCTAAGTCTAGGTCTAAGCCTAAGCCTAAGCCTAAGCCTAAGCCCGAGCCTAAGCTTAAGCCCAAGTCTAAGCTTCACCTAAGCTTAATAAGCCTCTCTCGCTTTCCAGTTCTACCACTCGTCAGCAGCGCAGCGGGCTGTGAAGCAGCTCGGGGTACGGTACTTCGCCGGTGCGCTACCCGAGGTCGAGCTGTCGCCGGTGCACGACTTTGTGGACGCCAGTTGTAGACAACATCAAACTGGGTAAGCTAAGGCTGTGAGGCGATTTAGAGGGATCGGCAGGCTAGCAGCCAATCTTTAGGAACGGCATTCTGGCAGAGGCTCCTGAGTAGAGGACAAAGTCTTTTAACGACCGATTTCACAGGTGCTGTTCCCGCGGTGGCATCTGTAATTTCATGCACGTCCGCGAGATCCGCAACATCATCCGGGATCGCCTCCAAAAGGTATCGATTTTAGGGGAACGTTAAAGGCAAAATCTTCCCCGCCGCTGCAGGCTCGCCCCAAGCCAACTTTTCAGCGCTCCAAATCGCGTTCGCCGAGCCCGTGCAGCAGTCGAGGGTCCTCTCGAAGTCGTCAAACAGCTTCCGGATCTGCCCTCAGCGACTTCGAGACGTCTGAAGGTGTCCGAAAGCGTCGATGTCGCCGGAAGGAGCCGGAAGTGGTAGATGGGAATCTGCCGACGAAATATCAGACAGTGCCGATGTGAGTTTGGCATGTAGAGAGCGCGAGAGAGAGAGAGAGAGAGAGAGCGAGACAGACAGAAAGAGATACAGAGAGAGGCGGGGAAGAGAACGAAAGGAAGAGGGAAAATTTTCAACTTTCCAGGCATACCAGCAGCGATGAGATGTCGGACACGGACCCTTGCGTCAATGAGAGCCTCTCAGACGATTCTAGGGCAACACCGAAGGCGTTTAGGACGGAAAGGTAGCACAGGTTCTTTAGCAACGGGCAAGCTAGCAGGCATCATAAGCATGAGCCTATGCCTCCTAAGCCTAAGCCTAAAAACAACAGCCAACGTCTAGATTCGTCTCGGCCGACGAAATGGAACTCCCCTCCAGCGACGACTCCGAGCCGGCCGATCTCAAGGAAAAACGCGAACGGGACATCAAAAAGATGCAAATCATGTGGGTCGCCCAAAAATTAGAAGTTGGCATGATGCCATTTCATTTATGGATAAATTCTCCATTCTTAGACGGCATCGTCGTTGGGAGTTGATGAAGGGGAAAATAGGCTCCTCTGCGACAGAATGCGCCGCCGTGGATGGCTATGAAGACTGTCAAGAGGAGACGACGCGGAATGCTATCTGCGGTTTTAGTTGATTCGACGCTACGGATTGCTTGCATTTTCATACGGGTCTTGAAATAAATTTTTTTGCCCAAAAACGAGGAATTTTTTTCAATTGCCGAAGTTCAAGAATAACTGCTAGCCTGCCCTTTCCTAAAGAATCCCTGCTAGTCTGCACTTTCCTAAGGAATCCCTGCTAGTCTGCCTTTTCCAAGAATTTCCATTACATTTTTGCGGGCTGAAATTAAATCTCTTAGTTGATTTTTGTAGCTCTATCGAATGGCACTCGCAAAATACCACAGTAATTGTAAAAACTTCATAGTAATGAATGGTCCCCCGTTATTTTATCCCCCCCCCCGTTATCCTATGAGTACCGGCTTAGGCATAAGAAATTGATGAATGATAATTACCCGCAAACTTGGGTAATTGAACCGGGCGCCGCCGTGCTTTCCCACTAGCCCCCCACCTGGCCCACTGTGTGGACAGATAGTCCAACCCTCTCCACCCCAATTCGTCAGTCGGTTCACCCCAACCTTCTGACTAATGGGTGTCAGGGCTCCCCTTAATGCCTGCAAATGGGTGTAATGGCTCCCCCTTAATGCCTAAGAAAAGCTTCGGCTTCTGAACTGCTTGAAAAGCTTCGGCTTTGCAGTGAAATACTGGCTTGGCTACGTGTTCTACGTAGTCCAAATGCCTAAGCAACCGGTTGGTAAGGCTGCAGCCACAGGCGCGGCACTTACGAAAAAGCCTGGCCCATACACGTGGTGGCCAAAAAGGCAAATTTCCCTCCCCCTCTCTCTCCCCCCTCTCTCTCCCCCCCTCTCTCCCCCCCTCTCTCTCTCTCCCCCCCCACAATGCTTTATCCCGTCCCCCTCCCCCTCTCCCCCTCTCCCCCCTTCCCCCCTCCCTAAAGCCCCAATCTCCCAAACCCCCAAAAACATCCTTGACGCTCAGCCCTTGAGTGCCCCCGTTTTTTTCGTTTTTTTTTCCCCCCGTTATCCTATGATTCCCAGTTTTTTTACAGTCATCCGGTAGGGCCCTCGCTAACAGGCCAAGGCCCTTGCTAGCCTGCCTTTCCTGAAGACGCCAGAACATAAATATTTATTCAGTCCGGTCGAAGAGCTGATAGATTTTTTGGTCAGCTGAAAGGACGTGGTATCACAAAGTAATGGTATATTTATAGACGAAGAATTCATTCAAAGAAAAAGGTGGGTGGACCCTGTGATATGTGCGAATAATTAAAGGGCGGGCTGGAGGAAAAGATATTAACAAAAGCCGATAATATTTTTCAGGCAACTTACAGCTAATCAAAGCTAGGGGCAAAAAAAATGAGCGATCTGAAGGTTGGGTAACGGCAAAAAAAATGATCAAGTCTAAGTTTGATTTTGATTATTCCTGGGTCGACTGAACACCTCATGGGCGGTCAGGTGGCGGCGAGGCGAGGAGAAGGATGTGTCTTTTTCTGAATGTTTTAATTTATGGTTAAAACATAAAGCTGTTCGATTTTCCTCAAGGGTTTCTGTTAGTCCTCGTTTCCTAAAGAAGCTCTGCTAGCTTGCCCTCAAGCAACCCACCTCTCGTCAGCCTCAAATACTTGATGGAGATGAGGAGCAACAACATGAGGAGCGCCACCGACAAGCCACCCAGGCCTGCAGACGCCCAGAAGAGCAACGAGTGTGAGTAGAAGCACTCAGAATCTAGGAAAGGTTCGGCTTAGGCTTAGGCTTAGGCTTAGGCTGAGGTTTAGGCTTAGGCATAGGCATAAGCCTAGGCTAAGGCTTCTTAGGCATCGACTTGGGCTTACCCTTTCCGTTCTGCTTTTCCACGGCATCCATTGGCGGCTCCTCGTCGAGCTCGTAGATCATCAACTGGCCGGCAATCAACGGGGGCCCAATAGCGGTTTCTAAAATGATTTGTCAGTTTGATGATTTCGCATACGATTTTTCACGTCTCGTCTGACGACTGTAGTGGTTGTGTTCTCCTTCCGCTCGCCGGAATCGGCCGGAATCGGCTGGTCGCGATGCCGGGCCGACATCCAATCGACCTGAAATTAGGGCTTCTAAAAATGTCTTTTCAAGTCGGCGCTTTGCCAAAAAAATCCCGGTTGCCCCGCGGTTCCTAAGTAATCGCTGCTAGTCTGCCCTACGCGATCACTCGCCTTGATCTGATCGACCTTTTCTCCACTCCTCCCAACTCGTTTGACATGCGGATTGATGACGTGAGCACTCTCCTTCTAAAAGGTACGGTGGTTAGAGCAGAATTTCTAAAAGACCCCCGCCTCGAAGGGGGCTAGCAGAGATTCTTTAAGACCCACCATCATCTCCTTCTTCAACATATCCATACTCTCCAGCAGCACCTTCCTGTCGATCACCGAGTCCCTGAACATCTTCTGCAGGCTGTCCGCGTTGATGTCGTCGGGCAGGTTCGCGAGCAGGTCGGTGAGGTTGGGCGGGATGGTGACGTCCTCGTAGTCGTTGTAGTCGTCTAAATCGGGAAGATTGCGAACGGCGGATAAAGCTACGTTTCGTCGAGGTTCTGGCCGTGGTCGGCTGGGCCGTGCCGACGTCGTTGGTCGCGAACTCCTCGGTGACCGTCAGGGAATCCTGGAAGGGAAAAGCCCATTGCACCCGAGAGAGAGACAGAAAGAGAGAGAGAGAACGAGAGAGAGAGAGAGAGAGAGAGAGAGAGAGAGAGAGAGAGAGAGAAAGAGAGAGAAAGAGAATGCTGCCTACCACCGTTGTCGCCTTGGCTCGGGGGGCTTTCTTGGCCTGCGTCGGCACTGGCGGACCGAAGACGGTCGTCGCCTCGGCGTCAAACTGAAGCATTAGGCTTAGAAATAAATAGGCTTAGGTTTAGACTTCAACTGAATCTTAGTTTTCTACTCACCTGGAAATCCCCACTGGTTGGCGGCAAAGCGTACGGGCTGCCTCCTGCACTTGGATCCGGGCTAAAAATCAAGGGGTTAGGTTCCTAAATGAACCCCCAGCTAGCTTGCCTCGCCACCTAGTAGGCAGACTAGCAGCGGCCATTGAGGAAATGGTTGGGAAGCCGAGAATATTCAGGAATTCACCTATGCGCCTTGAAGGTCGATTCATAGTCGTCCGACCCAGCGTTAGCCGCGCCGGCCAGGTCACTTCCGCCGGCTTCCCCGTAGTCTGGCGGTCCGCTAGCGTAGGGTTTAGGCTTCTTCTTCCCGGCTCGAGGCTAAAACTCGCGGGTTTTCCTTGGCGCGACCGTGGGTTTAAGCTATCACCATGCCCGGTCTATTTTCCCTGGGTTCTGAAAACCGAGAAAAAGCATGCGAGCTTTGATTATTTCCCTCGCTCTCTCTCTCTCTCTCTCTCTCTCTCTTTCTCTTTCCATTGCTCTCTCTCTCTCTGTCTCGCTCCCTCTCACTTTCATACAGCTGCAACCCTTGAAACCCGGGGATTCATGCAAACTACCGTAGCTTCGTCGTCATCGCCAAATTCCTAAACATTGACCCGTAATCTGGGATAACATTCCTTTCTTCCTCGTCTCTTTCTATCTCTCTCGCTCTCTCTCTCTCTCTCTCTCTCTTTTTCTCTCTTTCTCTCTCACACCGTACCCGAGCTATCCGTTGCGTGTTCAAATCGTAGTCGCCTGCCGCTTCTGCACCGGCCAGGCCCGCTTGCTCGTAGTCGATTGAATTCTGAAGAATTTTAAGCCTAAGTTTAAGCGTTAGCACTATCCACCTTGTCCTCGCCGCCACGTGTCCTGCCGACTGCTCCCGGCTGCGGGAAATCCCCATCCTCCCCTCCGGTACCATCTCCAGCATTGTTCGGCGCCATCGACGCACATGCGGGCGGCTACAAAATCAGCTTCTAAAGCGTGTCACCCCCTCCTACCGTAATCCCCTTGCACATGCCCGCCTTCTTCATGCACATCTGGATCTGGCAGAAAAACCAGACGCCCGGCTTGTCGGCGAACTTGAACACCTGCGACTCGGCGTAGGCGCGCTGCAGGTCGGGCGAGTAGCGGATGCCCGTGATCAGGATTGGGTTGGTGGGGCAACTGGAAAACCCGGAATAGCAGCGATTCTTTAGGGAAGGACAGGCCAGCAGAGATCCTTTAGGAGGAGGCAGGCTAGCCGAGATCCTTTAGGAAGGGGCAGGCTAGCAGTTATGCTTGATTTTTTTCCGTTTTTTTTTTCGCAAGCTTCACCCCTTGAACTTCTTGATGCCTGCGAAATCGTTGCGTGCCAATTTCGAAATGGGCATCCCAAGTGGGGGGCGGCGGCTTATTCGTGCCAATTCCGCCCCTTACCTATTTTCTGGTAGCCCGCCTAGTGGAGGGGGGTCAGGACTGGTCAGCCCATTGTCCGGCTCGGGAAAAGGGCACATTTTAGCCGGTCAGCCTGTCCATAGTAGCCGCCCGTAGTCGGGTGGGGGGGGGGTATTATTTAAGGGCAGGCTGACGACCTGGACAATTTTTACGACAAATTTGCTACGGGGTTGGGGACCGGAAATCGGGGTCGATGTTCTGGTTTTTGGAGCGCCAAAAATAGGAGAACATTAAAGCGATGGTACCAACTAGGAAAGGAGCGAGAGATAGAGCGAGAGAAAGAGAGAGCGAGAGAGAGAGAGAGAGAGAGACAAAGCGACGGAGACAAAGATGTGACTCACCCATTCTCGTCAATCACTTCCGCCTTCTTCCCGAACCCGTCGGTGACGTAGCAGTTGTTGATCAAAATGCCGAACATTTCTGTGAAAAATAGATAGACATATTCAAATTCCCAAGGACCCACGATCGTTGCAGTGCCACTGGTGCAGCACCTTGTCCCCGACGCGGGCAAATTGAATCGACTGACCGGCGGGGTGGCCTGCGTCTAGGTCCTAAAATCAAAATCTTAGCTACAGTAGCTGCAAGCGAAATTACCTGAATTGATGACTTGTGGATACTGTAGGAGCAGCCGGGGATCCCGTGGCGGGCCTCCACTTCCGTGGTCGGGATCATGCTGAAGGAGAAGGATTTAGGGGGGTTGGGGCAGGCTAGCAGCATTTATAGGGAAGGGCGGGATGACAGAGATTCGTTAGGGAAGGGCAGACTAACAGAGAAGATTTAGAGAAGGGCAGACTAGCAGTGATTATTTAGGAAAAGCAAGCTAGCAGAGATTCTTGAGGAAAAAAGAGGCCTAACAGATATTCTTAGGCAAAGGGCAGGCTAGCCGAGATTCTTTCGGAAAGGGCAGGCTAGCAATGGTTCATATGGACAACACACCTGACACCCAATTCAGCCGTAAGCCCTCGGTTGGCCTCCTCGAAGAAGCACTTAACGTGGAATGCCTGGTCCACCTTAGTGATGAAGAGCTGGAAACAAGGGGGTGTAAATTCCACTCATATGTTGCAGCCCTCACCGGATGGAACGAAACGACGACGGTGACGCCGTAGTACATTCCGCGCGGATCCACCGAACGCAGACTGCGCATCCCGCAGCCACGCTCTGGAATTGGGGCGTTCATTTGAGAGGTTATGCTCAAGAAACTAGGCTGCCTGCCCTAGCAGTAACGCACCAAACGACAAATCGAACATCGGCTTCTTCGTGCGCTCGCGAGAAAAATCATCTTTGTAGCACTCCTCGATTTCGGCCTTGCCTTTTGCGTAGATTCGGCCTGCAGAAAAGTGGTAAGAGCGAGTTGGGAGAGAGAGAGAGAGCGAGAAAGAGAGAGAGAGAAAGAGAGCTGAAAAATACCTGTAAACACCTTCCGCGTCTTGATCCACACTCGGATCCGGTCGTCCATGCACTCGATGTCGGGCTCACCTACAAAATTTACTTTCGAATCCTTAGCCTTTCCCAAAGAATCTTTCCCAGCCTGCCTTTCGCCAATGATCTCTGCTAGCCACGTACCAATGATATCGTTGTCGATGGAGATGGCGTGGATTGTCGTCGAAAGGGCAGAGAAGCAGAGCAACAAAAAGCCGAGGTGGAGGGGCAGCCGCCGTGCCTCCGCTGGCCGCCACCCGCCACTGCGCATCCCCAGCCAGCCAGCCCAGCAAAGCCTATCAGGTGCTACTCGCGAATCCGTTGGCGCCTGTAAAAGCGTAGGATTAAGAACGAGAGAGAGAGAGAAAGAGAGAGAGAGAGAGAGAGAGAGAGAGAGAGAGAGAGAGAGAGAAAAAGAGGGGGGAGCAAGAAGAAACAAGAGGGCAAGCCTAAATTCTTGAACAATGGCGTGAAGCAGGGATTTTTAGGTCAGGTCAGACTAGCAGAGATTCTTTAGGAAAGAATGGGCTAGCAAAGATTCTTTGGGGAAAGGGTGGGCTAGCAGAGGTTCTTTAGGAAAGGACAGTTTAGCATAGATTCTTTGGCAAACGTAAGCGAACGAAGCGGCAACGAACAATCCCTTGAGAAACCCCCGAAAACACCAGAGATCCATTTTTGAAGTTCCAGGAGAAACCTCGAGACGATTCTCGGGGGGTTTTCGATTGCTAGCCCCAGCCGCCCCGGGCCACTTTCACCTCGCACCCTTCACTTTTCGTCGCGCCGAGTTTGTGAGGCAGTGTGGTGCGGGGGTGAAGATGCTAATTGCCGACTACATGACGCTCCGGTATATACAGCATTGAATCGGGGGCGCGGGGTTAGACGGACCGCGCTGCCCAAGAAATGTTTTAGGGAAGAGGGAGAGTGAGAAGGAGAGAGAGAGAGAGAGAGAGAGAGAGAGAGCGGACAGTAACTATTGATAGATCGCAAGGACGGCGGAAACTATTAAGGTAGCTCGGGGCAGGCTATAAAATGCCGCTTCGGAATACCGGCAGACTAGCAAAGACATTTTTAGACAGTAACAGTTTTTAGGAAAAATTCTTTAGGAAAGAGAGTCTTGGAGATATTCTTTAGGAAAGGACAGGCTAGCAGGGATTCTTTAGGAAAGCACATGCCAGGAATTATTCGGGGAAGGACTTTGACCGGTAACGAGAGACTCGCAGGCTGGCAAGAATTCTTCAAAAAAAAAGTTAGAGTAGAGTTGACTGTTTAGAAAAGCGAGCGAGCAGAGATGCTCTAGGAACTTTTCTGCTGCGAGATGGCACCCAGGTTCTCAGAAAAAGTGCAAATCTCAAATGATGAGGTCAGGGGACAGGTGTGTGCATCTAAGTATCTAAGAGGGGCGTGAGGCAAGTAGGGCGAAGCTTCACCGAAGAATAGCTCGCCGGGCGACAGGCCGACGGGCCCGGTCCGGCCCTCCTCCTCCTCGACTTGACCCTCCAAATTGTCGCCCCCCCCAGCCTCACAGAGACATACCCGAGTCACCGGGAGAGCCGGTTCCCCTAATTGGCCCTGACTCGCACGCCTCGTCTAACGCAGACGAGATTGTCCAGGCTAAGAGTAGCCTAAGCCGAAGCCGAAGCCGAAGCCGAAGCCTAAGCCTAAGCTTGTCGACCCAAAACTGGAATGTTGGGAACTGGAATCGTGTAAGCCTAAGCCTAAACCTAAGCTTGACGACCCAAAAGCTGGGACGCCCTTTTTTAAAGCACCTCTGCTAGCCTGCCCTTTTCTAAAGAATGGCTGCTAAGTGTCCTTTCCTAAACAATCCATGCTAGCCTACCTTTCCTAACGAATGATCCGAAAATAGAATAAAAATCGAGAAACGGTAGCATTAGGGCAGGCACTATATCGGCCGCCACCGACGCACTATACGATGTGGCGCTGGTCAGGGAGAATGGCTACTGTAGCCCTTTTTTCCCAAAACTGCCCATCTGGCAGGGTGGATTTCCTTCAAAAACGCCTTCTGGCGGTTTGGGGGCTCAATTAAGCTTCGCCTAGGGCACACATCAAGTGCCAAAAGCGGGGAGAAACCCGGTTCGGCTCGTCACCCCCTCTAAGAGGGTTCCCAGATGAAAATTGCTGCGCGCGCTGCCGTCTCTCGCTACGCAAATCCATACCGACAATTGAGTGGGGCAATTAGTCTTTGCTCGCCAAAGTACCTTCCTCGGACTGTCATGTCTTGCCAACGAACGGCTATGGTGTAGCGTGCCAAACTGTCCTTTTCACTGGCTTGTGCTAAGCTTCATAGAAGCGATCCTTTCCTAAGGTTCATTTCCTGAAACTTGTCGTCATGAGGGGTGCGCAGAAATCCTTAAAAAATTCCCAAAAAAGCCACAACTGCTTCCTAAGATTAAGCCTAAAACTAAGCCTGAGCCTAAGCCTAAGCCTAAGCCTGAGCCTGAGCCTAAGCCTAAGCCTAAGCCTAAGCCAAGCCTAAGTCTAAATTTAAATTTTCGACTGACGACAGCGACGACCACATCTGTTCCTCGCGGCGACGACGGCAAGTGCAGCTGTCCCCATCGCGAGGATCGTCAAACGAGCGTGTCGATGCTGAACATCTGGTGCAGCAGTTTAAGCGAAAAACTGGCCAAGGGATTATATACACGACCATGAGCCTGAGATAGCTTCCCCTGCAGCCTTTCAACCAGCCATTAGCGATGACTTAACCCCGAGAGACTGGTCCAGACTTTTTCCTTGAGGTCTAAGCCAATTTGTAAGCGGGGGGGGGGGCATAAAGTGCGTGTGGTACCACCCGAGTGGAGGTTTTAGGGCCCGTTTTCGGGTCAAGGGGCCCTGGTTCATCATAGGCCATTGAGGGGGGAGGAGGCCCATCCCTCCCGGTGGCCAGGGATTACCCCCTTCCCTTTCCGTTTCCCCCCCAGCTTCTTCTTTCCTATTTCGTGCCCTTACTTTCGACGTCTTTCCGGCAGCCAGGGAATCCTGCTGCTAAAGGACGACCATCAAATCCCCCTCCCGTGGCGCTCTCACCTTGCAATCAAGGCAGTGTTGGGCGGGGTCTAGCCTAGTAGTACGCTTCATGCTTGAAAACTTGAGCGGCAGCCGCTCACCGAGGATTCATCAATTTATCAATTCGATAGATTCGGAACGAGTTATTTTGTATCTTCAAGTTCGAATGATTTTTTAGATTTTTAGTTCTTCTGTTCTTTCGCATTATCGGGGGGATCACTTTTTCCTTAGGATCTAATTTTTTTGCTGATAATTAGTGGAAGTATTTATAAATGGTTTTTACTATGCCTAAACGCGAAAAACTTTACAAACTTTTATTCAAAATTATCGATTTTTCGACCGAAAATGGCCGTTTTTTACCAAAATTTCGACGTTTTGTTTTAGATGGCGTTTCTAGTTGTAATAAAGTTATATATTGCTAAAGACACTATTTAAACGGCCAGTTCCCATACTAAATTTGAGTAGCCTAATAGAGAAAATTTTGTCAACACGATGGCGATATTTGTTGTTGGAAAACCAGCCGGAAAAATCAAGATAGTCGGCCTTGAACTTCGAAAAATTTGGTATGCAGTAGAAAAGCTGGGTCCCATTGCGAAACGTACCCTTTTAATTCTCTTGCAGTGGTACCCTTCTGAGCTTGGTTTTCAAAAGCGAAATTCTGCTCTGGTTGGGTGGCGATTAGGTTTCGGCGGCTTTGGGGCCATCTCCACCCACTCCTACAGCTTCTAAAAGCAGACGTAGGTTCTTTTTCGCGCCCCTCCAACTAATCGAATAGCCGCCCAGGCGGCTGGATTGCAAACTATTCACCGATTTCGGGTTTCGTCCCCATAAAATAAGTTTTACATAAGCTAATTTTCGCAGAAAACGCCGGAACCCGATGCAAAAAATGCAGATATCCTGAATTTCGTATTAAAAAATGACGACATTTTGATTTTCCGCATCATCATTTTCGGCCTTATGAGAGCAAACCACCGTTTTCAGACTAAAACTAGCCAAGGACACACCCATCACAAATGGCATGACCGGATGGGAATGGGTGGCGGCGGTGTTGTTGCTCGTGGCCGGACACCCGATGCCGCAAGCGACCCTCGTCCACGACCACTGCCCATGTATCCGTTTCAACCACACCGGCAGGTGGGAACGGCTGGCTTTCAAGCGGGTCAACCAAAGCATTTGCTATCATAATGTCGAAATTTCATAACTTCGAAATTTTTAGATTCCATTCACCCGACTACCCGAAGAAGTTGCCACCCACCGGCTGCCTAAGCTACCATTTTGTGGTAGGCGGCGAATTATACTACAAATTATATACTCCCGAAATCTAAGCACAAGCATAAGCATAAACCAAGCCTCAGCTTAAGCTTAAGCCTAAGTCTAAGCCTAAGCCTAAGGCTAAACGTACGCCTAAGCTTGAACCCTAACCCTAAGCAGCCTAATTGGGGACCAATTGAGTTCCCCCCCGCAAACGAACCAGAACCAAATTTTCACTCATCTTTCAGGCACCACCAAAGCACATCGTTCGACTAACATTTGATTATTTCGCGCTGCCACCGCGAAGCGAAGGGAGGTAAGTCTGGCATTCACCCACATTCGCCGCTTTCTTTCGTTCAGCCATTTTTCATTTTGTATTAGAAGAGCCTGGGGCTTTTGAATGGCGGCATTGCGTGTGAAGCACGATGAGAAAGGGGGGTACATCGTTCCGGACGACCTCGCGAACCCGATAAATCGAGACAAAATTCGGGTTTCGCAAGTAGGAACCTGCAGAGCGGCTCGAAAATAGTGAAAACTCAATTTTCTAAAGGTTTGAGTTACCTAGCCTAAGCCTAATCCTAAGCCAAGCCTAAGCCAAACCTAAGTCTAAGCCCAGCCTAAGCCTAAGCCTAAGCCTAAGCCTAAGCCTAAGCTTAAGCCTAAGCCTAAGCCCAAGCCTAAGTCTAAGCCTAGCCTAAGCTTCTTTCCAGATGCCCCTCTTCGTTAGCTGTTTGGGAATCGACAAACAACGGTTTCATCGATTCGCAGCAGCAGCCCGACGCCACCTTCTGCGGCAAGGAAATCCAGAGTGGTGAGCCGCCTGCATCTACCGTGCAGAGGCTTTTTAGGGGCCGTCTTCTACTCGGTCGCCCGGCATTACGTCTTCTCCATCAAGACTGCAGCTTTGTCGGGCGGCTTCACGGGCGACTACGAGTTTGTTCCAAGGGGTAAGGAATTTGTTTCTGTTTGCGATACGGGATGCCGGAAGTGAACGGAAAGCCTAAGCCTAAGCATTGAGGTCAAAGATTGGGTTAATGCCTTATTTTCGGCAACTTACTATCTCAGCAAACCTGACCAGCGATGCGCTGCAAACCGCCGAGTGTGCCTTTCGCGTCGAACGCGAGCGAGGTGTCGTTTTTTCGCCGAGGTACGGAGTTTGGAATGCGTGAAACGCGTGCTGCAGATATCCTTACCATCCGCCGGCTCGCGCAAATTGTTCGTATCTGTTCCCGGAGCGTCGCGGACTCGGTCTCACTCTCGCCTCAGCTGAACTGAAGCTCGCCGAACTAGGCACGATCGATGTCTACGAGTTGCGCCCCCAGGTCCGTGAAAAATTTAGTTGGGGTAGTGGGATGACGGTATTTATGCTAAATCAAGTTTTTCGAGGTTGGGCATAATGGATCTGGACTGTTAGCGGGGGGACCACTTTCTGTTTTTCCGCCTATGCCTACCTGTCGATGATGTATTATGTACTTTTATAGTTTTTTCCGTCGTTTTTGGTTGCTAGAAAGAGATCAAAAAATTTTTAATAATGTTGAAATTCGAAAAGTTAGCCGTTTTTTGGTAACTTTTCATGCCATTTTACCAAATTTATGAAAAAGTGGATCATTTTCGAAAATTATTATTTTTTTTTTAGATTGTTTTATTGCGAAAAATTATCTTAAATCCTATAAAAATGGTTTATATTTTGTTAAAGTGTCGTAAAGAATCACAGTGAACAATTTGGCCTCCCCCGCTAACAGTCTAGAACGTGCAAATTCACAATTGTACAGCCGAATTCCCATTTTCAGAAGGTGTTCGTAAGCCGCGAAAGTCATCTATCAGATTCTCTATTCATCCACTCTTCCTATTCGGTCTTGCTGCACTTCTATTCGGGACCGAAAAACGTCAGGGTAGGGTATACTCTTACGTCTGAGTACGATACGATACGCTACGATACGTCAGACCTCTGACGAGGCGTTGCAATCGAAAACAAGATGCGTCGTTTCAGAACAGTGGATTCCGGCTGGAATACACGTATGGAAAGCAGGAGCGGCTTCCAGACATCGCGGGCGGCATCCAAACCGACTGTAAGATTTGGGGAGTTTTCCAAAGATGCTAAAATGGCTGATTTCCAGCCAAAACGCAGAAACCCAAAACGCAGAATGCTAAAACGCAGACAGCCGAAACGCAGACAGCCAAAACGCAGACAGGACAAAATGCAGACAGCCAAAACGCAGACAGCCAAAACGCAGACAGCCAAAACGCAGACAGCCAAAACGTAGACAGCCAAAACGCAGACAGCCAAAACGCAGACAGCCAAAACGCAGACACTGAATATGCTGACAATGAATATGTTGACACCACTGAATATGCAAAGCCAAAACCATCTCATAACTCAACACTTTATTCTTCCCATCCGAAATACAACTGCTGGTACAAGCACAGGAGAAGATCATTTTTGGGATGTTTGAGGATTTGAGATTTTGGGATGATGCGAAGATATGCGAAAGTTGTCATCGCTGTCGAATTAGCAGAATCAGGTGTCTGCATATTCGGTGTCTGCATATTCAGTGTCTGCGTTTTGGCTGTCTGCGTTTTGGCTGTCTGCGTTTTAGCATTCTGCGTTTTGGGTGTCTGCATTTTGGCCTTTTCCCTAAAATGGCTAGTTTCTGTAAGAAGAAGCCTGTTTTTTGTTAAAGAGATCATGGAAGGTCCAAGAAAAATTAGCATAAAATGGCTTTAGTTACCAAATTAGCATAAATCCCTTCTCTGCTCCCCCGCCTTCCTTATCCCTTTAATGGATGCAGGAAAGTCTGGAATTTGTCTGGAAATTGCATAATGTTCATATTTCATAGTTTGAAATGCAGAATCTCGAAATTTTTTTGTATACAATTCGGGGGCTTTCCTGGAAAACTAGCTTATGTAAATTTCTACATTCTGAATTTCGACATTCTGAATTTCGACGTTTTGAACTTTCGGCGATATGATTTTCGACATTTTGAAAGAAAGCCCATTTGCACTATCCACAACCCTTGCGTACACCTAGCTAAAATTTGGCGCCATATGCGGTGGCGGTGGTGGCCTGGAAGGGGAAGGCGGCTTCTTGGGGCCTAAACATCATTTCCTGTGCCATCCCTCCCTCCCTCACTCCCTTAGGGCCCAAGTATCTGCCGTCGAGGGCCCTCCTCTGCCCCGACCTCCCACAGCACTTTCACCTATTATTTTCCGGGGTTCCACCCGACCTTTCAATTACCGGACCGGCAAGGGTATCCTCGAAACCTGGCCCCCGGCTAAGATCATCCGGCACACCAAAATTCTAATGCCATGCGGTTTTTCCTCCCGCCGCCACTCCTCATCACCATATCGTTTATACAAAGTAAGTCGATAACCAAAATTCAAATTGCTACATACATTTTGATTAAGCTCTTAAAAATCGTAGAAAGCGCACTGTACCCAAGAGTTTCTCACCGGGAAAACGCCGACATCAAGCTCCCGACAGCCAAAATCCCCGACAGGCAGAAACCCCAGATTCTAAAGCCATTTATGGGTAAAACGACCGGAAATATCACATTTGGCCTCTCGGGATTTTGAATGTCGGGATTATCGACGCGCTTCCTTCTTAAAAAGGCTCCCAAAAGCATACGTTGATCGCTTCTTAAGCCGGGATTTCCATTCGCCGCTCCTAAGCCTAAGCCCGCACCTAAGCCTAAGTTTAAGCCTAAACCTAAGCCGAAGCCCTAGCTGAAGCCTTTAATGACGTAAATAGTTTCGTCCCGTTCAGATAGATAGCCGAACCTCTCGGTCAAGCCGCCACGAGGAAAAAGTAGGGTGTACGGCCCTCATGCAGTAGCCCGAGGGTCCAAATTGAATTTGGGCCCCGCTGCCCCCAAAACAGCCCAAACAGGCCGCAGGTCGGGTGGGTGGGTGGACAAAAGATTCTTTCTGGGGACAGATGGCGTTTGCTAATGGATCTACGGACACAAATTACAATCCTGAAATGAGCCACCGGTAGTTAGCCTAAGCCTAAGCCTAAGCCCATCGATATGGCTGATTTCCATGGTCGACCTCTTTTAGCCTAAGCCTAAGCCTAATAAGCCTAAGCCTAAGCCTAAGCCTAAGCCCAAGCCTAAGCCTAAGCCCATCGATATGGCTGATTTCCATGGTCGACCTCTTTTAGCCTAAGCCTAAGCCTAAGCCTAAGCCTAAGCCTAAGCCTAAGCCTAAGCCCATCGATATGGCTGATTTCCCTGGTCGACCTCTTTTAGCCTAAGCCTAAGCCTAAGCCTAAGCCTAAGCCTAAGCCTAAGCCTAAGCCTAAGCCTAAGCCTAAGCCCATCGATATGGCCGATTTCCATGGTCGACCTCTGTTATCCTAAGCCTAAGCCTAAGCGAAGCCTAAACTAAGCATGTAATTCCATTCAGCCACCTTCTCCGAATGCACCCTGCAGATTTCATCGAAAAATGGGAAAAGCGGGAAGATTGCCTCATCACAATTGGCCTCCCGCTCCAGCTCGTTACCCTCGAAATGTGTGATCGTCTTTGAGGTGTCGCTGTTTCTCCCTATACTATCGCTTACCTTTCAGGGCAATCAAAACGAGAAGGTCTCCGTCCGCTTCACCTACTTCAATCTGTACGCCCCTGAGCACGCGAACACGACGAAGCGGTAAGTGTGGGGGGGGGGAACAGCCCAAGAGGCTACATTAGAGGCGCCACACTTTTTCGGGGCACTTCTAAGTACCTTTAAACCGGCATGCTCTTTTCAGATGCGCCGAGTATGACCATCTTACAGCGGCCGTCCGCGTCGGCGCGCGATTCTCCAGAATTGGTGCATCTCCTTTGAATATTGACGCTAAATTTAGATACTTGGTGCTCGAAGGACGTGCCCCCACAGTTGATGAGCAGCTCTAACATTCTGCAAATGGAGTATAACACGAAGGTAACGTGTCGAATCCGCAGCCTTAAGCTTAGAATTAGGTTGGCTTTAAGCTTAGGCGTCGGCTTAGGTCTTAAGCTTACTTTCCAAACCTGAAATTTAGTCCTCCCGCGCGGTACGCGAATCGGCGAGCCAAGAGGTCGGATTTCGCCTTGAATACAACTTCCATGCCGACTGGAATATGGGAGAGATGGAGGCACAGTACGACTCAAGTCGAGGTCCGTTTTTAGCGTCAACTGTGCGATAATTCCGGTTTTAGGCTGTCGCTTTGTGTTCAACTCGTCCAGGAAGGAGTCGGGGAAGTTATGGTGGGGTTTTTTCCAGCGGAAGATACAGTTTTCGTTCTCTCTCTCTCTCTCTCTCTCTCTCTTTCTCTCTCTCTCTCTATCTCAATTTCAGGTCTATCAACTACCCCGGCCTCTACCCCCGGAATCTCCTTTGTGAATACATCTTCCATGGACGCGAAGACCAAATCGTTCACATCCACTTTGAATACTTTGATGTCGAGGGATTCAACCAGTCAGTTACTTCTGATGAGGCTTTTCCGGATCGTTATTTGACTGGATCTCGAGAATTACTGGAAATCTACCCCCTTTCAGATGCGACGAACAGTCGCAGAGTGATTTCGTCTTGTTCAGCAACTATCAGGTTTTTGTCCGTCTGCCGATATCAGCCCAAGCCTTTAGAGTCCCGACCGAAATAATCGACGGGTCTGCGGAAGATTTCTGCCCAGAATATCGACAATGTCGGAGTCGAACTACTATCGGTAGGTTGGAAGGGGATAGGTGATGGGGAGTGAAAGCGGGGTGCATGGACTTTGCTTAGCTTTAGGCTTCAGCTTAGGCTTAAGCATGGGCTTAGGCCTGAGATTAGACTGAAGCTTAGGCTTTGACTTATGCTTAGGCTTAGGCATAGGCTTAAGCCTAATTTAGAATTCGGCTCACTTCGACGAAGTGAAAATTTCAGGATGGTTTTCTCGACGAACGAGATCTTTGATGCCACCGGTTTCTATGCACATTATCAGTTCCTCTCCGCGCACCGTATGTTTCTCCCAAATAAAAATCAAATCATTAACCCAGAAAACCCGACAATCTCGAAGGTGAAATTCACCCCTTCGGCCGCCTCATCGACCCATTGCTCAGTGGCACTTCTCTTGCTCTACGCCTTGATATCCGCCAACGCTTAGTACCACCTTGCAATCAATGCGAATAAATATTTATGCTATCCTATGCGATTTGCCATCCTAATTTCGAACAATTTCGAAATGTCATAATGTCGAAATTCAAGATGTCGGCATTTTGATGCATAAGATTCGGATTTTTTTCTGTAATAATTAGCTTATGTAAATTTCGACAACAACATTTTTAATGCTGTTAAAATTAGCTTGTCGTACCTTCGTTCCAGGCCGTTATTGCACGATTTATTGAGATTTTTGAACGGCGGTCGGAAACTGACGTTGACAAGGATTATTGGTAGTATTGATATGCCCGTTGTGTGGCCATCAACAAGTCCACGCATCGATTGCTCTCGCACTTGAAGGCGAAGCCGCAGTCCCGGATCGCTAGCGTACAGAAACGCCCTAGAAAGTAGGTGGTGATGCTTGGAATGCGGTACCTGATCTGAGCCTAAGCCGAAGCTTAAGCCCAAGCCTACCGGAATTTTCGAACTTCCAAAAATGTCTAAATTTTTATGTGTTGCTAGCAATCAACAACCAGAAGCTGGGAAAAACATCACAAAAATACAGTATTTTAAAAGTCCGATAGACACGCAAAAAGAAGAAATAGCCCCCCCGCTAACCGTCCAGTACCAAACTTTGCGTTTTCTGGTCTCATTAGACCTACCTTCAGCCCGATTGCAGCTTCCTACTCCTTCACAGACCTCGCCGATCTGGCATACCTTCAGACTGCATTCTAGAATTGTTGGTGTGAAGGGTGGGGGAGCAATCCGGTATGCTTACCGTTCCTTTGACACGTCCCATCGACACATTCGTACGGCATCGGGCATTCTCCAGTGCATAATATTCCCTGAAATAGGTGATTTACCGTCACAAATGTCGAAATTCATAATGTCCAAATGTGATAGTCGAAGTTTTCCCTGCTTTTCTTACCTGGAGCGCTCGACACTGCCCCTCGCGACACTCGTGGTCCGCCGGGCACCTAAATCGATTAGCCACAATTTCACCGAGTGTTTTACAAACCCCATTTACCATTTTTTACGTATTCAATCTAAATCTATTTCTAAACCTATTAATGCACTGATCAGCCTGACATCTTCCTTCCACACAAACCGTGCCGCCATGGCACACGTCGTCCGAACAATCCAACCCGACCGCTGAACGTGTCGATTATTTGGGTCATCGACTCTTTTCTCACCCGTTATGCAAGTGCCCTCGACGCAATAGCTTCCATCGGGACATACGATGTTCCCACAACCTAAAATTGATTTGTGACATAAGCCGGAGCCTAAGCCTAAGCGAAACCAAGTCCAAGCCCAGGCTTAAGCCTAAGCCTAAGCCTAAGCCTAAGCCAAGCCTAAGATTAAGCCTAAGCCTAAGCATAGCTCATTCCTAAACTTGATGAACATAACCTCACGTTTATTCGGCAAACATTCGCCTCGCTTGCATAGTTGATCCGGGTTGCACGTGCAGATTGGCGGTTGCGGCCGTAGCACACACTAAAGCAGCAGTCCTTTAGCGGCTTTGTCGTAGGCTACAGCCTAAAAAAAGCCCAAGCAAAGACCACGCTTAAGCCTAAGCCTTTTCGAGCTGTTGACTTCAAACTATCAAAAACGCACCTTGTTGTTTCGGCAGTCCAGGCTGGGCCCGCAGTCGGCGTGCTGTACGCAAAAGGCTTCAACCTAACAAATGGCGCAATAACCAACAGGGCGATCACATTCGAACGACAGATCTGGTTATGGCACTCCAATACCCACCATCATCGTGCATTTCCCATCTCGACAAATTTCGCCTTCTTCGCAGTTGACGTCTGCGCAACCTAGACAATGGGCCTGAAATCACGATAGTCTCGGGTTACGGTCTAGCAGGCATTGGCCGTTCACGCATTTCCCGCGCCGGCCACAGTCGGATACGATCGAGCGCGCTTCCCCTTCGGCGGTGAGGACGTGGCGGTTGCACTGTAATTCAGCTTCAAGGCGTTAGCTTACCCAACCTAGGCCTAAGCATAAGCCTAAGCCTAAACTAAGCCTAAACCTAAGCCTAAGTCCAAGCATAAGCCTAAGCGTAAACCTATGCATAAATCTAAGCCAAGCCTAAGCCTAAATCTAAGCCTAAGCCTAAGCCTAAACCTAAGCCTAACAAGCCTAAGCCTATGCCTAAGAATGGTAAATACCAACAACCACTGACCTTAATTGCCGACAATGGAAAACATTTCCCATCAGCGCACACGGTTTGCGGTGGGCAACTCAGCTACAAAATTCCTATATAATTTCGGAAGTACAAATCCAACCTGAGCACAATCTATCTCAACGTTGCCCCGAGCCGACAGGCATTGCGTTTGATTGCAGGAGAAACCCAGCGGGCACTCGAATTCGCCCCATACTGGCGGGCATTTTTCGCAGATTGCCATCAGGAATAAGGGAAATAACAGGGGGATGGTTTTAAACATTTTTTAGCAAATTTTAAGCGGTTTTAAGCAAATTTTTAAGGGGATTTTTTGACAATCAAATAATCAATGCGGGCTGGCAGAAAATGCCCGCTAGGCCTCGAGATCCGGGGGCTGGAACCGGCTTCCCCCGCCTCGAGACTCGTCCTTTTTGGGGTGAGCACGAGAAAGCGGCTCAAGGGACAGTGACACTTTGGAATGCGGGTAATCTGCCGGTTCGGCCAAAGCTAAGGTTGGGCGTAATAGTATGCCTAATCGAAGCATCAGTAGGGCGTAAGCGTGAGTTTGTGTTTATACCGCGGGGAAGAAGTGCCGTAAGTCCTGTCGGTCCGTTACCGCAAGTCAGTCCGTTTGGGAAACAGTTTTATAAGAATATGGATGGCGGAGAAAAACATCGTATGTATCTAGAATCATTTTGCCGCCTGTTCTGGCTTTGAAGTAGCACGTCCGAGCTTGTCGCGCTGTCGCCGATTCTGGAACCACAGCTTGATCTGAAAAGTACATGCATTCTGGCTAGAATACGTCCATACCCTCGTTTCCGCGACGTCAAATTTGGCGGCAATCTCGCGGCGTCGTGCCGGCGAGGCGTACGGATCGTCGTGAAAGCGAGCCTCCAGGTAGTCGCGTTGTCGGCGTGTGAAGGAGTGTCGCGTCATTTTCAGCCGGCTAAAGGACAAGTCTTGAAAGCATTTTGCATAGCTGCTCACCTGAAATTGGCTGGCGAAAAAACCTGAATTCTTTCCACGCTTTTCGTTGGGAGGTTTGGGTGCTAAAAATGTGCATCTGGATTCCGAACTCGGACGACCCAAACGCGATAAAGAAATTCTCAAATGTTACCTGAGAATATTCAGGACAGTTACGCGTTGTCGGATGCCGGTTGGTGCGCTGGTGGACAGCTAAACTTTTTGCATCGCAATGTTGAGTCGAAATAATGCCGAAATACGTAATTTCGAAATGTCAGGTCGAAAGGTTCTTTCGCATTTTTGAAAGCAACTTTTTCTAATCTAATTTTTTAGATATGAATAGTGACAGTGTTTTTCAATGATTTTTTGCTATTCCTAAACGTAACAAATTTCTACAAACATCAAAAACATCGATTTTTCGGCCAAAAAAAGACCGATTTTGGGCCAAAATTTCGGCTTTTTCAATATTATATATTTCAAAAGTTTTTACATAGTTTTGTTGTTTAAGTATAGTTATATATTACTAAAAAATAATGGCACTGTCTATTGACTTACTAGAGATTTCTACTTATACAAAAAAAGGTCGGTCTCCCTTCAAAATTTCTTACCGCATCTAATTTCTTCGAATACGACCTGCAGAGCGTTGAACATGGGATGAGACCGTAGGGGGCTAGTGTAGCCAGAACCACTGGCCGGGTCCCGATCCGCAAGACGATAAAGCTGTTGCTCAAGCGAGAGGATCCATTCTTGATATTGGGCCACTTCGCAGGATGGGTAGGCAGGGGACATCGGCCTTGGCAGCTCGAGCCTGCGTAATTAGACCAAGGTGAACAATGGTGGTTTTGGAATTTGGATGCGACGATTGCATGGGGGCAGATGCCCAAATCGGGGGCTCGAGCTGGTGGCCGCGGGATATTCCCGGATACCCGGGCATTCCAGGTGGTTAGGGAGGGTAGGCGCATTTTTGATGCCTCAAGTGCCGGGGGTAATTCCTCGAAATTAACGTTTACGTTCGAGAAATATAGCGCCAAAATGGTTATGGAATGTCGAAGACAAGAAAAGCTCCTAAGCCTAAGCCGAAGCCTAAGCCTAAACGAAGCGTAAGCCTAAGCCCAAACCTAACCCAAGATTAAGCCTAGGCCTCAGCCTAAGCAAAGACAAAACCTAAGCCTAAGCCTAAGCTTAAGCCTATACTCTAAGCCTAAGTCTAAGCCCAATCCTATGTCTAAGCCCAAGAGTAAGCCTAAGCCCAAATCTTTCCTTTCGATGTGTAAAGTACCATAATTTATTTTTGGAGCCACCTGCATAACGCTGAGCCGTACAAAATACAAATCCACTGTAAAAAAAGACAAAACATGCTCATCAGTGGGGCATCTGCGAAAAGGAAAAGGCTCAGATATCACATATGGGACTCGGATTCTGCGTGGGGTGGGGGAAGGTTATAATTCGCGCTGCACAACGCGGTCTACAGTATTTGGCACATGAAATCTTGTCAATTCTGCATCAATACATTAACAAAAATGGGATGATATATAGAAATCTACAACGTGAGCGACCCGTATCTGTATGGAAATAAAGAAAGGGAGCCATGACAACTCAGGGGGAAATGCCAAAATCCCGACAGCAAAATCCTGATCAGCCAAAATCCCGACAGGCAGGTAGCCCCAGATTTTGAAACCATCTATGGGTAGAACGACCGGAAATATCTCATTTTGGCTGTCGGGATTTTGACTTTCGGGATTATGGCTGGAGTTCCAACTCAAGCTTGAGGAGGACAGTATAATAAGTCTAGAGAGGAAAAGCGTGGATGAATAAGAGAATTCTAGGCCTTTTAGTCGAGAATCTAGACGACAAACGACTCCCCACTATCATCATCGTCATCCTCGTGTAGTGGGCTATTGTAGAGTCCGCCGAAATGCTGTAGATGGGTGGATGGGCGGCCCGATGGACGCTGAGATGCCGTCGAGGGGGAATGGTGCCCGATGCCAGAGGACATTCCACCACTGTGCCCGTTTTCGAAGAGTGGAGCCAGCGAGGGACGCTTGCTCGGCCGAAGACTTGGGCATCCCTGTAAAAGAGCATTTCAGAGAGTCTAAGCTGAGCCCAAGCATATCCTAAGCCTAAGCCTGAGCTTAAGCCTAAGCGTAAGCCTAAGCCTAAGCCCAAGCCTAAAATTAAGCCTAAGCCTAAGATGCTATGGATTCTTGGATCCGATGCTCACAAACCTGTCCATCATAGTCGAAGAAATGCCGAAACGTGAACTCGTAAAAGGCTGGGTTGGCCGGCGCCTTCCCCTTGCTCAACGTCTCGAAAGGACTTTCCGCTGACTGAAAAAAATATTCAAATGGTCGAACTTTCCTTATGTCGAAAATTCAGAGTGTCGAAATTTACATAAGCTAGTACCCGAAAAAGCCCGCCCGCCCCCCTTACCTCGATGGTCTCGAAATTCTGCGTATCTTCCTGATGTTCGACGCGCGGCACATGCTCGGCTTTTTGCTGGCGAAGCGTCGCGAAATCGATCCCCTACAAAAAAGCAAACATTGAAGCAAGTCGGATTCGCTGACCTTAAACCAGGGGTGCGCCATCAGCTCGCTGGCCCCGGCCCGGCCGCCAATACGTTCGCTCTGCTCGCTGATAAGCTGTCTGAAAATCTCATCGTTATTTGGTTATATCGCCTTGATGCTGAGGATCAGCAGGAGGACAAGAATTAGCGTTACCACTCACCGGATCATCCGGACACATTCTCGAGAGAGATGCTGGGTGCATTGGAGTGACAGGTCGAGAAATTCGGGCCATTGATCGATCTGAAAGGGTCAAGGCTTAGGTTTAGGCTTAAGTTGAGGCTTGACTTAGGGGCTTCGCTTATACTTCCGAAAATCTGATTCCCGAAAATCCGTTTCCCGAAAATCCGATTCCCGAAAATAGCATTCCCGAAAAATCCGAATCCCGAAAAATCTGAATCCCGAAAATCTGAATCCCGAAAATCCGGTTCCCGAAAAATCTGAATCCCGAAAAATTCGTTTCCCGAAAATCTGTTCCCGAAAAATCTGAATCTGAAGAATCTGCGGTTTGTGAACTGAAAAAAACCCCTGGTACAATTCAACGAGGCGGGCGGAGGGAGATTCAGGCGGGGGGCAATCTGCGTCTCAGCGCCCGCCCTGCTCTCTAGGCACCCCCTCTGCCTATAGGCCCACCCCCCCCCGCCCCCCGCCGAAATCCTCACCCCCCGCCTATTTGAATTGTACCAAAACCCTTTCTAAAGTTCCTGGGCGACTTCCAAGACGGTGAATTCAATAAAGTTAATTTTTAACTTCGTTTTCTTTCAATTTGGCTTTTCAGAGCGCGGTCTTTCCAGGTTTGGATTCTGGGGCTCGGATTTTTCGGGATTCAGATTTTCGGGAATCGGATTTTCGAGAATCGGATTTTCGGAAAACGGATTTTTCGGGATTCAGATTTTTCGGGAATCGGATTTTCGGGAATCAGATTTTCGGGATTCAGATTTTTCGGGATTCAGATTTTCGGGAATCAGATTTTCGGGAAACAGATTTTCGGGATTCTCATCGGAAATCTTGACTTAGGCGTGGGCTTAGGCGTATTCTCAGTTCAGGCTTAGATTAGGCTTTGGCTTAGGCTTATGCTTAGGCTTAAGCTTAAGCGTATCCTGCCTTCCGGCGCAATCTATAAAAAACTGGACCATACCTTCATCTGCGTCTCGTTGGGGTCGTCGGTCATCGACATGAACGGCGGCCGGCCGATGACCATCTCGTAGAGGATTACGCCCACCGACCACCAGTCGCACAACTGGGTGTGCCCCGTTTTCCGAACCACTTCCGGGGCCATGTAGTTGCCGGTGCCGACGACGGACAGCGCCTGGTGACGCTGGCGGCCGTGGTAGTGACTGAGTCGGCCCTGTAAAAAAAGCGTAGAGGCAGTGAGAGAGCGAGGAACAGAACGAGAGAGGGGGAGCGCGAGAGCGACAGAGACTGTGATTTCAACCAACCGGCAGCAGCTTGCTGTTCTCCTTCAGCGCTCGCTTCAGGTCGTCTGGCAGCGTCAGCGAGTCGTGGCGACTGTGTGACGGATAATCCTCATTTTCCGGGCCATAATATCTGAAATCCGTTGCAATGACAAAATTGCCGTGCCCACCTCCGGTCGTGCGTCCACCGCAACCCGGTGCACAGCCCGAAATCGGTCAGCTTGATGTGGCCCTCACGGTCGATGAGGATGTTGTCAGGCTGAACGGCGTCGGTTAGGCTTAGGCTTAGGCTTAGGCTTTAAAAAGTGAATCGACGCATGCTAAAGGATCGCTAAACACCCACCTTGATGTCGCGATGTATAAACTTCAGGGAATGGACGTACTCCAGTGCGCAGGTCAACTCCGCCGTGTAGAATCTAAAATCATTGGCGTGATTTGGCAGGTTTCAGTCTCTCTCTCTCTCTCTCTCTCTCTCTCTCTCTCGCTCACTTTCTCTTTTTTTTCTCCATCTCTCTAGCTTTACCTCGCCAATTTTTCCGGAAATATACCCATCGTGATCAGCATGCCCATCATGTCCCCGCCAGGCACGTACTCCATGATGAAATATAGACACCTTAAATTGAATGATGGACCCGCGCCGACGTGAACGACACTCTCTCGCTCTCTGGCACTCTCTCTCCCTCTCTCCATCTCTCTCCGCCCACCTTTCGTCCTGGAAAGAGAAGAAGAGCTTGACAATCCAGGGCGAATTCGCTTCGGCGAGAATGTCGCGTTCTGCTTTGACATGAGAGGCCTGCTGTTTTTGATGACGTCACTTTTTTCGTAGCGTCTTCATCGCGTAGACTTGCTCCGTGTCTTTCTGAAGGGTCATCGATTAAGAACATGTGGGAAGCCACATGTCTCTCTCTCTCTCTATCTCTCTCTCTCTCTCTCTCCCTCTCACCAACCTTCTTCACCAGGGCCACCCGTCCGAATGCCCCGACGCCAATCTCCTTGAGCACCTCAAACATTTTTGTGCTCATCTTTTTGTCGCTTCAGCCGTATATACCTTTAAAAAGCCACGTAAGTCCGAAAGGTCAAGCCCACCGATTTTCCTTTTGAATCAAAAATGACAACATGCTGTCCTTCATCATGTCCGACATGTTCACCGCTTCCATTTCTTTTTGTAGCTGCAAACACGGTTTAGAAGAGGGTATTAGCATAATTCTAATTTTATCGCCGCTGGCTTTTCATTACGCACCTGCATGGCCCGTTTTTGTCGCTCGCGATGTGCCTGGACGACCCGCTCGACGTGCTGTTCCATGAAGAAGCGGTAGAGATGGGGCGTGATGGGTTTGACGGCCGATTCGAAGGTCTTGTCCTAAAGGTGGTGTTAGGCTTAGGCCTAGGCTAGGGTTTAGGCCTAGATTTGTACTTTGCTTGGGCCTAGTTTGGGCTTGGGCTTGAGCTTGGACTTAGCTTAGGCTTAGTGTTGGCTTAGACCCAGGCTTAACTCAAGCTAAAGCTTGGGCATAATCGCGGCTTAGGCCTAGGTTTAAGATTAGGCTTAGACTCAGGCTGAAGCTTCGGCTTAGGCTTACACTAACGCTACAGCCTTGTTACACCTGGTTCGACAACTTACTCGTATCCGTTTTTCGACGCTTGTCGGCAGTGAAGACAGATGGCAAGTCGGACCCGACGGTGAACTGGAATTTAGAAAGGATTAGATGATTATAATGAGCCGATAGATCATCAAGAATCCGTGTCCACCCACCTCCTCTCCGGGGGATAGTAATCCCGGGAAGTGCTCGGCATTTGGTTCGGAGACACTCGTCCTATTTTATGGCCATGATGCTCGATGCGGGGCCCGCGGGGGCAGAACTTATCGCGGTAGTGCTTCATCTGGTGGGGTTCACGGCTGATGTCCGGGTCGACGAGGATGTTCTGGACGCCCTGCATCCCGGTGGGGACGCCGGTGACCGTACTAACACCACTGGGGGCCAAGTAGTGCGTAGCGTAAGCGTATGACTCCTGAAAATGTTGGAAGTTGGGTGGTTAAATTTATTTAGAGCCAGGGAGAGAGAAGAGAGCAGATAGAGAGAGAGAGAGAGAGAGAGAGAGAGAGAGAGAGAAAGAAAGAGAGAAAAAAGAAAAAAAAGAAAAAGAGAGAAGAGAGAAAGGGAAGGAGAGAAAGCTGGAAGGGGGGGGGGGGGGGGGGAGGAGGGGGGGGGGGGGGGGGGGGGGGGGGGGGTGAGAGCGAGAGAGATAGAGAGAGAGAGAAAGTGATTCATAAACATCGGAAATATCTCACCTTGGTCGATGGATTGATCTTGATATGGACCTGGTTGGCGGCGGAGGGCGGCGCAATCATCGTGGCCTAAAGCACAACATCAACGTGGACTCGAATCCTAACCTTAATCCATTGAATTGGTTCCTTCCGTGGCGCCTCCCCTTCTCCCATGTTCATCCACGCCCTAAAAATGCGGATTTGGTAAGACCGGGGGCATGCAAAGAATTGTCTTTTTTAGTTTAGTACCTTGACGTCTCCTTCTTTGGGGCCCTCTCGATGGATATCATCGGGCCTCGAGCCGTGCTGGGGACAACCCGTGGTATTCGCGGAATTTCTTCACCAGGTTCGGGTTGTCGACTGGAATTGCGATTGCGATTTTCTGGCAAACTGCCGAAATTCCGTCATTATGATTTTCAGCACAACCAGGGATCGTCATAAACGCCGCAACATTTTCGTAAACCCACATTTGCATATGGACGTGCGAACGGCAGTTCCCCTTCGGAGGTGCGGGCAGGTAGGCACGGTTCTGGTAGGGCGATTGCATCGTGGCCATCTGATGAGCTGACGGGGAGGCCGAGCGGGGAGATTCACTAAAACAAATTTTTAAAGGGACTGGCAAAGTGTGCTGACCTCTCCTCCACGTAGCTGGTACTCGCGAACCCGTACGGCTGCCCCGCGAAATTCCCGAAATTCGGCGTCGACCCAAAATTGTTGGTCGACATCAGGGAGCTGCCGCCGTAGCCGCTCGAGTTGATGCTGTTCAGCGACTGGTTCGGCAGTTGTGGGTTATAAACTTGGTGGTCTCGGTCCGATTGGCGCAAATCCTGCAAGATGGGGGCGTATTTTAGGTTGCATTTTTATTTTTGTATTATTTCAGATAGATCGTTTTATTGAGAAACTTACAGAAGGGTTCCTAAGCTGATTGAGCAGTTGGTTGGCCGCGGTGATGCTCTTGAATTGTACGATCTGGAGAGCGCGGCTGGCCAGCGCCTAAGAGAAATATCGGCGTTTCTTTCAAAATTTCGAAAATCATAATGTCGAAATTTACATTAGCACATTTGCCCAGAAAATCCCCCAAATCCTATGCAAAAAAATGTCGATATTCTGAAATTTCGAGATTATGATAGCAAATCGAATTATCATGATAATGGTGAGGGTGAGAGAGAAAGGGAGAGAGAGAGAGCGAGAAAGAGAGAGAGCGACGAGAGAGAGAGAGAGAAAGAGTCACCAAATTGCGTTGAAAACGCACCCGATCAGTGCCGGCCTGTGTCATCAATTTGATCATCTGTTCTTGTTGATCCAGGGATACTGTATAGGATGGTGTCGCGATGGGTTCATCCTGGCTTTGCTGAAAAGCTCCGACGTTGCTAAGGTTTATGCAGAACACTTACAACAAACGGCTTTAGCGAGTCGCGGATTTGCTCGAGTTTCTCGCGATATCGCCCGACTTTGAGGTCCTGAAAACAGGCGAATTAGCAGGAGCGCTTTTTCTACTGGACATGCAAAAAAGGTACCGCCCCTGCCTCAAAAGAAGGAGATGACCTTAGCCTAAGCCTACGCGTAAGCAAGCGCTTTTCCCTAGAAAAACGGCATTTATCGCACCGGAAACGGGATGCCGTTATGTGTATGGAAGAACTAAGAAGCCACCAGAAACTGCCGATTTTTAAAGCTCACCCTCGCTGCCATCATTGCCGGGGGAGCTGGCAAAAACTCAACTATTTACCAGAGCCTCCTAATATGAGCACATAGTGCATGATAGCGGGGTCGGAATTTGGAAAACGTTTTCCATGCGAGAGAGAGAGAGAGAGAGAGAGAGAGAGCGACTGGGTGAGAAAGCATTCCAGCACACCTCTCATCGCCTCGCCCCCTTTCCACATCTTCGTTGTCATAGGAAAATGATTGGGAATGGAATTTGAGCGGTGCGGCAGAGGGGGCGGAAGCTACGGCCGCTCCATTTATTGTGACAATAAATGGCAAAGGTGGTTTTTAGATATCAGCGCTTTTTTCCTGGTAGAGCGCTTGGAGAAGCGCAACCCATCCCCATTTCAAGCCCTGCTCCTTGCTCCTAGGACAAACCAATTTTTAGGGAGCCGCTCCAAATCCTGCCCATATTTGGACCGACCGAAATATCACAGGCTTCAACGCCTTCAAGTGGGCCATTAAAAGCGGAATGCAAAACTGATTAGCCGGGGGCCGGAAATGAGTGGGTGGTCTGGGAGGTTTGGTGCAAAAGGGATGCTTATAACTTGGCTTAGGCTTGGGGTTAAGCTTAGGATTAGGCTTGGCCTTAAGGTCGGGCTTAGGCCTAGGCTTAGGTTGAAGCTTAGGCTTAGGCTTAGGCTTAGGTTTGGGCTTAGGCTTAGGCTTAGGTTTAGGTTCAGGCTTCGCTTTAGGGTTAAGCTTAAGCTGAGGCTTCGGCTTAGATTATAACTTGAAGTATGGCGGCGAAACGAAATCGGTCGTCAGTTTAAAAGTTAGCTACCGGAAATTTTTCATCACGAAAGTTTCGAGGTAATGAATTTTTTCGAAGATTTTGCAAATGGGATTTTCTTTTCCAGATGTTGATTGACGTGACAATGATAGAGTTTGACAAACGCTTTACCTGGTTGGGCGGATCATGATTTCTGATGGGGGTTCGCGTGGATGTGGACGAGGTTGGGGGCTCTCCGTTTAGAAGAGAGGTTCCGGCCGAGCGCATCGACCAGTGGCCCACACACACCGCCAGATGATAACACGGCAGTGGCCGGGGGACGGGCGCCTGGAAATTGTTGATTTCTTTGATGGATCATTTACAGTGAAGCATGGGGATATCTTTCAAACTGTCGGAATTCATGATGTCGAAATTTCAGAACGTCGAAATTTACATAAGCTAGTTTTTCCGGAAAAACCCCGAACCGGCCAAAAATTTGTCTTTCTGATTTTCGACTTTATGAATTTCGTGATTATAATAGCAAAACAAAAAACATGTGAGCAGAGAAAATGATCATGTGAAAATCAAGAGAATGGGGAGAACGGTCGAAGCAGAGTGTGGTGGAATCGATTAAAATGGATAAAAGCCAAAATCTCTCTAGTTCTCTCTCTCTCTCTCTCTCTCTCTCTCTCTCTCTCTCTCCGTCCCCTTCTTTCTCTCTTATGCTCTCTTTGTTTCTATTGCCTGAATCGACCAAAAACAGGGTGAATCGACCCAGTCGGAAAATGCATGCAGGCAAACGGATGGCAGAAACAGAGGCAAAAATTATCACAATAGATTTTTGTCATTTTAGGCCGTAAAGTCTCGATGCTAAATAAAAACATTAGCCTACCTTAAGGGTATTATGCCTGATAAAATGCGTTTTCGACCTAGTTCTTTATGTCCAGGTTGTCTCGACACCTTGAGTCACCGCAAAATAACGTGCTCCGCCTCAAATTGCAACGGCTGATAGCGAAGAATAAGCCAATAAGTCACACAACATCCCCAGCCCCGTAGACCCGAGATTCCGGGGTAAAACATGGGGAAAACCGAGGTACAAAAAACTGCCATAATGGTATGAGAATATGTGAAATAGAGGGCGTGAAGAGATATTTTCTCCGAGTGGTGAGATTCCCGAATAATTTTAACGCGTTTTTCATCGTTTTTCTGGCATAAATGAAGCAAATTTCTGCAAAAACTCAATTGAATCGGCTTCAGTCCCATCCAAGCTGTTGTTTCTCAAATGCGTTTCGAAAAGCCGACCTTGGGCTGCCAGGAGTGATATAAAAATGTGGAAAATGGGGTTTTTGTTCCAACACTAGCATGGGAAAAAGCATCAAAATTTAGTAAATGTTATAAAAAATTCGGGAATTTCCAAAATCGGAGAGTTCAGATCTCTGCATCTCGTTGAGGGCTTTCGATATATATCTAAATCGCAAAAGTCGGACATCACTGCGGGCCGCTAAAGGGTTTTTTTGGATACCCGGTATTTTACTGATATATTAAGTAAATAGGAATAAATATATGGCCCCGGCTGGCACAATTATAAACGTGCGGCCAGATGGTGGGGCCGTATGTTGGTGGTGGTTGATGGGGGGTGCAGGTAAGGGCGTGTGCGGATGGTGGAGAAGAAGGAACCGGAGGGCACAGACGCATTCCTTTACCTGGCTAGTGAGCGAGAGAGAGAGAGAGAGAAGAAGAAGAGAGATACAGAGCAACGAGCCGATCGCAAAGGGGGGAAGGTCGAGACGCACGGGGGGCTGATCCGATCGATTGAGAGGCTGAGCAGAAAGGACGACCCGGCTCTCTCACTCTCTCTCTCTCTCTCTCTCTCTCTCTCTCTCGCTCTATCTCTTCCTCCAACCAGCGAATCATAAGGAATGACTAAAGAGGCCGAGCCGACAACAGCAGCATCCCATCCCCCCCCACATTCCACATAACACCCCGGATCCCCCAGAGAAGGGAAACCACCTCATCTCGACTATCATTCCTGAAATGTCGACGGCTAACTTCTGATGATAGTCGGTGTGATCTGATGCTCATAGCACAAGAGAGTGAAGCTAGCCTAATGCCAAGCCTAAAACTGAACCTAAGCCTAAGCCTCAGCCTAAACCCAAGCATTAGTTTGATCAAAATTAAAAATGTATCGGAGCCAGCCATTAAATCCAAAATTGTATAGTCGAAAAACAGTGACACGCCAAAAATCTGGACGGAGAACAGAGGGCGAGTGAGTTAGAAAGAAAAGAGAACGAGTGAGAGGAGAGAGAGAGAGAGAGAGAGAGAGAGAGAGAAAGCATTGAAACAATCTGGTCATGATCTATTCTCTAACAAAATCCCTGGCTTCGGATCTACAGTAATCATGCGTAACGTACCCACGCGCAGCGCGCTGCAACGGGGCTTTTTTGCTGGTCGTCCCGCATTCCGCAGGCTCCACTTCACTTTCGCCGCCCGGCCGCTGATCACGATCCGCGCGAGTGGCAATTGATTACGCGCCGGGGCTGTTACCCAGACAGCCGCCGCCGGGCGCGCAAATAATCCTGTCTTTCGTCGCTGCTCCCAATTTTTGACCGTTATGCAAAGTTTTTTCGGCCTCAACCATCTGTCATCGGGTCCTAGGTTTTCGTGCACTTTTCCATTTCGTTTCCGCAGTACAGCAAAATGCAATTAGTACTGTTGCGTAGCTGGCCGAGCGGCAGATTCCAACAGATGTGAGGAGAATGAGCGGCCAGCCACACGTCGAATGGATCAGCGAAGAGGAGCGTCAAAGGCTTGCCCTGTTGTCTGCGACAGCCGAGGGTAATTTGCATAAGGTGCGCATCATAGATATACGTTGTCGGACATGAGCATATTGAGCGTACGCTTGATTTCTGGCTTAGGCTTCTGCTTTGCTTAGGCTTAGGCTTAGGCTTCTTCTCAGGTTTCCGTTTTGCCTAGGGTTAGGCTTAGGTTTAGGCTTAGGCTTAGGCTTCTTCTTAGGTTTCCGCTCGAGTAGACAAAGCTTAGGCTAGGCCTAGGCTTTTTCTAATGCTTTGGCTTCTCAGGCCAGGCTTCAGTTTAGGACTAGGCTTTTTTCGGCCTGGGCTTAGGCTTAGGCTTAAGCTGCTCTAAATATTTGATACATTCGAAGCAAAGGTTATCCTGTTTTCAAGGTGCGCAGCCTGATCAAGTCTGGGGTTCCGGTCGATGCATTCGACGACGACTACCTAACCCCGCTGCAAATTGCCGCCGCCCTTGGCGACTCGTATATGGTATGGGCATCGTTTTATCAACGTAAAACCTTGCAGGTGGCCTTTCTGATCGAATCGCGAGCCGAGGTGGACGCCTGCAACCAAGTTAGTCTACTTTTCGAGCCATGCCTTTCATACGCTACCCAATACTGTCCTAAATAATCTCTGCTATTCCGAGACCTCTCGACAGTGCAATCAATGAAATAACCACACGACCAAACAACCCTGGGAAAAAACTTCATGTTCAGCTGGGGATGACGGCGTTCCACCATGCATGCCGTGAGGGACGCCTTCAAGTCATCGAAGCACTTTTGCAAAGCGGAGCCGATATTGGGCGTCCCACGTAAGCCAAAGCCAAAGCCTATCGATATGACCGATTTTTATGGTCGGCCTCTGTTAGCCTAAGCCTAAGCCTAAGCCTAAGCCTAAGCCTAAGCCTAAGCCTAAGCCAAAGCCTAGGCCTAAGCCTAAGCCTAAGCCTAAGCCTAAGCCTAAGCCTAAGCCTAAGCCTAAGCCTAAGCCTAAGCCTAAGCCTAAGCCTAAGCCTAAGCCTAGGCCTAAGCCTAAGCCTAAGCCTAAGCCTAAGCCTAAGCCTAAGCCTAAGCCTAAGCCTATCGATATGACCGATTTCCATGGTCGACCTCAGTTAGCCTCAGCTTATGCCCAAATTTCAACCTACTTTAGATATCTAGGAGCGACAGGGCTAACGCTAGCTGCCGCTGGAGGTAATCGTATTCTACAAACCAATACAGCCCGCGAACCTAGGCCATCTCGACGTAGTGAAGAAGTTGGTTGGCCTCCATCTGGAGGTGTCCCCAAAGATCTTACCCTCGCTGTGCCCGTCGCCCCTCGTCGTCGCCGCCGTAAACGGGATGCCGCAAATTTGCGGATATTTAATTTCCAGGTATAGCAATGGCAATGGTCCAGATTTCGCCACTCTGTAATTACCACCTTCTGTGTACCCAATAAACACATTCAGAACCGCCGCCGTCGACGAGACAATCCCGACCCTGGGCAACCTGACGGCTTTGACGGCCGTGATCCTTTGTTCTCGACCCGAGAACTCGTACAACACTATCATTTCGGCGCTCTTGGATTTAGGTAACGTAGTATCATATCTGTAGGATCAAGCCTAAGCATAGAGCGTGTTAAAATCTTTATTCAGGTGCCAGCCCGACCCGTCGCACCTACCGTAACTCAAAGTCGGCAATCGAATTAGCCCAAGAGCTTCAGCGAGAAGAGATCTCCTTGACGCTCAACGACAACAATCGCATCAGACATGGTGCGTAAAATACCGACAAATCAAGATCCTGTCATTGCCACTCCCGAAAATCGAAATCCCGACAGTGTTATACAAATGCCAACATGCAAAATTCCGACAGTGTCTATTTCCAGTTGACCTCGTGCAGCCAACCGACTTTCGACAGCTCTTAAGGGAGAATAAGCTCGACAAGTTGCAGGAAGCATTGCTGGCAAAGGTGGGGGTTGTACGTATTCCATCAATTCGCTTCTAGACGACATTCATGCCCGACGCCGTCACGCCGCTGATGTGGGCGGTAGCGGTCGGCAGTGTACAGGGGGTAAGCTGGGGAAGGGCGCTTTTTAATGGACATAAGCCGAAGCCTAAGCTATTCTAGGTCTACAAATTGCTCGAGCTCCGCTACAATGTAGACGCCCAAGAGACAAAGCACGGCTACTCGGCGCTGATGCTTGCCGCCTTCCTGAGGTGAGCAACGTGTAAACCGTGCTGACTCGTATTCCAGGGAGAACGAGATGGTCGACGCGCTGCTGGAGTGCGGTGCTGGGGTGGAGAAGACGGAGCCGAACACTCTCCATCAAACGTCGTACGATCTTTATCTTTGTGCATCAGGTACGTGACAAGACACCGCGTAAGTTTTTAGGTAACTTTCTAAGAAGTCGAAATTTGCATGTTCTGGGTTCAAACCTATTTTTCAGACGAGCTTGACCCAGACATCCGCGCCCGCCTTCACCGGTACAAGCCGAAAACCAAGAAGCCTAGTCGCAACGACAACAAGAAGTTCTCCGGCTCGGGATCGAAGAGTCTGGCAAAGCGCTTCGGCCAGTTCAGCCACATGGTAAGGTAAAACGGCAATTGCCTAGGCACCCCTTGAAGGTGAGCCGCACGAAGACGCAGCTCGGGCTTGCGGCCGACCCACAGGACGGCGGAGGTCAATTGACGATGCGGGATTGGATGGAAAACCGAATACAAGCGTCGCTGGTCGATGGGCGGAACCATCGGGTGCGTGAAAGACGAAACCGAAGCCTAGGCTAAGCCGAAGCCTACGCCTAAGCCTACGCCTATGCCTAAGCCTACTAAGCCCTACTCTAGTAATCACCTCTTAGAAACTGGTTCGTGTCGAGCAAATCCTCCACCGCCTGCGCCACATCTCGCCCCCATTGATGCGAAGTTTGGACAGCGACTTCGAGGCGGTGCGCAGTCTGGCTGCGGTAAGAAACGTTACGCTATTATGGTTTTCATAGGAATTCTCGTCGTTCGCCCTGGTCACCTTCTACGATCGATACAGCGAGACGCACATCGAAAGGAGGGTCGAATCCGAGCCGACCAGCCAGGAATACGATTTGGCCATGAAATATGCAAAGGAATATGTGGGTTGAAGTGAGATCGAGAGAGAGAGAGAGAGAGAGAGAGAGAGAGAGAAAGATATAGCGCTGCTGTAGCAAAGAATTTGGTGGATGTGGATTCAGAGCTATGGCGGTGGCAAAGAGAAGAAGCCGATACGTCCTGTCGTCAAGCCAAGAACGCAGCCAGCCCCGCTCTATTTGCGGAAGGAGGGCAGCGAGTTCGGTAAGTAAGCTTAGGCTTAGGCGTAGGATCACGACATCGCTTCTTCAAAAATTATGCCATTTCCAGCCCGCCCCCGCGTGCGCTCGATGATCGCGATTCAGGATGGGCCGCCGTCTGTGTCGCTGCGCACCACCCCGAGGATGCTGAAGGTATTTCAGGACCGTTTCGCTTGTTCCCTTGTTGGATGGTGAAAATCGTACATAATCGTTTCATTACCAATCCCGTTAAACGCGGCCAGGGGTTCCAGAAGTCGCGCGACTCGTTGATTCTGGAGGGCGGCGAGATGTCGCCGGGCAGAGCCCCGGGACCCAGCTTCCAGTTCCCACCCACGTTCGAGATGAGGAAGTATGTTCCATAAAGACCACAAGGAGCATTCCCATTTACGTAGCTTCACCAAATTTTTAGAACTGTATCCACCCCATCGCTCCCCGGCCAATCGACCCTCTCCCTCCTTGCACCGAGAATTACGGAACCACACGGATATAGCCTGAGGAGTACACTACCTGCTCAGATTTGTGACGAAGGTTGGTATTTAGAAAAGAACATTGTATGGAGTGGTTCAGAAAAAATCTGGGGTGAGATGCGACGCCGGGGACTTGCCGATAAGGTGGAGGTGATGATCAGCGAGGAGATCGACTTTGAGGTAAGAGAGAGAGGGTGAGAGAGAGATGGGGAGAGAGCGCAAGAGAGAGTGATAAAGATGGACAGAGAGCGAGAGAGAGGGTGAGAGAGCGAGAGAGCAAGCGAGAAATAGAGGGGGAGAGAGGGTGAGACAGAGAGAGAGACAGGGAGAAAGGGAAAGAGAGAAAAAGAGAGAGAGAGAGAGAGAGAGAGCGGGTGTGAGAGAGACAGATAGGAAAACGCACAAATTTAGACCTTCTTCGCCCTAACGCGCGAAGATCTGCAAAAGATGCAAATCCGCGACTCGGAGACGATCGCTTCAATCCTGGACATACAGAATAGTCTCGGTGAAATGTGGGGACATTCCTACATGTGACACCACTCTCCATTTCGATGTTGAATCAGTCTTTCCAACGTTATTCTCGATGAAACGGGTAGCTTCCTTTTCCTTGACAATCAATCTATGACATTTCTCCATTTATTTCCCTCGAATGTATACAAATAATTTATTCTGAACCGTTTTGCGCAATCACAATTTGACTTTTGGATGACATAAATAATTCCAGTTTTTGGCCTGTTGAAATAATTCCGTTCGTGGGTCGACTAAACATCGGCGATAGAGACACCATCTGCCATTGCCGACTGGTTTTGACGCTGAAAGTAAAAAAGTTTTTTTTTGCTTAAACCAGCTTATAGGGCTAAGTAAGATGGCCATAGAAGCAAAGGAAGAGATAAATTTTGAGCACGAGAGAGTTTGAGCATGAGCACGAGAAAAGTACCTCCTCGTTTCGCCGCTTCCAGTGATTTTTTGCATCGACATACTTCCGGCATCGGATCACGACGTAGATTGCTAACCCTTGCGCTAAGACGAAGAGAATCTGCAATATATCAGGAAGGTTTGGTTTGCGCTTCGGTTTAAGCCGAGCTGCAAAATCAACAACGTTGCTCATCACCACATTTTCCGAATTTTCTACTGATCTTTAAAACCCGAGATATGCCACTTTTAAGGTGATCCTTTAGTTAAAATCGTTAAACTTTGACCTCGTTATTTTGATTTTTGCGGCCAATTTTGCAAAAATAAATATTGCCAACGTATTCAAAAAAATTTTTCTCGTTCGAATAAGCTATCTAGCTCAAAATTTTCTCAAATCAGCTCAAATGGAAAAATTGGAAAATCGACGCTGGACTTCAATTTTTGTACCGTATTTTAGTATGGGAAATAGCGACAGACAGGCCACTTTAAACAGTTTTAAGACGCCCTCAAGACGAAGCCTGCCTTAAAAAATATACCATTCGAATTAAAATAAAATTCTCTATCATATATGCTGCTTAAAATAAATTAGCATTCCAAAAAAAACGGCAGCATCGGAAAATAGCTTGGGGGCGAAGATTACCACGAAAGCATAAATCTCTCGCGTTTTCAAGGTCGGTAACAAATTCGGAAAACGACGTGATGATCAGCGTGGTCGATTCTATAGGTCTGCAAATTTTCAGCGAATTCTGAGTGAGTGCGGGTATTCGGGCTCCCCTTTAGCTAGGCCCAGGCTCAAGCCTTCGCTCGCTTGAATCGCAAAAACGATACCTGAAAAACCGTCCAGCCAATGTCCCATCGAACATTGCCGAACAGTCGTCGGTTGAAGTCGAAGATGGCCGCGATTACGGTGATCACTGTGAAGATGACATTAAGAAGGAAATTTGTGCAGTAGAAGATCAAGAACGGGCTGAAATGGGGAAATTTGCAAGGAAATGAATTTCTCAAAACACCGAAAAAACCCATCCCAATGGCCTACAGGAAAAACGGCTTCCTCTCCTTTTTGATACCATAGAATAGGGCGACGTGACAGGGGAGCCCCACGAGAAAGGCGAAGATCAGGTCGACGAGCTCGAGATGGTCTATGAATGGATTGCGGCCCATCCCGCGGCTGTGGTAGAAAGTGTAGCTATAAAATACAGTTTAATGGACCTTTGGTAAGCCGAACCTGACACAGTAGAATACAGTAACAAGGAAGCCGAGCAAGCACGCGATGTAGGCACCAGCCTGAAATTACCGTAAATTAATGTTAACCGCCAATCTCGAAAAAATCGATGTAAAAAATAAGTAGATCGACGAGCAAACCATTTCTTTTTCTTGATTAAACCTAGGCTTCGTTGCTCCTTTAGAGCTCCACCTCCCGCCTTGAGTCTCACCCACCTTCACATGCACGTTCGTCCGAAACAGCCGAAAAGCCTTGTCATTCTCCCGGAACGTCACAATATCTGTCCCGTCCATTCTGGAATTACGAAAAATTCATAGGCCTTGAATTTTGGATATCTCAAGACTCCAATGTTCCGTACCTGGACTCAAACTGCGAATAGTCAACATCTTCTTGCCAGAGGAGGCTGCGTAGAAATAAGTGGCAAGAGCTGAGGCCTAAATTAAAGTTTTAGGTTGCACTGGCCTCAACATAAGCCTAAGCTTAAGCTTGACCTAAGCCTAAGCATAACCTCAGCCTAAGCCTAACCTAGGCTTAAGCCCGAATCAAAGCTTAAATCTGAGACTAAGCCCAAAGCCGCCAACTACAACTTACCGCTTTTAGACGCCAAATTTCCAAACTGCGCCATCCTGCAACTTCAGATGTTTTTCCTTCTTCTTTGTCTATTCTCTCATCGAATTCGCGCTGAATTAAAGGGATGGTGACAATAACCGACGTAAAATCCATCAAAAAAAAATTGGCTGGAAGCAGGGAGAAGCATAGAAAAACCAGAGTACTTGCCGACGACTAATCCCGAATGCCAGGGGGGGGGGAGGCACTGTCGTAAACAGCTTTTGGTAGACCGGTTTCGGCAGATGGAGTGAGACTCTGGCTACGGCGAGGGATAGGGACAGATTGAGAAAGCACGGACGGGAAGTGGAACAAGGCAAAGGCACTACTCTTCACATGCTCAATGCCGCAAAACAGGTTTGACCTCGCGATGGCATCGTGCTGGTGTTTATTAAAATTTGGGGAAGATTCGCTTCAGGATTTAACGAACGTGTTTAATCAGGATTTTGATGCAATTCCAGACGAAAGAAAAATTGTGCACATAATCCTTCAGAAAAATCAACTGGGTTTTTTCAAAAATAACGCGAGGAGGCGCGGAGACGGTGAGCGAGGATGTGGACTGACCATTCGACGCGAATCAATGGGGATGTCGCGCGGGTCGGTAAGGAGGTGGACAGGTCTTTCTCTCTCTCTCTTGCTCCTCTCCTTCCCTCCCTCTCGCCCTCCTGCTCCACCGACTCACAGCACCAGTTCGTTATGCCTTGCTTGACGTCGTCATTTCGGGGTAGTCAAAAATTACACGCGGGATTTGAACGCCGGCACGAGAAAGAGACAGGGAGAGCGAGCGAGAGCGAGAGATAGAGAGAGAACGCGAGAGAAAGAACGATAAGGAGAGAGAGGTTCACAGAAACATACAAAACATGTATTTAATGCCAACAAAAATGATCATACCTTCTCCAACTCTCAAAAATACGAAAAAAACAGCAACCAAAGAACACTGACAAATGAACCCCGTTTTGCACAGCCTTCTTCCGCTTCGGGACCGGACCGGTCTTTCCAAAATCCGGATTTTCCCGAGCCCGCTGACCCGCAGCACCGTTCTCCCACACCCCCCTTTAATTAGCGCCCTCCCAGGTCGACGACCTCCCGACACCCCCGTAATCTTATGCAGCTATTTTTGTGCATACTTTTCTTGCTTGGTAAGTGGAATACCACACTAATACTCGTGAATTGTCGAGTTTTAGTGAGACTCAGCATTGGCCGACACCATCACCATCACCATGCCCAGGCTACTGCACAAGACGTGACTGATACGTCTACCGTAACCCCGCTGGGGGACCCGCGAAAATTGGCGCGAATAATGCCGTCGAAGGTGGGTGGTGGAATTCCAGGTAATCTTCGTCTAGGAAGCCGTCGAATCAATCGGCATCCGCTTCATCGATGCCTTGATCAAGAAAGGGCAAATGGAGATGGCCAAAGGAGCGTTTCGTACACAGCTCGAAGTGCTTGAGAAGGTTCACCCCGAACAGGTCAGCTTAAAGGATTCCAGCCAAAATCCCGATAGCCGAAACGTGATATTTCCGGTCGTTTTACCCATATATGTTTTTTAATACTGGGATTTCTAGCTGTCGGGTGTCAGGATTTTGGCTTTTACCCCAGCTTAGAGTACACCTTAAGTGTCGGTATTCGGGATTTATTCCCTCTTCTGGCCAACTGTCGTCTAATTCCATTTTTAGTACGACAAATACAAAAATATGAAAGTCGAGGACCTGGCGGCAGACGCCGTGATGCAACAGGTAATTGAAGGTGAGCAAAAATATAAGGTAATTTCCGGCACAACTCGCCGCGATGCAGCCAAAAACCGGAAACGCTTTCATCGACATGCTCCATCAGAATGGGATACCGATTGGATCGTCGATTAAAGGTATACTTAAGCTTAGGCTTGGGCTTAGGCGTAGGCTTAGGCTTAGGTGCTGCTGCGAGAGCCGCTTTAAAGTTACACGTAGGATTACCCAGACGTACGAATTTTCAGTCGAAAAAAATTCATTTTCAGGCGTCGAACAGGCATTGAAAACCCAAAAAGAAATCGAAAACAACGACCCCAGCGAACAGGTAATCCAGGCAAGATTCTCTGGATTTTTTGTAGATCGCCAAGGCCGTTTTCGACAAGTTTCGACAGCAAATCTTGCCCGGCCTCGTCGCCAATATTATTTCGGGTAGTTTTTGTGAGCCCTGCACAAAAAACGCCCAAAATTTAGGGCGGAATCCGTTCCGAATGCCGAACGGTGGACGGCAGATGCAGGCGATGCCCGAGATTATTCGTCAACAGGCACTGGTAGGAAATATTAAGGGGAGTGGCAGGGGCAGGGCTATGGATTTTGGTAGCCCGTTTAACAAGGTAGCATTACGGAATTTCGAGAAAATGACAACAAACACCTAGACCAAATCAAATATCAATCGACGCTGCCCCGTTTCAGGCCGCCAATGCGGTAGAAGAAGGTGAAGCTCCGCAAATAGTTAGAAGAAGACCGCAGCAGTTTTATGTGGAACCAGAAGAGCCATCACCTCGTCGCGGGCCAGATGACCTGGAAGCACGCCTCAGAAGTAGCCCGCGATTAGCAGCGCTACTGGAGGTTGTTGTCTTTGAATTTTTGGTTCTGGACTGTTAACGGGGGAAATTTTTCCCTGTGATTCCCTACGGCCATATAACAAAATATAAACCATTTTCATAGCATTTTACATAGTTTTTAACTATGAAACAATATAAAGAAATAAGAATAAATTTTCGAAAGCTTTCGCCTTTTTGGTTAAAAATGTATGAAAGACCAAAAAAGGGCAGATATTTCGAATTTTAAATTGCTTAAAAATATTTTTTATACCTTTCTAGCAATAAAAAACTACTAAAAACACTATAAAATACATAATATAGCATAAGCATAAAGTGGCTTCGCAACCCCCCCGCTAACAGCCCAGAACCGAATTTTATTGATTTCCATTCAGAACCCGGACATCCGCTCGGCACTTGACGGGCGGCGATTCTCGCGTCGGATGGCCGATGAGGAACCGTTGGGTCGATCTCTCTCCGATCGTCTAGTCAGCGAGTAATAAATTGTGTAGCCGATTTGAAGCGATGGTTCGTACGCACACAATGCACGCAAATTATAGCCGAAATCTGCTGGAGGAATTTGGGTCACGGTCGGCGCTGGCGCTCGGTATCAATGAGATGATGACGGACAGTGAGGAGGAGGAGGAGCAAGAGGAACAGAATACGGTAGATTATAGGTTGAACAGAAAGTTATCCGAGGGCCTAGGCTTAGGCTTGATCTGTGGCTTACTATCCATTGAAATTTTATCTTATTAACGTGCGTTTTCAAGGTACGCCGAGCTCCGCTGAAGCTCCCACGCGCATTCGTGAATCGTTTGTCTGAAAACCCTGAAATTGCTGCCGCCCTAGAGTAAGAAATTCTAAATACCTATCTACTCCAATTCACAGGCATCTAAATATCCGCGTTGACGACGTGGACGAGCTGCTACAGCCCAAAGCGCGTATGATCAACCCTCATCCGCAGCCCGGGTTCCTGGTGCCGCGCAAGATCCCGCAGAGGTACACTTTCTCCAAGAGACTTTTTCTTTCAACTCTATCATGCATCCTTTAATCTTGTTCAGACCCCGGAAAATGATCCCGATCCTCGTGGGTGTGCCGGAGATCGATAACTCGGTCCTCACACCTTTTGGAGAAATTCGGAGATCTCCTGAAAAAATCCAGTTCAAGGTGGGTAGCCAAAAATCTGAGGCTTCTAGCAGATGAGGTATTTAGCCAGTCGTCGAAGAACGGTCGCGAACAATCGAGAATCTGCGCAATAACCCGAATATCGCGCCGCTTTTCCTTCACACGGATCTGGAGCGGAAGCTGAGGGGAAGGTAACTGAGTTTTCTAGTATCCCTTCGGGACCGTCGCATTAAAGGGACGAGCAGGACGTCGATATGGATTTTAGCCTAGGCCTAAGCCAGTGCTAAGCCTAATCGAAGCCTAAGCTAAGCCTCAGCTAAACCCAAGCTAAGCCTAAGTCTAAGCATAAGCCTAAGCCTAAGCCAAGACTAAGCCTCGGCTTAAGCCTAAGCCTAAACCTAAGCCTAAGCCTAAACCTAAGGTAACCATAAGCATAAGCTTATGCCTATCCCTAAGCCTACGCCGGTTCACGTTTTCCTCTTCAGACAAATGCTGACCCCGGAGCAAAAAGGGCAATATGCGGGCGCTGCCCGTCGCATCCATCCGAGAATGCTGGGCGCCAAGACGCAGACACTGAACAGTTTGGATCGTCAGGTTGAACAGGTCGGGGAATTTAGCAGTATTCAATCGACATTTGCAAAATTTGCGTTCAGCTAATCGAAGAGCGACCTGTCCCCCCAATGGTTTGGATCCCGAAAGGACGACACACGAGGTTACGGTGGACCGGGGCCACCGAGCGCGAGATCCCAGGGCTCGGCACTAGGTCAGTGATCATTGTGTACCGTGAAGTGTTTTTCTATAGGCTGAAAATCCCATGCGGACCTAACCTCACTTCGCAACCATTTTTTTAAGGCTCATCTTCCCCTCGCTTGACCCGACCGCCCCGGCCATCAACACGGCCCTATCGACGCAAGGAAGAGCCAGGTAGCCACTTTAGACATCCGCGGTTTTCTGTGCCTTTTCCAATCGGTTGTATTCTTGCAGGGAAGAGTGGGACACGACATTCAAGGTCCCAAACAACTGGAACCCCGGCGATGAGGTCGGCTTCAGCGTCAAGCAGAAAAGCGAACGGTTGGCATCTGACCAAAATGAGTGAAAACCAAATTCTAGGTTCATGGGCGGCACCGGCAACTTTGATATGCCGGCGGCTAATCTCTAGATCTCGGAGTGGAATTGTAATGTACATAGTAATAATTCGGAATAAATCGTGAAATTATTCTCCACGCATCTCTTTGTGATTTTTTTGAAACGGTGGTCAGTTAGCCTAAGATGGCTAGGCTTAGGCTTATGCTTAGACTGAGACGTAGGCTTAGGCTTATGAAGCCGCTCTGGCGTTTCGTAGACACATTTGCGTCCCTACGCGCTTTCTCTGGACCAACGACCACACCCTCAACCCTCCAAAAACGTTGCTGCGTCGGAGAAGTCCCAAATTATGCTGAATTGCGTGGATGAGGCCCAGGAGCTTGAAGTGGCGGCAGATCCGGTATCCCGGTTAAGCTAATTCGCAAGGGCTTTCAACGAGCGCAGCCCCACTAATATGCCAATTTTTGCGTGAGACCACGCGCAATTCTGACCCGGAAATTCGAGACCGTCACTCTCAACGTGGGCCCTAAGAGGACCCGGGGGTGGATGCGGTGGCCCCGCATAAAAGGAACTAAATAGGAAGCGGTGAGCGCCCCTTTCAAGTGCCATCTTGGGTCCCGCAGCACGTCATTGTTAATTTCCGCCCTGGCAACGTTGTTTATTTCCATCTGGATTGTTGCACTGTCGTACCATCATAAATCAATTCCAGCCAAAACCAGGACAGCCAAAATGTGATGTCTCGGGCCGTTTTACCCTGGAATGGTTTTAAAAACCCAGATTTCTGGCTGTCGGGATATTGGATTTGTCGGGATTTTAGCTCTCGGCATCATGGCTGTCGGGCTTTTGCATCTCGGGTCTTTGATGTTACCCCGTCTTGAATTTCCCAATTCAAAGGGTGGCTTTGGGAGACCTAGATTTTAAAGGGACGAGCAAGGCGTGACGATAAACTTGTTTCGTTAAAATATTTATTGGTTAAAGCACCCGAGATATCTCATTTTGGCTGTCGTCATTTTTAATGCCGGGTATATGGCTGTCGGGATTTTGGCTCGAATTACCCCGTCGGTCATAATTACCGTGTCCTCCGATGCAACATTTATTGTTCACGTGAAATGCCCGGTAGCGGAAACGGCCCTAAGTTAGCGTCAGCCACGTAGCAAACGGATTACGTGGCACGGCGCGGCAATTCGATCCCATCTGGTTACGGTAATCAGATTGTGCCTTCCGCGCATATATCACGACGGCTTTAATTCGCCCATTCAAGCCCAGAGTGAACCTGCTGTTTGCTCTAGCTGAGGCTTTGACGTAGAAGGACTAGCATGAACCTGCGCGTAAAAAAATCTTAAGTCTAAAACTAAGCCAAAACCAAGCCTAAGCATAACCCCTAAGCCTAAACCAGGCCTCAGCCTATCGATATGGCCGATTTCCATGGTCGACCTCTGTTAGCCTAAGCCTAAGCCTAAGCCTAAGCCTAAGCCTAAGCCTAAGCCTAAGCCTAGGCCTAAGCCTAAGCCTAAGCCTAAGCCTAAGCCTAAGCCTAAGCCTAAGCCTAAGCCTAAGCCTAAGCCTAAGCCTAAGCCTAAGCCTAAGCCTATCGATATAGCTGATTTCCATGGTCGACCTCTGTTAGCCCAAGCCTAAGCCTAAGCTAAGCCTGGGCCGGGGCCGATTTCCACCCTCTCTACCGTAATTTCCGGCTGCCTACCCGACCTTCATCATGCTTTCGCGCCGTTCCCCCCCCCCCGCGAACAAATGCAAAGCCAGAAAAATTGTTGTGCAATTTGGGGTTGGGTGCGGTGGTTGTATTCAGAAAAAGTGGCTCGATTGTGTGCCTATGCATGTGGCCACGCTATTCATTTCCGCGCCTTCCTGACGTCGTCCGCCACCACGACACCCCCAGTGTGGGTCAGCGGGGAGAGCCCAATTTTGAGCAGTTATTTGTGGCGCCACCCACTCATTGCATGGAAAGGTGGCAACGCAGGACCTGGTACTACAAAATACATCCAGGCGAACGGCTCGAGCTTCTTTTTTCCATGAATCATGGAAAAATTTGCATGCGGGATCTCTGTCTCACTGACCGGAAATGCTTGCATGTCGTAATTCATAATGTCGAAAATTCATAATGTAGGAACTTTAAAATGTCGAAATTGATAATCTCGAAACTTCATAATGTTGAAATTTACATCAGCTAATTTCCAGGAAAATCTCCCGAATCCCCTGCAAAAAAATTCGACATTCCGAATTTCGACATCACGATCCAAATCGTTTGGGGGCATCCAGGTACCTGACGATGATTCCGGCATCCCCACAGAAGAGCCGAATTTCCGAATTTACCATTGAACGGCCCCCAACCCGACAATTTGCAACGGGCCATCGAGTCGTCGGAGGGCCCGCAACCGAAATTGGCGCCTGCCGTGTCCGGCTGGGGTTCGCGTCTCATTTTTAGCTTCCGGACTTTCGCCGGGTGCTCCGCGAATCCTCGACTTTAATTTCGTGAATGCGCACACCGGCTGCAATCGGCTAAAGTGGAAATGCGATCCAAATTGAGCCCTCGATTCTTTTGCAGAGCCATCGCAGTGAGTTGGCAATTGCAGCTTGGCGGGGGTGATAGTTTGTGGAGGGCCCGGGTTACGGTAGCTTTGGCTCATCAGCGATGCAGAGCCGGGCGCTTAAGCATAGACTTGCACAAGGTTAGGCGTAGGCTTGGGCTTAGGCTTAGGCTTAGGCTTAGGCTTAGGTTTGGCTTAGGTTTGGGCATAAGCTTGGGCTTAGGCTACGGCTTCGGCTTAGGTTTAGTACCTCGCCACTACTCATCCCCACTGCTTTCAACAACCGGCACCAGAATAGCATTGCCGAAACTCAAAATAGCAACCACCCCCAATTTCCTGGCCACACTCCCCCTCAGCCTTCCGGGTGTTTCTTCGTAGTCGTGGACGTTACGTTTGTATATGAAGCCTCTTCAACGCTACTGTACTGCCCTCAGAGTGCCTTTCAGGAAATTACCCGCGCCTGGAGCGGCAGTAGGAAAGTATAGGAGGCGGGGCCACCACTCTTCGTCGCCAGAATTTATTTTCAGAAGGCCCAGATGCGCTGCAAGATTGCCCGGTGGGCACAAGAAATTTATTCGTTAGTCCTTTACTTGAAGAGGTTCTTTAAGAATTGTCGGTTCGATGTACATACGTAAGCGAGATTTTAGGAAAGGGCGGAGAGCAGAGAGCTAACGCATAATATTCTGGCGCCCACCTTATTTCTTTCGCAATTGGCATGCAGACGGATTTTGATGGATTGACGTCCAATTCGCGAATAAAAATACATAGTAAAGCCTCCCTGTTTTGTCGCTTTTTCGAGAGCTTTTGATGATACATAAACCGTCAAAATCGTACACGACTGCGCGCCGCTATAAGGGGGTACTTTTTTGGGGACATCCTGTAGATATTTCGGGTTTCCGATTCGTTATTGCTAGCTTCTCGAACTCTAGATCATTTGGCAAAATCCCGCCACGTACCGTATCAGCGCCTCATCAAAGATCCAGCTAGCTGGGCGGTTTTTAGTCTCTGAGTAAGTAGTCCCTCCGGTTCGGCGATGCGCGCTCCTAAATTCTGCGATAACGCCACCTCATTCTCTGACCCCTCACAGTACTGCAAGCGCAAATCATTGGTAGAAAGTCGGCAGAAACCATAACTAGTCTGATAAATCAAACCCTTGGGAAATGGCGTTGCGCCAGATTCAGGAATCATTCTGGAGGAGCCATTTTTATCACGATGTTTCCCTGCGCAGCGTCAGCTGTTTTGCGTGTGGTAGCTCCATCGAAAGAGCATCTTTTTCCCCACAAGATGCGCCAATTGGTTTTTATAGAATATTTTCCCTCCAATTTTTAAAGGAGTCTAAGCCTCCGATTTCGAGCATTGTCTCACTAAAATGCGCTACAACTTTGTCAAACTGTCGATCAGAAAATTTGGAAATTAGCGTCGGAATCAGCTCAAAATTCTGCACATGATAGGTTTGGTCGTGCTCAAAACAACCCTCAGCAATTTATCGATTTAAGGCCTAGGCTTAGGCTTAGTCTCAGGGTCAGGCTCAGGCTTAGGCTTAGGCTTGGGTGGCTTGGGCTTGGGCTTAGGCCTAGGTTAGGCTTAGGCTTCCCGGTGCCGGCTAAGACCATTCTGAATCCCAGCAACAATCTGATGTGCGGTCGGAAGTGACGGTGTGAGGGGGTGATTCGTGTGCCTCGGCTATCTTATTAAGCGGATTGTGCCCGCTGCTATGACTTGCCACCCCCCCCGGCGGCTGTAATTTGGCGTGCCGCGTCGCTGGGCCCAGCCCGGCGCTATATAAAGGCCCAAGAAAAGGCACATACGGCAAACCAATAATCGCCCACTTATCTCCCTTCCTTCGCGTTGGACACTTAGCTGTAAGAAGGGCCCTTTTGAAATTCGCTCCCCCAATTTGGCGCCCACCCTCGGTTTTTCCGCTGACGCACACGCAGAAGCTGGCTACGGTAGCCCAGATGGGGTATAATGGGCCAAGGCCTGGTGCAAGTTGATTTGCATATGGTCGTCGTTCTCGATTTAGACTTCAGATGTAGAAGACGTACGGAGCTAGTGAAGTTGGCTTTTAACGGCTTAAGCTGGCCTGCAAAGCCAAGCTAACCAAGCGAAGCGTAGCATCAGCCTAGCCTAAGCTCAAGCAGAACCTAAATCTAGGATAAGCCACGGCCAAGCTTAGACTAAGCCTAAGCTAAGTGAAAATCAAGCTCCAAAACCAAGGCTAAGCCTAAGCCCCGCCTAAACCTAAGCCTAAGCCTAGTCTAAGCTAAGTCTATGCAAAGCTTAAGCCTAAAGCTAGGCCTAGGTCTAACTTTGAGAACATCGGCTTTGTGTCTTCTACTTCATTACCTGTTTTCCACTATGTCCATACAACACCCCAAATTTTTATTGTTTTAGGTATACCCGCGGGCTCGGAATTTCAGTGGCACCATGCGTTTCTCACTACAATCCCTGATCTTCGCCTTGGTCGCCGTGCTTGCCTTGTTCTCCAGTGCAGCCAGTAGCCAGGTGAGCATCTACTTTCTAGGTGTCTGGAATTTGCCAGGTTAGAGTGGAAAAACAAATCACAATGGCTAGGAATTCAGAAGAGAAATAAAATACTTCAGGAATTCTCACCGAAAGAGCTGCAACTGCTGCAGATTCTCAGCCGGAACCGGCGGCTGGCATCGGAAGCAACCGAGGGGTAAGGGATGAATAGTTTCACTCCGGCAAAGCTAAGGCTTAGGAATAGGCTTAGGCTTCAGCTTAGGCTCAGGCTTAGATTTTAGCTTATGCTTAGGTTTACACTTTGACTTTGCTTTTGTCTTAGGCTTTGGTTTTCGCTGATTCTTAGGCTTAGGCTTCACTTAAAGGGCTGCCGACGGCATGTGTCGATCCCCCCCTCATCAACAAATTGGCAAGTAGCCAACAGGGGAGACAGCGCGCCCAGGGGAGAGGCGCAGAGACATTTTCTTTTCCGCCCGTAACCGATTGACTATGCCGTCGGCATCCCTTTAAGCTTCGCCAAAAGCCTCAATGTATAACCACGTAATTCCAGGCGTTGGAAGCGCGGCGATTTGGAACGTTTCCGCACGTCAATGGAGATCCTGAACCGGAACCGCTGCTTCTTTAACCCCATCTCGTGCTGATCTGCCTGATCAACTTCAGCCGCCCCCTCGCCTTCAGTCAGTCCAAATGGTACAAAAAAGCATCAAGATCTCTTCCCCCCGTTTCCGCCAAGCCGATGTCCACGTTGTCGTTGTGATTTTGCGCAGTAATAAAGATGAGTTGTGTTTTTTGTTCGCGTTTTTGGTCCCGAAAACAGGAAGTTACATCCCCGGACGGAAAACGCAATAAAACGACAGGGCAGCGGGCAACATTTGCCATTGTTTTCGGGGGTGCAACAGCATGCAGCTGGGCAAACGTCTGGATAACGACAAAATAATATATTTGCCGGGCACATTCGACTAGCTCTTTAAAGAATCTCTGCTAGCTTGCCATTTCCTAAAGAATCTCTGCTAGCCTGCCTTTTCCTAAAGAATCTCCGCTAGCTCTTTGTCGAAATGAGCATCGAAACGCTAATCCCCTTCGTCAAAAAGCGACAGAATTTTCGATTCTAAGCAGAAATCGTCCCTAGGGGGAGGCTGAGGTGAATGACAGGGTAATCCACTCGATCATGCCGATGACAGTGCGCAAGTCACAACGGCAAAGCGGACGACTTTCCCTTTTTGCTAAAGAAGTCACACACGGCTCGCCGACTCGTCTAGCCAGATGAGTACTATTTTTGGGTTTTCTGACAGCATTTCTCAAGCGATATTGAGGAGCTTACTACCTTGTTTGTATAAGATTTCTCTTTCACTCTCTCTCTTTCTCTTTCTCTCTCGCTCTCTCTCAGTCTCTTCATAAAAATATCTTAATTTTAGCGTATGCTGTGGCTATATGCAACAATCATTATTATATCCTCCCTTCACCGCTGCCATGGTGCCAACGACGAATTGAGGCGTCATTTTAAAGTCTTAAAATGTCATAAAATCAAAGGTTCATATTTTGTCAGGTCGACGAGTCCGAGCTGGATACGGTACAGGATCTGCTGCTCAAAATGAAGCGCTTGGCCCACCGGAAGGTGTACGGCAATCGCGAGTTTGGCAGTGATGTGAGTGGGATTTGGGAGGGATTCGCTATGCCTCTTAAAGCCGTGCAAAACATAGTCAATGCGTACAAAATTTGTATTCAAATGTAGTCTGTCGTCGACAACGCAAAACCGATCTCGATCTCGTACAACCAGCCGGACGTCAAGAAGGAGTTGACGCCGTATCTTTTTTGAAGGTACGAATACCCTTTTCCTAAGGCCGAAATCTTTCAGGCGACATTTTCCTAAACCAGAAACAGGCGGCCAGCATCCTCCAGGAATTTTCGAGGCTTCCGAGGAAGCGTCGCGGGAAGAGCCGAAAAGCTAGGAGGTCAGGGTCGGCCGGGTCTTTGGCATAATCGGGGGGGGGGGGACTAATCCTACTATATATAAAAAAATAGTGTTTGTGTGTGTGTGTGTGTGTGTGTATATTTGCATGCACTTCCGTTCGGATGTTCCGCTCCTACAGCCTTGGGGAAGGGTTTTTTGGATAGGGAAGAAACGACAATAGGTTTAGAATGGTCCGGAATCGACTGCACACACATAAAAACTTTGAAAAATCGCGGTTTTCGCTATTAAAAATAGGTTTTTGTAAAACCCTGTTTGTTAGGGGAAATTAGCATGCGCCGGAAGTAGGAAGAGCCTATATAAAGGGACAGGGGAGCCGTTTTTCACTTTTTTTTCTTGCTAGAATTCAGGAAGAAACATGCAAATTAAGGACTTTCACAGGTCCTGGACGGGGCCAGGGTTGAAAAGCCGCGAAGCGGTTTTTCAACCCTGGTTTTTTCTAAAAATGCATAGTCAATAGAACGTGTTTTAATCGCGTTTTTTGCAATATCTAATTCCAGTTCATCTAGAAAAAAATACCTGAAACCCTTTAAAACCATTTGAAAAACGACGATTTAGATTTGAAAAGTAAGATCCTAATAAAAAAAAGTTGATTTTTTGTTCAAATTTATTCATTTCACACGTCGAAACTCGGTCGAATCCTAGTTTTGGCAAAAATGAAATGAACGCCCTAAAATTCAAAAATCTTTGTCCAGTTTCATCGCCGACCCAGAGGCCAGATGGGATCCGACGGAAACGATTCGGTACCGCTTCCACGAAAGTCTAGGTTTGCAACAATTTGAAACGCTGAAAAAATCCCTAGAATTCTTTGCAATCTCCCAGGTCATCAACGCGATCCAGTACTGGGAGTCGCACTCGTGCCTCTCCTTTGAGCAAGTGCCCGGTGATTTGAGCGACGACGAGGACTTTATTGAATTTTTTAAAGGACAAGGGTGGGTAGGAGAAACAGGGAAAGAGAGAGAGAGAGAGAGAGTGAGAGAGATAGAGAAAAAGAGCCACAGTCTGGAGCCCCAATTGAAGCCTAACCTTCCTTACATTTCCAGCTGCTACTCGATGATTGGCAGGAATGGCGGCCGTCAAGGGGTGTCGATCGGAGACAACTGCGCAAAGGTCCGGTCTCCCGTCCCAAATTCCCTATTGAACAATTTCAGCAAGGAATCGTGGAGCACGAGGTCGGCCATGCGCTCGGCTTGTGGCACGAGCAAAGTCGGCCGGATGCACTGAACTTTATTGAGGTGCTTTTGAGAAGGAATGAACAATTGGGGTGATGATCGTCAACTTTAGGTGGAAAGGGACTTCATCCTCCCCTCGTTCATTGGCGACTTTCAGCAGCGCTTCGACGAGATCGACACACTTGGCGTGCGTATTTATCCAAGGCTTTAGAGTCCAAGCCTTAGCAAAGTCGCAGTCCGGGCCGAAGCCTAAGACTATGCCTAGATCGAAACCTATGGCTAAGTCAAGCTTAAGCCTAAGTCTACGCCCAAGTTTAAGCCTATGCCTAAGCCTAAGCTTATGCCTAAGCCTAAGCCTAACCTAGGCCTAGGCCTATGCCTAAGCAAAGCCTGAGCCTAAGCCTACGCCGGAGCCTAAGCCTACATAAGCCTAAGCCTACCAAGCTCTGCAGGTGCCCTACGATTTGGGCTCGGTGATGCACTATGGCAGCACGGCGTTCTCTACTGATCAGAAGAGCAAGACCATCCTCACTAGGTAATATTTCATCTGTCGGGATTTTGGCCTTTCCCCCTTCCCGACGTCGTTTACCCTTCATTCTTAGAGACCCTCTCTATCAATCGACGATTGGCCAACGGGAAACCCTGTCCTTCTATGACCTGCAGAAAATTAACATTGTGTATTGTGCAGGTGAGGATTCGGGCGAAATTTGTTGCAACGCGACGTTTAGACAAATGCGCCGGTTCGGGCACACAATGCGCTAATGGCGGCTACCCGCATCCCAGGAAATGCTCACAGTAAGACGCAGGCACCAATTACAATTTTTTTCCAAGGTGCATCTGCCCAACCGGGTTTGGAGGACCCAACTGCGAGGAGAATGAGCCCTCACAAAGTGAGTCAAAGCTTCCGCTCAAGTTGAAGTTTAAATCTGTGTTTAAGCCAATGTCTCTTCCTAAGCCTAAGCCCTAGTTAAATCCGCATTGATCGCATTGATCTCTAAAACTGGGTCTCCGAACCCTCTAACCGCCTTTAGACGCTGACTGTGGCGGCGTGCTCAACCTCGGCGACGACTGGATGGAGTTCAGCTCACCCGACTTTCCGGATCCCGGGTTTCAGCCCGACCAGAAGTGCGCCTGGGTGATGAAGGTACGGTAAAACAAACTGTCCCGCACCTTGAAACCTCTTGAATGTGATCGGCCGATTTACAGGCTCCCGCGGGACTACGTGTCGAAATGGAGTTCATCGAGGACTTTTCCTTCTTGTGCACCTCGATTTGCAATGACTATGTGGAGCTGAAGCTCGCGGCCGACCATAAGAATACAGGATTCAGGTAGGATTTTCTGGGCGGATTTCAGTATGAGTAGTAAGCCTACGTCTAAGCCTGCGCCAAGCATAAACTTAAACCTAAGCCTAAACTAAGTTTCAACCTAGTGTACCTAAACCTTCTTTCCAGGTTTTGCTGCTCCACAATGCCCACCGGTTCATTTGTATCAGAAAATCACCTCGCGGTCGCCATTTTCCGGTCGCAGATTGCCAGCGACGTTGGTTTCAAGCTACGGGCGCGTGCAAGTATGAAAAAATTTGCAATTCTAAAATTTTATACGTTCAGCTGAGCTGCCCGCCAGAACGACACCCGCCCCCATTCAGGCGACCACCGTCGGTAGGCTTGAACTGTTTTGGATGACCCTTTTGCTCCATCTTCAGCACCCCGGATCACGATCGAGGGCACGAACATTTGGGCGGATTGGGGATCGTGGAGTGAGTGCTCGAGAAGCTGTGGTGGATGCGGAATTCGCAGTCGGAAACGAGAATGTCGGACGAAGGAGTGCGAGTAGGTCGAGTGGGCCAGCCATCCTTCCTTGTAAAATCATCACTGCTAAAGGTCGTTACTTCTAAAACCATTACTTCGCAACCGCATACAAATTTTTCTCGCTCGAATGAGCCTCTAACCTAAAATTTTCGAAAACCGGAAAAATTGCTTAGGCTTAGGCTTAGGAAAAGGAGCTGATGATCAGCATGGTCAATTCTATCTGTCTACAAATCGTCAGCCAGCTCTGAGTCCGGATTTTGTTCGGACTCCCTTAGTCAGCGACGATGCTCGAAGATGATCTCAAATTTCAGCGGGAAGCGTCAAGAATTTGCGTCGTGCAACCTAGTCGCATGTCCGGTCGACAAGAATTGCGCCCGGCTGCTTTCCAATCAGAAGGTGTGCGCCGGCGGCGTCTGCAACAAGTGGGTTTCGCTAGACATGGTTGAGTATTGTGTGTTGGGTTTATGGTATTCCCTTCCGACATTGATGTTGACCACACAGACCCATTCCAGACTGGGGGACGTGTTGTCGAGATGTCTGGAGCCACAGTGCTGCCCTCCATTCTACAACAACAACGGCGTATGCGTGAACGACGCGCCGACGTCCGGGTTGACGCGCAGGAGTTGAAGAACACGGGCCGAACACGAGGGATTGCCAGAAGTGATGAATGTTACGGGTTTCCATCCATGGACCCGCGTGTCGCGTTGCGGGTGCTTTGCATTGATTTACTAGGTTCAACGTGTGCTGATTTAAGCAAATTATGGAAAATTCATGTAAACGAATAAGGTTTGGCCAAATTGCAGGAAAATCCCGACAGCCAAGATCCCTACAGGCCAAATCCCGACAGGCCAAAATTCCAACAGCGAACTGTGATATTTCCGGTTGTTTTACCGAAAATGATTTTAGAATCTAGGCTTTCTGGCTGTCGGGATTTTGATTGTCGGGATTTTGGTTGTCGGTATTTTGCATGTTGGGATTCTGGCGTTTTCCCGATTTGGCCTTGTACTTAGGAAAGTATCGATTTATCGTTAAAAATTTGTGGCATAAATATCGATCAAACTATACAGAATTGCCATCCTGCAAAACGGGGCGGCACAAAATTTTTGTTCAAGGTTGAGGGGAGGGTATTTTGTAAGCTCGTGCGCACGCACCTAATCTCAGCCGTTGACAGGCATTGCTGCGTAGTCTTTTGCACCGCAAAAATGACAATAAATGTTTGAAAAGCAGAGAAAAGGCGAAGTGAATCTCGCAAATCCGTAACAATGGGAGGAGGGGAGGGGGGGGGGGCAAAGAAGCGGAGAATACAGCGTAGATCCTAAGTTTAGGCTGGGGGTTAGGCTTAAGCTTAGGCTTAGGCAAGGACAGGTATCAGGAGCTTATATTAACAAAAAACGGAGCTGGGCAAGTCGGCTTTCAGAAATTCTAATCGATGCGCTAATAAGGGTAGGCATTTGCGAGCCAAATCCATAATTTCTACAAACACTTTCGTACCCTGCACTTGAAAATTGTACTGGCAGTCGAGGAGGAGGAGAAAATTACGGGGCGAGGGACAAATTGAGGAAAGGAAAAAACAAATCACAATCGATGACTACAATTTTAGGGGAGGTCACGGAGCTGCGTGAATTTGAATTTTTCTGACGCTAATTAGACAGCGTGGGGCTACGTAGATTTTTTGTTGTGACCAGAATTTCAGCAAAAAATGATAGTGTGACAAAGGAGCAATAAAGGCGTTGCTGCAGAACTGGTGATGTGGAACTAAAGACCGGAAAAAGGTCAACCCTTCCGTGCTCCTTTAAAAAATAACTAGGCAATAAAAATCATCTGGAGAACGTGGGCAATTTGTCGAACGAATATCCGGGCCGGCCGCATATCGTGCATGTGATGTAGAAGACGTGGTAGAAACCGGGGATAAAGCAGAGCAGCCCCGCAAAGAACAGCACCCAGATTTGGACACCGGCTAAAAGACGGGTTTGATTGACAAGGCTTAGGCTTAAGCTTAGGCCTTTGCTGTAGCTCAAAACCCACCATGATCGTTGGTGATTTCTAAATAGACGAGAATACCGTAGAAGAGTAGTGCTAAATTTTGAGGTAGAAAAGCGAATGTCTTTTCAAGCTTACCAGCACCCATTATCGTCAATATGAAGGAGCCGATGACGACCTGCCAGTTGGATCGTAGTCTCGGATCACGGCAGCCACCTCTGAAAATGGGATTGGTAGGCTTTGGCTTAAGCTCCTGCTTAGGCTTAGGTTAAGGTTTAGGCTTAGGCTTGGCTTGGGTGTAGGCAGAGGCTTAGGCTTAGTAGGCGTGGCTTGTGCTTTTCCTCACCCCAGGTCGGGTGAAAATACACGACATTTTCTTCCTGTGACTTACTTGATCCGATTCTCGTGAGGTCTGCTGACGGGCGGGTCTGGCTGAGATGTAGGAAAAACGCCACCGCTCGAAACTTCCGGTGGCGCATGCGTGCGGGGTTGTTGCCTGGAATTTTAGCGTAATTTGAGGTGCGCAAAGGCCTAAGGGTCGCCTGGGGCCGCGACAACACAACAAAACTCACCTTTCAACGTCTTCCTCCTCTTCGCCGCTCTCGTGTCGATCGACGATCAGCTGAAATCTAGTATTCAAAACCACAATCAAGATTCGGCCACGCATCAACGTTAGGGGATGTCGAAGTTAAGCTGTACTTAGGAAGGTTTCGGAAACGACTTACATGTTGACCCTGCGAAGCATTGCGCTGATGCCCTGGCATCGTGCTCACAACCATAGAGGCCACCCCGACGAGGTGGCTCGACGCTTCTGGAGGGAATTCTGAAAACATACCGTTAAAAGGGGAGCGTGAGAAGCTAGGATTTGTTAGGAGAGAATTGGCCAGCAGAGATTCTTGAGACAAGGTTGGCTAGCAGAGTTCTTTAGGAAAGGGCAAGGTAGCAGCGATTATTTAGGAAACGGCAGGCTAGCATAGATTCTTTCGGAAAGGACTCCCAGGAGCTATTCTTAATGAGCGGATGGGCTAGCAAAATTCTTAAGGAATGGATAAACAAGTAGAGATCCTTTGGGAAAAGGTGAGTTAGCGGGGGTAACGGCAGCCGCCTTCAATAATAATTTAATGCCGTCAATTTACATAGCTTAAAAATTTATGTAACAGTGCCAGGAACAGTGTGGTATGTCTGGTGTCAGGGTGGTCAGTGTCCGTGGCTGGCCGAGAGAGTGCGCACACATATGGTCGTCTGGCAACGGCTCAAAAACCGCGACGCACACGCCTTGCCCTGGTCTCTACGGCCCCCGGGACCGCTTTTAGCAAGCAACTATGTAGAACAACCCGGGCGAGAACCTCAAAAACCTTAACTAGGGTTTGAAGAGGCCGGAAAGCGCGATAATGTTCTGTTTCAGATTGCTCATGGTTGTTGATTTTGTTTCAGATGGCAGGCTTGACGTTGCTTGAAGTCTTGAAGTTCCGGACATTTTGAAGAAACCTTCAAGTAAAGAACATGGAAATGCACGGCTGCAGTTCGCTTCGAAATAAAGCTGATGCTTAGGCTTAGGCATAAGCTGTGAGGCTTCGTCTTAGGCTTTTCGGCTTCGGCTTGGGTTTAGGTTTGAGCAATTCAACATTTCTTCATAACTTTATATTTTAATTTTTTTTTTTGCAAAATCGTTGTAGAGACAGACGTTTATATGCATTTTCTCCTTCTCACCGATCCGGCCATTCTCCCAAAATAATTGTTCGACACGTTTCTGGCCACCATAATTTGATCGATAATTGGGGTGTTGGCGTGGTGCCAGAAAGGGTGTCCCCGATTGTGTCTGTTCTCCCCTCTCCGGGGTACACGTTCCTGACTGCACACTTCCGGGCCGTGCAGAGGAGCGTCGTGTACTCCCCGCATCTGCCCCCCCGGCTATATCCTTCATCTTCGACGGTTTCGGCGGTCTGACTAGCAAAAAGTTTTGCGTTTTATATATTTTTGTATAGCGTTTTTCAAGCTTTGCTCTGAGCTTTTCCGATACCCGGTATTTGGACGGTAATGCGTCATCAAGTCGAGCGATATCTCTTCCTCAATATTTTTCTAGTCTATTCAGCTGCCATAATTTACATCTGGTAATATCCTGCTTGCTAATTTTTTACTTAGTTTAAGCCTAAGACTAACTAGGTAACTTGTAAGCCCAAACGCAAGCCTAAACACCAGCCTTTTCTTCGAAGGTAGAATAGCCCAATTAACTTTCCGCCCAATTCTCTTCCTGAGAGGAACCCGTTCAAAACGCGCCCGGAATCCAGTCCCGAATCCGGAAATTCCCCGGAACGTTGACGACTCAAAATGTCACCAGCGTCCGCTCATTTTTCAATCATTCACTTAGCCAACTGACCCTCGTGTCTCCCACTCGACAGCGGCTTTCCGCTTTTCCCCAGTCGCCCCGGCAAATCGTAAACTCACACATGCAACGCTAATTTTGAGGATTCGGATTAATAAACCCAAACTTAATTTGAACCAATTTAAATAAGTGCATGTATTACTGAGATAAAAGCTCTCTCTGTCTCTCTTTCTCTCTCACCCTCTCTCTCACTCACTCGCTATCCAAAGCTGTCATATACTATAGCTTGTTCCGCTCGCCATCCCCGGACCGATTTCCATCCATGATGATGTGATATTCACCTAAAGATGCAAAGCCTAAGCCTAAGCCTCAGCCCAAGCCTAAGCCTTAACCTCAGCCTAAGGTTAAGCCTAAGCCTAAGCCTAAGCCTAAGCCTAAGCCTACGGCCAAGCCTAAGGCGAAGCCTATGCCTAAGCATAAGCTTAAGCCTAACAAGGGAACCTCGCGGAGACATGGTGGAATTTCGGAAAACGCTCGCGGCTACCCCCGGGTAATCGACCATTGCGATCACGATGCGCTTGTCAGATTTTTCTAAATAGACCGGTGGACAGAGATACAGCACTTCCGGAAAATGCTGATTTACATGCAAAAAATTTGCATAGAAGGATGGTTTATGAGGCTCTCCCATCACTATGGAATCACCAGTTGAATGGCCGAGTGGTAAGGGATTCGCTTGATAGGATTCTAACGAGGGTTCGAATCCGCTCAGGATTTTTTGTTTTTGCTTTTTGCCAGAGATTTTTGTACAAGTCCAGAATGTTACTAGTATTAGTCGGAAACCAGGGTTGAAAAACCGCTTCGCGGCTTTTCAACCCTGGACCCGTCTAGGACTTCTGAGAATTTGACTTTACATAGGGACCTTGTTAGGCCTAAGCCTAAGCCTAAGCCTAAGCCTAAGCCTAAGCCAAAGCCTAAGGCTAAGCCGAAGCCTAAGCCAAGCCTAAGCCTAAGCCTAAGCCACAGTCTAAGCCCAAGCCTAAACCTAACCCTAAGCCCTACCGAACCTAATCCCAAGCGTCAGCTTTATTTTTGACTTTCGCCTAGCGGTTGAAGCCGATGCCGTGTCGGTTTGTCGGCGTCCATCTGTCGGTCTTTCCGTCCGTTCCCTTCCCTCCATCCCCCATCACCCTGATGCTTTGTGAGCGCGCTGTGGGTCTGCAGCTGGCCGTCCGCGCGCCCGTCTTTATGAGTGCCCTCGCCCCTATCCGCCACCACCGGCCACCATCCACCCCTCCAACCAACCCCGACATCGATCCCGATTTTTCACGCTTCTCTGCGGCTTCACGCTTGCTTATTAATTACACCATGCCGAGAGCGACGGCTCGTACTTGCGGAATTTGCATAAATAGCTTTCCTAGATTTTCCTCCCTGAACAATCTCTGCTAGTCTGCCCCTCCAAAAATGTCTGGGTTCGGATTTCCCAAAATATACATTCCCTTTAGTTCCCATACTTCCTCCTGTTATTTTCATCTCTACCTCGGAATTGATATGCGTAGGCTTAGGATCGGCGCAAGCTAAGCCTAAGCCTAAGCCTAAGCTTAATCCTAAGCCCAAGCCACTAACTGCTCCTCCTTAGAAGAGGTTTTAAAACGCTGCATCCTGACTCACTTGGTTTTTCTCACATGGCGATCGGCAACAAAATGGGCTTATCTACCCGAGCGGGTTGTGGTCGACACCTCTGGCCGAGGTATGCCCACCCTCGCAAAAGCCAATCCATTTGACTGTCGCTCGACGACCTCGATCCTATCAGCACCTCCCCTCAATTTTGGGGACTTTGAAATCGGCAGGTACCGATTTAAAAAACACTCCCACAAGCCATTGCAATTTTTTTACAATACTTTCTCAATTTTTTTGAGGGTTTGAGATTTAGAGGAGGAGGAGTATGCAAAGTAAACTCTTAACCAAACACCTTCGCCAAACAACTCCCTCCCTCGATAAACCCCCACCCCCCGCTAACAGTCCAGAACCGCTTAGGCTTAGGCTTGGGCTTGGGCCTGGGCTTAGGCTTAAGCTTAGTCTTTGCTTCTACTTAGGCGTAGGCTTAGTCCAAGGCTCTTAGTTTTTTACTTTAGGCTTAGGCTTAGCTGAAGTAAAGTACCCCAGCGCTAATTGTGAGTGGCCATTGGGGGATGGTGGTGTTGAAGTGTAGGGTGGGAACCAGTCCACGATGGTCCGCTAGGGACGATATCGTGGCGTTGATTTGATGAGAGAATCGATGCCCCTCCCATCCCCACCACATTCAGCCTTTCATTCAAATTTCTGACAGCCGATTATGGCCGGCCCTCCCCTTCGGAATCTGCTGCAGCGCATGCAAAACACCATCGACACGCAGCACCACACAAAAAGCATCGCCTCCCACCTGGCTGCCTGGCTTCTCCCCAGGCGGCGGCTTTTGCCCAGATGGCTGAACAATCGGTTTCTGGTTTTCGCAACATGTAGTTTCTCGATTGTATTGGAATTTCTGTTTTTTTTGGGCTTACTAAACCCCGCCCTCCCCGCCAACCGGAAATTGCCAAATTTTTCCAGATTTCCGCTATTTTGCCAAAGTTTTGAGTACGCCATTCGATATAGCGTCAAAGAATATACTAAAAGTTTTAATTACAACCAAAAAGAATGTAATATTCAAAAGTTATAGCGAAAAACTTTTCGGAACCTCAGGGCCGGAAGTTAAATCTAGCCTTTTTTAATCAGACTCAAGCGTTCCTAATTGTCTTTTTTTTTAAATTTGTAAAAATGTCGCTTTTTCGTGGCAAAGAAATTCCACTATTTTTCAGCGTTTTCCCCTCAAGAGCCGCAGCGGGCTCAAAGGCAGCGGAGGGCCACATAAATTAGTATCTCTTCGCGCACATTTCTAAATGCGGAGAGACGGCAGGACGAAGCGGCATGAATAGAGAGGTGGGTGGTTGCAAAACCTTAGATTTTCCTGTATTTAATCTAAAAATTTCGGGTTTCTTTCAAAATGCCGACATTCATAATGTCGAAATTTCAGAGTGTCGAAATTTGCATAAGCTAATTTTCCCGGAAATCCCCCGAGTCTCGTGCAAAAAATGTCGACATTCTGAATTTCCACATTATGAACCTTAAGATTTTCGGCATTGTTATCGCAAATCGCATGTGGGCAGGCTAGCAGAGATTTTTTAGTAACAGACAAGCTAGCAGAAATCCTTAGAAAACAGCTGACTAGCTGTTTGGCTTTCACGCCTCGTTCTGATGCCAAATTCCACGATTCCACGTCTCTTTAAAATTTTCCCGGCCTGGTTTTGGGCAATCTTGATCGTCTTTGGGATGGGATGGCCCATCTGTAAACAGTGTTGGGGCGTCCATCCGGCTGCCCATGATGGACAGAGGGACAAACAGACAGAAAGACAGAAGGCCGATCCCACTTGGCGCATATGCCGCTTGATGAGGGCCCTGTGGGAAGGACCCTTCACTACTCCTCAACGATCCCGGCGAGCGGGGAGGTGTGATCCCATTAAAGGGATGTGGAAGCCAAATTCAAGCATTAGGCGTGGCATGAAAGCGTTTGCTAAGCTCTCGACGGCTTAGCCTAAGCCTAAGTAGAAAATTACCTTAGAGGCAGCCGCAAGCACACAAAAAAAACAAAAGCTAAAAATTTTTGTTAGCCTATTGATATGGCCGATTTCCATGGTCGACCTCTATTAGCCTAAGCCTAAGCCTAAGCCTAAGCCTAAGCCTAAGCCTAAGCCCAAGCCTAAGCCTAAGCCTAAGCTTAAGCCTAAGTCTTCTAAACTTCTTTTTTCAGCCGTCCGTACGCGCTGAGGACATTCAACAAGTGCTGCGGGATGAGGTGGCTCTGTTGCCCGGATGCCGCGATCGACAGGTCAGCTACCTGAAGCCTCAGCTTAAGCCTGACTTCCCTTTTAACATTTGCAACCGAATTTTCAGGGCCATCCACTGATTGTCTTCCCATCGCGGGACGTCACCGTGAACCCCGACCATGTCCGAAGTGTTCTTCTCTATCTGTGCGAAGTCTGCGCGTAGGTTTTCGCCTGTAAACGCGTAACAAAAGTCTAGGGAAGAGGCGAAGGGTCGTGGCTTCATCATCGTTATCGACATGAGGGGCAAGCAGACGTGGACCAACGTGAAGCCGATGCTCAAGGCGATTAATGTAGGCTTTTTTGAAGTCTTAGAGTCTATAGAGTAAGGTTAAGCTGAGGTTCAGGCATCGGCTTACTCTAGGCGATCCAATGAATCATAATTTCAGTCGCTGATCGACGAGGGCGGGGCGCTGGCCGGCGTGTTCCTCATCAACCCCGACAAGCTGGGCGAGAAGCTCAAGACCCAGATTTCGGCCGGCTTCTGCAAGTTTGAGGTGCAAAAAGTGGGCGTCGACACGCTGCCCAAATACTTTGAGGGCACCCAGTTGATACGGTAGTTTCGTCGGCCAGTACGGTATTTACAACTGATATTTTAGGGAATTTGGCGGTTCATTTCCCTATGACCATGCCGAGTGGTTGGATACGAGATTGGTGCGTTTTTGAGTTAGCACGAGATCCGCATTTAGCATTAGAAAAGTAGGCATTATCAATTTCGACATTTTGAAGACTAATGGGCCAATTATTTTATTATTTGAATTATTAAGGAATTGGAACGGTGGATAGCCAACATTATCGATGAGATGCGGAAGCTGGAAGCCCAAAGAAAGGTGAGGGGCAGGAAGGGGAGCTATCATAGCTCTGGAAACCAAAAATAAAAATCACCAAATTTTTCCCTATGATTCACGACGGCTCTAGAACAGAATATAAACAATTTTATAGTAATTTGCATGGTTTTTATATATAAACACAATATAAAAATAATCAAAATTTTCGAAAAATTTTGACAAAAAAAATTCATGAAAATGAACCAAAAAGGTCGAAATCTCCGAATTTTCAAAATTACAATATTTTTTACAACTTCTTGCAATTAACAACTCTATAAAAGCATAATATATCACCAACAGGTAGGTTGTGTGGAAAAACAGAAAGTGGTTACCCCCTGATAACCCCCCCCCCCCCGGCTAACGGTACAGAACCTGAAATTTCTTAAAGGAAAAGTTGGAGCGATCCCCTTAAAACCAAAGCGAACGCTCCAGATTCATTTTTCCAGCAAATCACCGACGCTGAGTCCCCAGTCGATGTTCCGACCGCACAAGCCGCCATCGAGCGTCACGGTGCCATCAAGAAGGGAATTCTCGCCGTCCCCATCGAGGCCATACAACAAAAGGCGCAACGAGTACAAGACCGTATTCTTCGCCCCGGCCGGCCAGCCAATCCCGACCTCGAGGCCGCGCTGCCGAACCTCACCAACCTCGTCCACTCGCTGCAACAGCTCAAGGCTGACGTCTACAAGATGTGGGAAAATCGACGAATCGAGCTGGAGACGCTCGTCCAGTTGAAGCTGTTCGAACGGGATGCCGATCAGATTCTGAGCTGGATACGTGAGGAGAGCCAGGCATTGATGAGGAAGATGGGAGATGTCGGCACGAATGAGAGCGAGGCGAGGGAGAGATGGAAACGGTGGGTTTTTGAGGGGGATTGTGTTCTCTATCTCTATCTCACTCTCTCTCGCTTTTTCTCGCTTTTTCACTTTCCTTCTCTCCCTCTCTCTCTCTCGCTCTCTCTCTCTCCCGCTAACTTCAGCCTCTCACATTCCTTTTCAGCTTTGAGGAACATGCCAAAAGCATCGAAACCCGTGACGATGTCCGTAAGAATATCGGTGCCCTGGCGGCCCGCGTCTGCTCAACCATCGTCCCCACCATGAAAAACAGGGTCGAGGCAACGGCGCAAAAGATTGCCGACGAGTGGAAGCTCCTCCTCCAACTTCATGCAAATCGAAAGATCCTTATCCAATTCTCCATCGACTTCTACCAGGCCACCCAGGCGTACCTTCTCGAATTGCCGAATTGGCTGGGCAACCCGGGTGTCGATCCGGTCACCATCGACGCCCGGTCCAGTGAACGGCTCGATGAGGCTATTGAGGTTGGGATTTGTGGCTAAATTAACCCAACTTACAGGTGCATCGACGGTTCTGGGGACGTGTGGAAGAGATCTACGTCGTCGCCGTCAACCAGGCGTCGATGCTGACGCAGGCGCAAAAAAGTGCCCAGCTCCCGGACCGAGAACTGGCCGCCGGCATCCCGAAGACGCAGATGACCACGGTGCAGAGGGAGCATAAGAAGCTGCACGAGGTGTGGAAGGATCGTGAGGTGAGTGCGATGTTTTTAGGCTGAGGGAGAGAAAAGAAAGAGGGAGAGAGAGAGAGAGAGAGAGAGAGAGAGTGAGAGAGAGAGAGATGGAAAGAGAGATGGAGAGATGGAGAGAGAAGGGAGAGATAGAGAGATAGAGAGAAATTTCCTGATTTCCTCCATCAATTCATTAGTGTGCCGTATGCAAATGTCCGCGTGATACTCCCTTATCGATCCCCAACAGCTGGCCCCTCTGGATAGGCAGATGTTTGTTAGCTCTCAAGCCCTCGAATTTCAAAAACCTTCAAACTCCAAACTCTTCAGATCCGACTGACCGCCATGCTTGCCGTCCTCGTCTTTCAGGCCGACTACCAGTCGATCGTCCGCTGGCTCGAGCAGTACGGCGAGCCCTTCCTTGCCCGTAATGTCTCAATCGGTAGGTCACTGTTTATTGTAAAATTTGGGTTCCTTTCAAAATGTCAAAAATCATAATGTCGAAATTTACATGAGCTGATGGTCTCTGAAAATCCATTTCATCCCATGCATAAAATTCGTTATTCTGAATTTTGATATTGTGAAATATCGGCATATGAAAGCTAAACAACTATTTGCCGTTTTCGCAAGTGGCAAGACCACATATGCAAATTCAACGCATCATTTCAGGGGATAGCCGCGACGCAGCCGTGGTGCTCTACGACCACTTCAAGCAGTTCCAGGCAGCCGCCCAGAACCAGTACGCCAACGCCGAGAAGCTGGCGGCAACGAGCGAGGAAATTGTGCATCGGATAGGTCGGTATCCTCGGCGTTATGGTTTTTTATTTAAATCTCAAATTAAATTCGATTAAGCTATGATGATCAAGTACTTGATAATAACAAATAAGAGCTGTTCAGGAGGGAGCGATGCGCAGCAAACGCACACCCTCGCCTCCGAATTGGCCCGGAAAATCGATCGATTTAAGGGACGGGCTCAGGAACGATCGAAATTGTTGATGAACTCGGTATGTTGTAATTAATACCGTCGCGGAATTACCTGAAAGTCACCTTAAAAAGCTCTATAAACTTTTTAGGTGCTGTTCCACACCCACTACGAGGAGCTGACCAGCTGGTACAGCGAGGTGAACCTGAAATTCCAAGGCCTGCGCTTCGACGCCGACGTCGAGGAGTGCGAGCGGCAGAAGCAGCAGTGCGTCAAGGAGAATGAGAGTACCACCGAGGTCAGTAAATATAGTCGTGGCCGCGCGGCGAGACCTAAAATTCAGGTCGGGTTGGCAAACCTAAGCCTAAGCCTGAGCGTAAGCTTAAGCCTAAGCCTAAGCCTAAGCCGTTAATCCCACCCTCCGTTAATGACCATATTCAGGCCTACTCGACGATCATCTCCGAAGGCGAAAACCTCATCGCCATCCTGCAGCGTCACGGCGACCGGAATGATGCAAATTATGCGGTTTCGATCAATGCCGTCAACCGGCTCATGGGCGATATTGGTACCGTTGTCAATACGGCTACTCGTTATCTCGCTTTTCCCATTTCTAGTCCGGCTCAACCAGCTCTACACGGAACAGTGGCAACACCGGCGCACCTTCTTCCAGGCTAACCTCAAATATGCTAACTTCCTGAGTGACGCCACCGAGATCCTGCATCAAATCCAGGTAATTTTAGGGCTTTTCAACAGTTATACAAGGGATTTCTTTCAAAATGTCAAAATTCATAGTGTCGAAATTTCATAATGCCGAAATTTCATAATGCCCAAATTTAGAATTTCGAAATTTACATAAACTATTTTCCCGGAAAACCCTTGAATCGTATGCAAAAATGCCGACATCCTGAATTTCGAGATTCTGAAATTTCGGAGTTGTGAAATTTCGACATTCTAAATTTAGATGTTATGAAACTTCGGCCTGCTGAAATTCGACATTATGAAATTTCGACATTGTGATTTTCGAAATTATGATAGCAAATCTTAAACCAAACCTTTAGAACTGGGAAGAGGACATGCAAAAGATGGTCGACACGCCCACGTTTATCCAGAACGCCGAAAAGGTCGAACCCTTCCACCGTGAGAACATCGTGCAAGTGCGGAAAGCGGTGAAAAAGCTCTTCGCCGATGCGACGGAGTTGAACCACGCGCTGCAGACGCAGTTGGCCGGCCGAGAATTGCGCACTAAGGAGAACGCGATTGTGTACGACGTCATCACTCAGGTGCAGCAGGGATTGAGAGTTGGAGAGGCGCAGGTGGGTACTTGAGCTTGGGCTTCTCGTTTAGGTTCTCTAGCATTTCCGGGGGCGGGGGGGGGCAACTTTTTTCTTAAAATCTAATTTTTCAAAAAAAATAATAGAAATGTCTAAAGGTTTTTTACTATTCCTAAACGTCAAAGCTTTATCAAATAGAATCAAAGAAATATCAATACCGATTTTTCGACCGAAAATGTCAGTTTTATTACCGAAATTTTTAAGAAGTCTTAAGATAGTTTTTCTAGATGAAATATAGCTATATACTCATAAAAAAACTATAAAAACACTTTCTATTAGGTTACTAGGCTCTTCTAGACTCTTATAAAAAAGTTCGGTTTCCGCCCCCGATAAACTCCTCCCCCCCGGAAAGGCAAAAGACCCCCTTTGAAGCATAGAACTTAAACTCACTAACTGTCTGAATAAGACTTTTCCTTAAATATGAGCTATCCCAACTCTCCGTTTCAGGTGATGCGAGTGGCGCGTGAGACGGAGCAACGGATAGAAGCCGTCAAGAACTACAATAAATGCCTCGTCATCGCCAACCACATTATTCGTACGTTTCAAAATCTATTTGTGACCCTTGCGGCAAAATTTCGTAACGGCGTCATAATGTCGAAATTTCCCAAAGCCGAATTTTCAGAATATCGATTTTTTCGCATAGGATTCGGGTTTTTTTTTCCGGGAAATTTAGCTGATGCAAATTTCGACATTCTGAATTTAGACATTTTCAAAGAAACCCCACCTTACGGTACCCTCCTCTTCCAGATATCTTCCAAGAAGCGGCACGTCGTCTCGAGCCCGCCCCACTCCCAATCGACTACAACGAGACGCAGAACATGGCGCAGCAAAACGACCAGAAGCGCCAGTGCACCGAGGCCGAGACGAACATGCTGGCCGAGCAGTTTGGCGCCCTATACGAAGGACTACTCCGCACACCCCTCCTCGAGCGGAATATGGTCGTTGGCCTGAACGAGGCGGTCCTCGCCAGTTCGCGCAACTACGGCGCGGCTGTGGAGGAGCGCAGCAAGCTGCTCAAGTCGGCCGCTCAGTACTTCCGCGCCTTTCAACACGGCATCTGGCCGACGCTGGAGGAGCTGAGACAGGACTATACCAAGGCAGAGCATCAGGATCTTTGCCTCGAATTCGCGCGCGAGGCACCGCCCATTCGTGCCGAGCGCATGGCCGCACTTATGACGAAGCACGTCGCGCATAAGGACAAGTTCTTGAAGGTATGTGACTGACGGTTCTTACGCATTAGCGGGGGGGGGGCTAACTTTTTTCTCCGAATTCTCTTTCTGTTTCAAACATAAATACTGGAGGTGTTTCTAAATAGTTTTTTTACGATTCCTAAACGTGAAAACTTTACAAATTTGTAGTAAAAAAAATCAAATTATCGATTTTTCGAATGAAAATGGCCGGTTTTTGACACAAATTTTGTATTTTTAAAAGTTTTAAGATAGTTTTTCTAGTTTAAATATGGTTTTATATTACTAAAAACACTAGTAAACACTTTCTATTCAGCTAATAGGCATTTCTAGACTTATACAGAAAAGTTCGGTCCCCCCGATAATGCCAAAGAACCTGACTTACTATTAAGCAACGACTAGAAGGCGTTCGGGGTAGATTTGGAGGAGACGACCGAGGCTAAACTACCCTTTCAGGGCTGCACGTATGCGCACAAGACCGCCGATGTCCTCCTGAAGTACATTGACCGCATGCCCGCGCACCGCATCTCCAACGCGGTCGCGAGGCTTCGGCAACAGGAGGCCGAGGTGCGGCGTGACAAGGAGGAGCTGCAGGTGCGCCAGAGTTTGCTGCTGGAGCTGTGGGCCCGGAAGAAGAAGCAGCTCGACAGGTTGGTGCCTTTCTTCGGATTTCTTTCAAAATGTCGAAAATCGGAACGTCGAAATCCAGAATGTCGAAATTTACATAAGCTAGTTTACATAAGGTCGGGCGAGTCCCCAAACCCGCTACAAAAAAATGTCGACAGTATGAAAGTTCGGTATTCGAAAATTCGAGATTCTGAAAACTCGGAATCCGAATTTTCGAGAATTCGTTTCACTTCTAATGTTCTAAATTCTGATACCAAACCATCCTCTTCAGATGCCAGCGCTACGTCCTCATCGACGCCCACCGCGCCGAGCTGGTCGACTGGTTCAACGGCGAGGCCGAGGCGACGCTGAGCAGATTCACCCGTCACGCCCAGGCTCAGCTGTCCGAGCCGGAACGGGCCCAGATCTACAACGAGTTCCGGGGGTGGAAGATGGACGTGAAGACGAAGCGGACCGAGATCCAGACGATGATCAGACTCGGTGATGAGGTGATTGCTGGCGATGAGCACTATCCGCTTCACGTCGACGACGTCAGGAGGTGTCAACAGGAACTGCGACAACGGTGAGTGGATTCTCGGGGTTTTAGGGAATTGGAAGTTTTGGCAAGGATTGAGGGTTGATTTGTGTCGTTATCCGTGCTTTAAAGGGATCGGCCGCTTAGCAAACCCTTAAAAACCGCATGACATTTTAGTTTTGATGAATTCTCGAGGCGCGTCACCAGCTGCGAGGCGTCGTTGATCGGCAACGGCAAGATGGGCCCGGTAAGCGGAAGGATTACGGTGGCTAATTCAATGGACTTTCAGAAGGACGAGCTGTCGCTTGATCGACTGTCCGACTCGAACGTCGAGAACAAACTGCCTCCCCGAGCCGTTGATGATAAGATCAGGTGGGTAGGGTCAGTGTTATTGAATGTGAATTATAAACACCTATTCTCTCTCCTGAAATATCTCTCTCTCCCCCTCTCTCTCTCTCTCTCTCTTTTCTCTCTCCTCTCTCTCGCTTTCTCTTTCGTTGTTTTTCTCGATTGCTATCTTTGTCTTTATTTTTGTATTCTCTCTCTCTCCCTCCCCTCTCTCTTTTTTTTTTTTTTTTTTTTTTTCTCTCCCTCTCTCTCTCTCTCTTCCTCTCTTCTCCTCGCGAAAGCATGCTTATCACCCACAAAAACGCTCAGCAAACAGAGCACCCCCAGGGGGTGCTCACGGGGGGAAGAAGCCCGGCCCCTTTAGTTCTGACCCCATCTGTCGCACAATCCGGGCGTCACCCACTGTTTTGTGTTGCCATTTTTGACACTGCCCAATTTCCCCATACCTAACAATGGGCCCGAGGCCAAAGCATCGGCTCCTCATTTTCCGGCCTGGCCTCTTTGTGCCGCTCGCCACCATCGAGGATATCGTCCCGTAAGCCGCGTTTTTTGGCCGGAAAGCTTAAGGGGTATTGCTGGTCCCTTTATAATTTTGGAATTATCGCGGTATTCGGGAAAAAATGCATGAGAGAGAGATAGAGAGAGATAGCAAGAGAGAGACAGGGAGAGGGAGGGAGAGAGAGAAAGAGTGGGGCCGCTTACCAAGACCGGGTTAATTACTATACCTTCTTTCAGGGAGCCGATGCGCGAGTTGATCCAGACGGAGCGCGACTACGTGGAGGCGTTGCAGCGATGTTGCCAGGTGAGCGCAAGCCAAATAATTCGAAAGTCCACGTTTGTAGGTGTACATCGCCGAGTACGACAGTGCTTCTGCGTCGCTGACCTTGCCCGAGGCTTTGAAGGATCAGCGCCACAACATTTTCGCCAACATCGAGATGATCAGCGCCTTCCATGCCGAGTGAGTGGCACTTTTTTGGGATTTTAAAGGGGCTCCGAAATCTGGTCCGCGCCCCCCAGCGTTAATTTCTGGCAAATAGCCAAATGCGACCGCAACGCGCCTGCGCTGCATGATCTTTTGCCGTTTGAACGCTTGAATTTAAAGATTCTGAACCTATTTCTGTAATCCTCATCGAATTTTGATACTTCTCGACTGTCGTTTTCGCCCCAAGAACATTTGGTCCATGAGGGGTTATAGTAGGTCATCAACATCGCTTACCACATAGCACAGAACCCCGTAGACTTTCCACGCGAATCCTCATGTTTTTCGCACATTCCACGTGGGTCCGTCTGGATCTCTCTCTCTCTCGATTTGTGTGCGTGTGTTTCTCTAGTATATTTGTGTACCCACCGCCAGTTTGACGCCCTTCTCCCCCCGGTGTCTACAGGAGCGCTTTGGAGTGGGCCGCAAGCGAGGGCCCAAGAATACTCGTTTCGGGGTATTTTTAGAAGCGTTACCTGGTCAGAGGATTGTCAGCCCGTTTTTTTAGCTGATCACAGACGGAACAGAAAAAAGGAACTATTTTCGTTTTTTTCGAGAGGTTAGAATGTCAAAATTCTTTTTGTCGAAAATCACCTTGTATAAATCTCCAAATTCTGGGTTTTTGTATGCAATACGTTTTTTTCAGAAAGTTCCTGCAAGACATCGTCAAGTACGAGGATGACCCCGAGCAGGTCGGCTCGTGCTTCATCGTCTACGTGAACACGATTGCCGAGTACTACACGGAGTACTGCCTCAACAAGCACCTCCACAATCACCTGCTCGACCTGCCCGAGGTCAAGCAATTCTTCAAGGTATGCAAATTACTGTAAGGAACTTTTAGTTTTCTTTTTAGACAGCACAAGACCGTTACCGTCTGGATATCAAGGATGATCTTGGCTCGCTTCTGATAAAACCAGTGCAAAGGTGAGAGCGAGAGAGAGAGAGATAGAGAGAGGAGAGAGAGAGAGAGAGAGAAACCGAGAAAGTGAGGAGAGAGCGGTAGAAGGCGAGACAGAGATTATGAGAGGGGGTAGAGAACACGAGCGAGAGAGGCAGAGAGAGGGAGAGAGGCAGAGAGATAGAGCGAGATAGAGAAACAGACATAACCTCATTCCTTCCAGGATCACACGCTACCACTTAGTGTTGGATCAGTTGATCAAGCACTACAAAGGAGTGCTGAAGATTTTAAGGTAAGCCTCAGTTTCAGTTCAAGAACGCGATATTCCGCAAAATCACCTTCAAACGACCCTTTCCAGGAGGCAGATGAGATTGTCGTTGGCGTTACCCGTCGCGCAAACGACCTGATGAACCTGAGCTGCTTGGAGAAGAAGGAAATCGTAAGCCACTAATTTGCATTTTTCAACTGAGAAATCGACCTCAGCTGGACCACGTGGGACCGTTCGTCATGCAGGACGCGCTGACCGTCTGGGAGTCGGGCACGAAATACTTCAAGGGGAAGGGCAAGGAGCGCCAGGTGAGGGGTTGTGTTGGAAATTGGAGCGCTCTTCTGATTTCGGAGGCGAATTTTCACCACGTTGATGAATTTCCAGGTGTTCCTCTTCGAGCTTGCCTTCATTTTCGCGAAGAAAATCGAAAAAGCGGAGTCTCGCGATGGGAAGCTGCGCTTTTTCATCAAAGGAAAGCCGATCCCGGTGAGTAGCGCTCTTTCATTCTCTCTCTCTCTCTCTCTCTCTCTCTCTCTCACATTGACAAACAACCTTTTACAGCTGAACGAAGTGACGGTAGTAGAGCATGTAGACGTCGACCCGAATCGCTTTGCCCTGCGTATCGGCTCCGCTCACAGTAACGACAACCGCATCGACTTCAGGTGGGTGGGGCTCAGAAGCAAATGGTTTAGCGTAGCTCAGGCTCAGGCTTGGGCTTAGGCAAGTTTAGACTCCGGCTTAGGCGCAGGATTGCCCGCTGCGCTCTGTCGATTCCACCCATTCAAACATTTTCAGGGCCGCTAATGCAGACATAAAGAACACCTGGGTGAGAAGAATTCGAGAGCTCCGGCAAGGTCTTTACAATCCATGTAAGTGCAGTACCAAAAATGCTTGAAACTTGCTAACTGCAGTGTTCGCCGGCGACGGTTTCTCGACACCACGCAGCACTATGAGCGTCTCATCGAGAGCCTCAGGTAATTTACTCTATAGTCAGCAGTTGCTTAATTTAATTTCTGGAATTTGGGCGAGCAAATTATGCGACTTAAATACGAACCATTCCGCGTCAAGCCTCAATTGTTTAGGTGAATACCGTAACAGTCGTGACGCCGAAAGCCTCGGTTCGGCTGGGGATCCATCTCTCGAGCCAACAACAAGTGAACAGGTCAGTTGCATAGAATCTAGGCTGCATTGCCCTTTCCTAAAGAATCTCTGCTCGCTTGCCTTTGCCTCAATAATCTCAGCTAGCCCTGCTCTTCACAAAGAATTTACCGCTATGCCTTCCGTTATTTCGCATTACCGGGGGGGTCAAATTCTTTCTTTAGGATCTACTTTTTCAACTACAAATAGTGGAAGTGTTTCTAAGGGGTTTTTACTATTATTAAACGTAAAAACTTTACAAATTTGTATTAACAATACAAAAATATCGATTTTTCGACCGAAAATACGCGATTTTTGGCCAAAACTTCTAGTTTTTCTGGTCAAAATCTAGTCATTCTTGCTAAAAAACCGTACTAAAACACTGCCTATTAAGTTACTAGGCATTTCTAGACTTTTACAAAAAAGTTCGCCCCCCCCCCTGATATTGCCAAAGAACCCGGGCTTCCCATACATTTGGTAAAAATTATGGAGTGTGATGTTTTCCAGGATTCCGAGAGTGTCGGCTCTGGAGAGAAGCGGTTCAGCGTGCAGAGCACCAGCAGCATCGAGGTACGAAATGCACAAAAATTGAATTTCGCGGACCAAATCTCGAATTGGGTATTTCCGAAAAACCCAAAATAACCGCTGCTTTGCAAATTCCCATTGTTTCAGGAAAAGAACGCTGAAGACGCCCGGCATTCACGGATTCAACTCCGGCAGCTAGCCACAATCGCGACGACCGAGACTCGCCAAGAAATGCCGAAACTCAACGGTCTCCGGATAACCGACGCTTCCAATGGTCGCCCCGGCGGAAAATCCTAGCTTAATATGCGAATTTTGAAGCCGAAAAACCGACATTTTTGTGTTGCCGGCTGCTCTGAAACAGCGATGCCGACCCAACTCTAATCAAATCAATACGGTTCCTTTTGCCAAATACTATGCAAAAAACTTGCTCTTCGCTTCGCTGTGTGCTAAATTATGGGCGTAAAGGCTCAGGATTAGGCTTAGGCTTCGGCTTAGGTTTTAGGCTTAGGCTTAAGCTTATGCTTAGGATGCCATTACTAACACAATATCGATTTTAGTCTAGAAAATTCACCCATTTACCTACCATTAAACAATCGTATCCCTTGACTTTCCCAGGCCTTCCCCCTTATCCTACGCTTTCCGCCGCTTGCTTCACTTCCCACCCGCCCGCCTTACTGTAATTAATTTATTTGCCCTTCTATGTCTTTTTGGTTGCGACATTCTTAATTCATATGTGTATATATGATATATACTATAATTTGATCATATTATTGGCTTCTATTTTTTGTACATTTTTTGAATCTCGCCCCCTTTCGATCCCAGTGATGCCCTCCCCTTTAATAGATCCCCTCACCAAAATCAATGAGATGATATTCACAATCGGACAGCGACAAATGGGTGCTCCTTATTGACTTATTGACGCAATAAATTATTGTTCTCATTACGCTTGAGATCGATGCAAAAACACCAACCAGGCCTAATCGACGAGGGCTGCCTAGTTGCAACATTCAAAAAATCGTAGCAATTAAACCAGGGCCTCCGGGGCTTCGGAAGAAACTGTGTTCGGTACTATTTTTGGTGCTCTTTCAGCTCCACTTCGAAGTGCGTGATGAATTTCTCGAAATTTTTTTGGTAAATTCCGAAAAAATCCATGTGGTCCCCCCTTTAGTCGTAAACCATCAAAAATAAAAGTTTCAAAAAATCCTGGCAATTCAATCGGGGCCTCCGGGGTTTCGGAAGAAACGGTTTTCGGTAGCAAAAATACGCTCACAGATATATCTGGTTGATCTAGGGGGGAGGGGGCGGGGGTCGATATGATTGCGAAATTCGTCGTAAAAAAGGTCGCATTCAAGGCCGGGTCTCAGCAGATCGCAGCTCAGGTAGATGCTAGAGCTACTCTACGTACGGGAGGGAAGGTTGAGGGAGGAGCATCAGCAACGACGATACCTCCTGGGGACCACCACTCTATTCTGATTTGCTATCATCCCATCGAATTACATCTGATCGAATTGCATCCCATCGAAATTACGACTCATCGAAATTACGACTCATCGAAATTACGACTCATCGAAATTACGACTCATCGAAATTACGACTCATCGAAATTACGACTCATCGAAATTACGACTCATCGAAATTACGACTCATCGAAATGTCAGCTAAGCGAATTTTCAAAAAATACTAATTTTTGCTCGGTCCAATTTTAGTCATTCTTGGCCGAAAAAAAATCCGTTTCTCGACCTAAAATTAAATTTTTAATAAAAATCTGTATAGTTTTTATGCTTAGAAATAGTTAAAAACCATTTAGAAACGCATCCGCTATTCATAAAAAAAATTTAGGCTTGGACCGAAAAAATTTGGTTGACAAAAACCGATATTTCGAGGAGTTGTAATTTCGATGAGTCGTAATTTCGGTGAGTCGTAATTCGATGAGCCGTAATTTCGATGGGATGTAATTCGATGGGATGCAATTCGGGCAGATGTGATTCGATGGGTTAAAAAAATGCCCCTATTCTAACTAAGGCCGCCGGCGCCGTTGCGGAAATCTCTCGGTGTAGTGCTTAGGCTAGGGCTGCAATGGACGGCTAACTTCGTAGCCCGATCCAACAAAAATCAACAACCAAGTATCTAGCGGTGCAACGCGCCGAGAAAAAATGCCCCAACAAATCCGGCTGGCCCAAAAAAGCATACCAGTCCGGGGGCTCGTCCTAAGCCTAAGCCTAAGCCTAAGCCTAAGCCTAAGCCTAAGCTGAGGGTCAATCGTTGGCCTACTCAGTGGAAAGCTTTGGGAACCCCCTCCACACTAGTGGGCCAGGTGGGGGGCGGGTGCGAAGCAAGCAGTGAAGCCCGCCCTGCGATTCCGCTACGAAATAGCGTCCGGAATGCGGAAACGCCCGATTTGGCTGAATTGAGGATTAGGGGTCTTCGAGCTGCTGTTGCGCCAAGGAGCGATGTGACGGCCGAGCCAGTTAGCAACCCGGAATCAGCGTTTCAAAGCGCTTCGAATGGTCTGCTTACATTGATCGGAAGCGCGCGGCCCGTTTTTGAAAAAATCCATGTGGTCCCCCCTTTAGTCGTAAACCATCAAAACCAAAAGTTTCAAAAAATCGTAGCAATTAAACCAGGGCCTCGGGGGCTTCGGAAGAAACGGTTTTCGGTACTATTTTTGGTGCTCTTTCAGGTGCACACATCAAAGCGATTTCGCACGGTCGATTTCTTGCGGAATCGGGCTTGGAAGGCCTGGTCGACGAGGACTGCCTAGTTGCAACATTCAAAAAATCCTAGCAATTAAACCAGGGCCTCCGGGGTCTCGGAAGATACCGTTTTCGGTAGCAAAAAATACGCGCACGGATATATCTGGTTGATCTAGGGGGGTCGATATGATTGCGAAGTTCGCCCTTCTATCTGTCTGTCTGCCTGTCAACAGTTTGTCGGTTTTCCTCCCCGCCGTCTGTCACTCTCGATCAATGCCCGTTCAATTGAATAGGGTCGGCGGGTCCCCCGAGAGTTGTGGGTCCCCGGCTCAAACTCCCCGGTGTGGCCACATGGCCCACCACACACCCGCCTTTCCACACAAGCACAAAAAATTCCTGAAGATCCCCCCGGGGCGATCAGTCGCCCCGCTTGGGACAGGGGCCCGTCGACACGCCGTTTTACAGCCTTCCCCTTTTTGTCGACGGTTTTCTCTCTCTCTCTCTCTCTCTCTCTCTCTCTCTCTCCTCTCTCTTTCTTTCTCTCTCTCGTCCTCGAGCCCTTACTATTCGTTTCTAAACGCCCTAGAGCCGCCCGATGCCACTCATTTTCTCATACTCATGTTATGCCCTGATTTGTTTTGAGTGCCGATTGGGCTGGCAACCCTTATGCGCTAGAAGCCGGGTTTAAATTTGGGTCTGATCACCTACTCAAGTGCAATAGGTTGAGCAGCAGCTCAACCGCTACTACTGTTCATCATTATCTCTCCCGCGCTCTCTGACCCTCTCTCTCTCTCCTCCCTCTCTCACTTTCTCCTCCCTCTCACTTTCTTCCTCCCTCTCTCTGTAATTTCCAAGCCTGTTTTTCCTTGTAGTCGGCTGACCCCCTCCTTATCTTTTCCCGTCCACGAGCTCAAAAAAGCGCAGACTCGTTAAATTTTTCCGCATTTAGCGAGAATAGCAGCAGCTGAGCTTCGACACGCCCTGGATTGATTGTTTACGATTTACGCCGGGATGCCGTCGCTATTAAAGCGAATCTGCTCCTGCGTTCAGCCGGTGGGTTCATTTCCATAAGCATACGTGTACGGTACGGGCCCGCACCAAAGCCTATGCCCAAGCCTAAGCCTAAGCCTAAGCCTAAAAGCCTAAACCCTCGCGGTCCGTAATTTGGCACATCTTGTAAGCCCTGTGCGCGGTGAGGAAGCAGAAGACAAAAGGCGGCGTGGGACACGCGGTGGGCCCCCAAAAAAAAGAGGGGCGGGCCCGGGACCCGGTCGCGTCGGAATGGATCGCGCGGGGGGTGGCGAGGGCTCATGGCCCAGGGCCACCACAAGTTGCCCTACCCCGCCCTTCCCCCAACTGTAGTACTTTTCTCCCCGCAGCTGCTCGGTGAGGGCAACATGTCCAGCATGCTGCACTATTCCAAGTCGTTCAAAACTATCGGCAAGCGGACGGGGGATCTCTACACCAGGGCGCGCTCAAAGTTTGCGCGCTCCTTTCGCGGCAATCGACATTCGGATCCGCTGGTAAGGGGGAATTCAAGATTTTTAGGTTCTATCGCATTTCCGGGGGACCTAGCTTTTTTGTTGAAGTCTAGAAAAGGCATAGTAACTTGATAGAACGTGTTTTAGTAGCGTTTTGTTTTGGAAAATATAACTATATTTAAAGTAGAAAAACTATCCAAAAACTTCTAAAAAAGTCGAAATTTTGTTCAAAAAACGGGCATCTTGCTCAAAAAATCCATATTTTTTTGATGGATTTTAATGCAAATTTGTAAAGTTTTTACATTTAGGGATTTTCGAAAACATTGGTATCGATGGGTGATTCCTCTGAAGTCTCTGAAGGTTGCTTCACCTTATGGAAATTTCGGGATCCTGAAAATTCCAATTTTTGGAAAAATCAAGATTCCGAAAGTAGATATTCTAATTTTCGAGATGTTTGTCGACGTCGCCGTTCAAGATTTCCCAGCCTTAAAATCGACTCTGCAAGTTACCCGAAGAATTTATCGACCTCTGATTGCTTCCCGAAAGGCTTTCCACAATTCGCTGTCTATAATTTCACCCTAGCGTGCCGACGTTTCGGAGAAGTTGCCCGGGAGCCGGAGGCCCGGCCATAATTTCCGCCAATTTCCCATCCCTCAATATCCTTTCTCAGTTTTCGTTGATACTGTAGAACCATAACCAAAGTAGTTTTCGTCTCTTTGGCTCCGTTTCAAAAAACAGGGGATCAACCCGGCTGCACTCAATTTTTGGGATCTCAATCGTTTCCACTTTTTTCGAACCCATTTCCGCACACAGCTGGGTCCCGGGGACGGTCAACAAAATGTCAACAGACTTTTAACCGGGGCCCGACGCTTCAAGAAGGTCCTTTCAATCCGACCCCACCGACACCTTGGCATCCAGGCCCGGCCGGATGTTTGGCAATCAAGCGGAAAAATTGCGGGATCGATTATGCGGGAGGGGCTTTAGGCTTTAAGATTGGAAACTAAAATGCAGGCGGGCTTAACAAGCTGAAGCTTAAGCCTAAGCCTATCGATATGGCCGATTGCATGGTCGACCTCTTTTAGCCTAAGCCTAAGCCTAAGCCTAACCTAAGCCTAAGCCTAAGCCTAAGCCTATCGATATGGCCGATTTCGATGGTCGACCTCTTTAGCCTAAGCTAAGCCTACTCCGTCAACCTGCCCCGAAAACCGCTTCCGCGTATTTTTGGGGGTTGTTGACATCGAATTGATGGAAATGAAACGAGCATCTGCGCCCATTCAGCCACCTTGTGCCGAACATATGGCTTCGTTGGCCGAGTGGGGCTGCTGCCCCCCCCGTAGATATACCTCCAGATTAAGTGGCCCTCTGGCTTCGGAAGGCTGCATTTGGTGAAAGGGAAGTCAGAGACGGCCTCTAGAGGCAAGGGGGGAGCAGAGCTGAAAATGTCCACGGAAACGGCGCGTAGCCCCCCGCATTTGCTTGTGGGGATTTGTTTGCTGGGATGGGGGGTCACGTGTATTCTGGGTGACCGCAAGATGTTTGCGGATTAGGTAATTCTTGCGCTCATTGTTCCGTTGAATTGCCATACACTAAGCGTTTTGGAAGTTGCGAATCGGCTTCAGTATAGGCTTAGGGTTTAGGCTTAGGCATAGGCTTAAGGATTTAGGCCTATACCGAGGTAAAGAAAGAGCAGAGAAAAAGAAAAGGGAAGAGAAAGCATTGTTGAGAAGCTTTACCGAAAATTTAGCTAGTCTCGCCTTTTCCAAAAATCCCTGCTAGTTTTTCTTAATGATCTCTGCTAGCCTGCCTTTCCCAAGGATTCTCTGCTAGCTTGCCCTGCCTAAAAACCACAGCGAGTCTGTGTTTTCCTAAATGTTGTGGAGCGAAAGGCTAGACTCTAGTCGCCTCCCTATCGCGTGCCCTTGTGATCGTAGCCTGTGGTCCCGCCACGGCGCCCCCATTTCGTGTGTCGTAAGGCCCCCGCTCTCCCCGGGAAATGGCCCATTTTTATCACTCCGAATTTTATCCTCGTTCGTGCTGCTTGTCGAATAAACATCTTTTGTTTTATTCGATACTTCAACTACATTCCATCAAGCACTTCACCCACTTCAAGGACACAACAATTGGCGGATCAGGTGATTCGACACTTACGCAAGAAGGGACACCAACAAGAAGCTGGCCCCCGTCACAAGGTCGAAGTCTACGAAACTGAAGGAAGAAGAAGCCCAAATGGAACAAGTTCTGCAAAACGTTCTGACCGCAATGGAAGAACGTCATCGTGAGCAGCGTGCCCAAGATGAGGAGCGTCACCGGGAGCAGCGTGAGCAAGACAAACAGGCCCACGAACTGCAAATGAAGCTGATCACCGAACAAATGGCCGCGTGGATGAGTCAAGTCAAGCAAGAGCCCGCCGATGGAGAAGCCACAAACAAGGTTCGTCTTCAAACGCTGAGGGACTCCATTCTGGCCCGAGTGCCGAAATTTTGCTTTGACGAGGACCGCTCAACGTTCGAGCTATGGTATGCCCGGTATGGCGAAGTTTTCGTGAAGGACGGTGCCGAGTTTTCCGAAGAGGACCGAAGCCGGATGCTGATCGAGAAATTGAGGACACCGCCTACGAGCGATTCACGAAGTTTATCCTGCCGAAGGCCGCGCACGAGCTGAAATACGCCGAGATCGTGGACACTTTGCTGAGGATCTTCGTGCCATCCAAGTCACTTTTGCCCTTCGCTATGAATTTTCTAAATTGAAATTCCAGGGCGGTGACGTGGAAGAGCTGGCCAAGCACGTGGACCAACTGAAGTTCGCATACGAGAAGGCGAAGATGCGCGAGATCAAGGAGCACGAACAGAAGGCCCTTTCCTCTACTGCTCGCTGCCCGGTGCTGAACATGAAGTGACACGAAGCCAGATCCTTCGCAAAATGGAGGAAAAGCCGGACTCTACGCTGGACGAAGTTTTCGCGCACATTCGCCACTTCGTATCAAGAAAGAAGGACGCCAACCTGGACACCAAGTTGCAAATGGAGGTGCATGCCGTTTCAACAAGGCCGCCCCAAATTCCAAAAAGCCCGACTACCGCGCAATCTACGATGAGCCGCCGCAAGAAGCGTACAAGGCCATGTAGACATTGTGAAGGTGCACACTGGGATAATGAATGCCCAGTCCAAGTTCAACCGCCCGCGGAAGAAAATGTCGTTTTTGTAGGTTCAAATTTTTCGGACCACGACATCGATCGTTTATACCATGATGTGGCGATCGACGGGCACCCGCTGAAGATGCGTGTTGACACGGGCGCCGACGTAACTCTCCTCGACAAGAAGGACTGGGTCAAAGATCGGCAAGCCCGCGCTCAAGCCAACGTCACTCAAGATGAAGGCCGCAAATGGACGGGACATCAAGGTTCATGGGACATTCGAGAGCAAGTACGTCATCGACAAGAAGGAGATGATCGGTGTTGGACACGTCATCGATGGCCACACCCTTCTCGGCCTCGACTGGCTGAAGAATACGGATGCAATGGATGCATTCCGTGCACTGCTCAAGCCCGAACCGTCGAATGAAAATCCGCCATTTGAATTCATGGGACGCAAGCTACAAATGAAGCCACCAATGCGCTCGCTGCGTGCCCCAAGCCCCGCCGCACTGGTCGTGAGGACTGCCCACCGACGCCGCCCAGCAAGACAACGTTGTTTCTCACCAGGTGAACACGTTTACGCTAAGGAATGGCGCAGGGATAAATCTACCTGGACGCCCGCAAGAATTCTACACAAGGACTCCAAATTCCTCTACACTGTCAAGTTGGAAAATGGACTGCTACGGACGCGCTACATCAATCAGCTCCGCAAGCCCGACAAGTCGTCAATGTGTCAAGGATCTTTCGAGGAAGAGAAGGAGGGATCGCCGCCACTGCCGTTGCCAAATGCCGACAAGTTGCCCGAGCCCCAGCGCAAGATGCGTGCTCCGATGTGATGGTGCCCGTGTTCAGCCTACGCAAGAATTAAGCTAAACGAATGAAAGAAGCATTTTTCTTTTCGCGTTGCTATGTAAATTCTGTGTAATCTTTTCACGATACTTTTATGCTGTACCCACATTCGGTTTTTCATTCCTCACACACCTCCAGTCTGGTCATGTGCCGACTTTCAATCTTCCCTAAAAGGAGGGAGGTGTTGTGGAGCGAAAGGCTAGACTCTAGTCGCCTCCCCCTATCGCGTGCCCTTGTGATCGTAGCCTGTGGTCCCGCCACGGCGCCCCCATTTCGTGTCGTAAGGCCCCGCTCTCCCCCGGGAAATGGCCCATTTTTATCACTCCGAATTTTATCCTCGTCTGCTGCTTGTCGAATAAACATCTTTTGTTTATTCGATACTTCAACTACATTCCATCAAGCACTTCACCCACTTGAAGGACACAACACTAAATAATCTTGGCTAGCCTGTCTTTTTCTAAACTATCCCTGTTAATCTTCCCTTCCTCGTCCCTTTAAAGGGATCAGGAAGGCCCAGCAGATCAGTCCTCATCTATAATTGGCAACCAGTCAACCAGAAATGCTAATGCAAAAATCGGCAGCCAGTGGGGGTGAGACAGGAGGGAGCAGAGAAGATTTATGCTAATTTTAGAACTAAAACCCGTTTATTCTAATTTTTGCCTGGGCCTTCCTAATCCCTTTAATCCACAGCCCCCCAATTGTCCGTGACTGCCATAGAAAGCCGAGCGAGACACTGCAACCACCCATTATGGCATTATGTGTGCCCCCGTTGTGCCTGTCTCAATATGAAATAGGATAAGCGGGGGGATTCGGCTCTCCATGGAGACCCGAAAAAAAATTTTGTGCCTTGCACCACCTCTGCTTGCCCCTTTTCTTCCCGTCATGGATATATAGACACGTATATATGAGGCAAAGGCACAATGCGGGGGCCCGGAAAACGTGGTGGGCCCATGCTGGTGAAATTGGCCCCGATTCGCTGATTGTTGAGGGGGCGGCGGTGGTGGATGGTAGGGGGAGAAGGTTGGTTGGGGGTGTTCCGCTTTGCCAAACAGATTGTAAGCACATTTTGGGTCGTACAGTGGAGCAGTTAGGCGGGCGTAGAAGATTTGCGGGCACGGTCGTATTAGGTGGCTTGACTGCAGGGCTGCTAGCAGAGATTCTTTAGGGCAACAAGCCAGCCAGGATAAGTCCCGAAAAAAGCACGCCCCTCTAGCGGTCCGGAGAAAGCTCAGAGCAGGATGGTGTTTACACCATTCGAAAGCTCTCGAAAAGGCGAGAAAACGAGCGGGTTTCATTTTCTAAGACTTAAACTGATTTTATCGCTATTCAACGTTCTTCGCAAAACGGGATATTTTCAATAGGAACTTCGCAATTAGCATGCAGATCTTGAATAAAACAGTTTTCATTGTCTTTGGACGTAAAATTTGCGAATAAAAATATATAATGAAGAAAATGTTACTTAGTTTCTCTTAGTTTTCTCGCCTTTCCGAGAGCTTTCGATATATAGCTAAATTGTAAATATCGGACACAACACCGATCGGCTAACGGGGGGTGAGTGGTTGTATTCATCACTAGTCCTCTCCATTAAAGGGGCAGGAACATCCAGCGTGCGCTCTATACTCGGGCGTCCACCCCGCAGGTCCGGCGACGTCGTCGTTCTGTTCGGGCACTTTGTAATGCATCAACACTAAGCCCCGGCAGCGCCCGTGGTGGGCCCATTTCAGGGCCCACACCGCGGGGGTGCAATTCGAAACGCGACTGAAAAAAAGTGTATGTGAGGGGCTGCCTAGTCTCCCCCCTGGGCCGAGATAATTAGGGCATCATCCGGAACCGCACGGCCAATGGTCGGGGCGAGGGTTCCGCAGCATTCCGCTGGACGGGGCACACAGGGAGGAGGAGGGCCCATAATTCAATCATCCAGCCAATGGCTCCTCACCCCTCGGGGGATGGGGCTCATCGTGAAATGAGTTAAGTAACGGCTATGGGCAGGGATGTGAAATGAGAGCAATTTTTTAGCGGGTGAGGGGAAGGGTTTGACATTGGTTTTCTCGAAAGACCACGAATTCGTGGAGCAGGGACGTCGGGGAGGGGCTTTTAAAACCCATGCCTATGCTTAGGTTAGGCTTAGGCTTAGGCTTAGCTTAGGCTTGGGATAAGGCTTAGGCTTAGACTTAGGCCAAAACTGCAGGGAATACCAAATTTGACTCCCCACTTCGAAAAATTTGCACCTCGATAAAAGCAACGATGCCGAACAAGCGCGCTAATTTTAAAAATTACTACCGAGCGCTAAAACCCTAGATACTAACCGAAGGCTAAGCCTAGATTCAAAAAAACCCCACAATCACCTCCTTTGCAGCAAGGCACCGAGCAATGGACGGTGGCCAGCGACTACCAGGATCCAACCGAGGGCCATTTGACGGTAGCACGAGGCGATCGGGTCGAGGTAGGAGAGTTCTAGTTTTTTTTGCAATTGTGACTTTATTTTAGTTGTGAGCGAAAGTATCCAGGTCCCAAAAAACCCATCTCTAGCGGCCCGCAGTCCTGTCCGATATCTATCGAAAGCTCTTGACGAGCTGAGAAGATCTGTTCTCTCCGATTTTCGAATTTCCCGAATTTTTAACCCGATTTTCATCGTTTTTCGGGCTTTAGGATTACTCAATTTTGGTGCAAAAACTCAATTTAATCGGCTTCAGTCCATCCAAGCTGTGTTTTCTCAAATTCCCTTCAGAAAGCCAATCTTGGGCTGCCAGGAAAGATGTAAAACTTTGGAAAACGGGTTCTTGGTAAAAACACTTGCATGGGAAAGCATCGAAAATTCGGCCAATTTCGTAAAATTCTTAGTTCGGAAATGTAAAAAATCAGCAAGAACATATCTCCTCAGCTTTCGATAGATACCTAAATCGTCAAAATCAGGCATCACTGCGGACCGCTAGAGGGGGTCTTTTTGGGACACCCTGTATAATATTATTATTAACATCGTGAAAGTCATTGGCAGCTTTTACGTTTGCAGCTGATCGAATCACCAGGGGGTGCGACCGACTTGGTGCTGGTGGCGATGGCCGACGATCGGGAGAAGCAGGGCCTCGTCCCGTTTTCCATATTGCTGCCAGGTTCGTAATATTTCAAATTACGGCATGCCGGTTGACCGCGTAGTGGATTGGTAAAACAGGGACTTTGGAAACTGGGTTGGAGATAGATGGAGACGGTGAGAGAGAGAGAGAGAGAGAGAGAGCGATAGACCAGCTTGAAGCGCTCAAGCCCACAGACCAACCGAAGATTTGGGTCCCGGAAATCGTGGATCAAAAGAACTGACCCATCTCCCCCATCCGCCTCATCATCCTCATCACCATCAGCATCGCCAAACGGGCTCCGGGCTGCCCTCAATTCTTGTGTGTGCTTTTGTACTCGAAATCAGCCATCTCGCCCCGGCCAACCCAGCAGCCCTTTTTCAAAACGTCTCGCCCCAACGGTTCGGCACAAAAAATTTCGGGCAGCGGCTACGGGCCCGGATCGATGTTGTTTTCAAATTTGGCCTCAGTTTACCGCTGCCTGAAGAGGATCAACTAAAAATCAAAAAAGGCCATCCAACTACGTCTTCGCATTTTGTGACGGCTCATTATTCTGATTTTGGCGTTGATTTTGTCGAAATTCCATTTTATAGCAGTTTTATTTTGTCTAAAATCAATGCCTATTCCGCCTCAATTATTCTTCTTAAACATTCCGCAAAATCAAATTTCGACAAAATGATAGAAAATCAACCGCCATCTACCTCCACCTCCTCATTTTTGCCTTTTTCCCCGGCTGACCTGATATCTCACCCACCAAATTACGCAGCCCATCAGGAAAAGCCCATTCGAGGCTGGCGGCTCTTGCCATCCGCCGGGTCGTTAGCAGGGGCACCGTAAAATTTACATGCTGAGTAGATGGGCTGCCCAAAAATTGGCTCGACGAGGCTTTTCTCGGGGTGGATAAGCTGTTCCGTTAGATAAACTGAGCTTGTCTTGCAAGTCGGTCGAGTCGCTTTATGCTTGGCTTGGGCTTCAGATGAGCTTAAGATTGGCTTCGGTTCCGACTTAAGTTTAAACTTGACTGCCTTCCCGTTCTTTTTAGGCGAGCTAGCAAAGACACTTGAGACAGCCAAGGTTCGCCAAAGACCCTCTCGGCAATTTGCACCTAAAAAACGAGGGTGTACTAATAAAATTTGCACCAAAGAAACACACCCTTCTGTCTTTTTTGGCAGGTTTCTCTGTTGCGGAGGCGCCTATTTTTACGGTTCCCTCGGCGACACCTTTTATGGCCTCGGCCAGGCGTGAGGGCTTGGACGGTCTCGGCTGATCCAATTTTTTTATATTGAGATTTTCACGTTCCCGAATTCTCTTAAGCATATTTTTCTTGACTTAGTTTCCCTTTTGACGTTGAATTTCTCGTTGCCATCTCGCGGCAGTTTTCCGAAAATTTGCACACCGCCTCCCCGCAGTGTCGCTAATTGCTCGCCAACCGCGGGGGCCATAGACAAATTCGGCGCTCGACTTTCGGCCTAATACTAATACTCAGGGTTGTTCACCGACGGACCCGGATCGGTAAGGATCCGGATCGGACCTGGATCCGGATCCGGATCGGATCCGCTGTAGGATCCGGATCCAGATCCAGATCCGGATCCGAGCGGATCCGGATCCAATGCGGATCCGAGGAAAAAAGGGACCGGAAGTAATATTCTCGATTCTGATGCTGATTCGGTCATGTTAATCGCAAAAATACATAGCCCCGAGGCAGAACTGATCTTTGCATCTAAGAATTAGCACTTAACTCGGTTGCATGATCCATTTCCTTGGATCCGGATCGGATCGGATCCGCCCTGGATCTGGATCCGGATCCGGATCCTACGGCGGATCCGGATCCGGATCCGATCCAGATCCAGATCCGGATCCAGTCCGATCCGAAAATGACCAAGCCTGCTAATACTTAATATTTTCCAAATAGCTACAATTGGAATTCAGTGTTTCTTCAAAGGAAATTGATAGAATTTCTTTCACTAAACTTTCAAGCCCTCCCTGGACCTCACTCAATAATTCGGAAAACTCCAGGCCGAGAAAAAAACACACACGCAAGATAAAGCACCGGGTCCCACGGCTCGTTTTCGTGCGTTGGAAAGGCAGCTGGAGAACATGAATTTCTAATATGTCACATCACTACGGCCCATGCTGAAATTTTGCAGTTTCTTGTTATTTTTGTAAATTTCACTAGGAAACCGAATACAAATGGATGCTATTATTTCTTTTATCGTTATCTCTCTCTCTCTCCCTATCTATCTCTGTCGCTCATTCGCCCGCTCACTCTCTCTCTCTCTCTCTCCTCTCTCGCTATCACGCTGTCTCTCTCACGGCCGAACTATCCGCATTAATCCAAGGAAACATAGCTTTAATTTTAACGACTTTTGCAAAATGTGGCAAAAACCATTTCGATCGTTCAGGCCTTCTAGGGCACAAAAATGAACCAGCACATCTCCACGCTGCAAAAAAAAGCCGAAATTGTTCCGCGGCAACCCTGTAGACTGCCCCTCAGGCCCAGATGTTTTGCCGCAAATTGGCCGGGCCGGGGGCGGTGTGCCATGGCAGTGGTGAAATGCGCTGCTGCTGCGCGCCGAATGTTTGCGCAAGACGGGCCGGCCCCGGCTTCCCCCAACGCTCTCTATCCCTCTCCCTCTCTCTCTCTCTCTCTCTCTCTCTCTCTCTGCCAGCTTCATGGACCCACACGGCACTCGGAGCCCCCATCCAACCCCCGATCATCCCTCGACCGACCCTCATCAATCCACCATTTCGTTTTTTTTTGGCTTCCTGGCATTTCACACAGCCGAAACCGATCACTAGGCGCATCTTTACGTTCTTTGGAACCCGACTGTTGATGTTACTTTCTTTGAAACCCAAGCTTCGTTCGCTGATGTCTCTTTTAAGGGGGCTGTGACACTAAAATGATTCGCGCTCTCTTGCCCTCTCTCTCTCTCTCTCGCTCTCTCTATATCCGTATCTCTCGCTTTCTCTCCGTCTCTCTTTCTCTCTCGCTCTCTCTCAATAGCCTTCTACTTATCCCTGAATCGCCCTCTAAACAACAAAATCTCGGTTCTGAACCACTTTAAACGGCCTTTCTTCAAGATTCCAACATTTACGACTATTTTAATTGGCAACCGCCAAGAGTTCTGTGGCTCATCTCAAATTGGGACCCCCCGTCGCAGCCTTCTTGGGCCCAGATTCGAGCTCTTGATTAGGGGGGCTGGCAACCCTGAATTCACCTCCCAGCATCGGCCGCCTTCCCCTCAAAACTTCAGACGGCGCCACCGGGCGGGAAGCTTTGTCCTCGGCCATTTCCGCTCGCCGCATTTTTTGCAGGGGCATTCAAACCCCCCATTTTATACGAATTTAAGTTTTACAAAGCTTTTCAGGCGCAGGCGTAGGCTGAAGCTTAGGTTAGGCCTAGGCTTAGGCACGGTTTCGTTCAAAATGTCGCAAATCGTAATGTCGAAATTGATAATGCCGAGATCTCATAATGTTGAGATATAGAATGTCGAAATTTTCATAAGGTAATTTTCCCGGAAAACCACCGAATCCTCCGAATCCGAAAGTCGGCCTTATGGCATTTCGACGTTATGAATTTCCATATTATGATTTTCCCTTGAAATCAAAGGGTACTGTAAATCAAGAACAGCCGTTGCTAACTCTCTGCTGAAATCGGAAACGCGAAAACGAACAGCGGGGCTGGCTCGCGATCAACTGACCCGCAACGAGCCCCGGCCAGTCCCCCCACTGAAAACCGAAAAAAAACCATTGTACACTGGGCCGGCGGCTGCAAAATCAATCAGTGCCGGTTGTCGGCAATTTTTACCCACAACTCCCCGGCTCGGCCTCGACCCTGTATGCTAACAACTTTTTATCAACTCCTCAGCCAGATTTTCTGGCATAATTAGCTTCAGTGAATTTCGACATTATGCAATTTGGATATTCTAAATTTCGACATCGCGGAACTTGGAAATTCTGAATTTTAACATTATGGTTTTCGCCACTTTGAAAAGACCCGTTTTTTAAAGCTGCCTGCACTAGGTTGTTTGCACGTCGGCCTAAAATGGCAGATTAATGCGGGGTGACAGGGATACGTTGAGGTCTGCTTACAAAAACGCACCACTGTAGATGGGATCTCGGGGTCCGGACCTCAACCTCGTCCTCCTCACCTGCCGATCACCCCACGTTTTGGCGCTGAGGTTGAGTGTTCAATCTGTTGTATGTATCACGCCACGTTCCAACGTGAGCGCCAGCCGAAGTCTAGCCGAAGCGTAAGCCCAAGCCCGGGTCTATACCTAAGCTTCAGCCTAAGCCCATCGATATGGCCGGTTTCCATGGTCGACCTCTTAGCCTAAGCCTAAGCCTAAGCCTAAGCCTAAGCCTAAGCCTAAGCCTAAGCCTAAGCCTAAGCTTCAGCCTAAGCCCATCGATATGGCCGGTTTCCAGGTCGTAGCCTAAGCCGAAGCCTAAGCCTAAGCCTAAGCCTAAGCCTAAGCCTAAGCCTAAGCCGAAGCCAAAGCCTAAGCCTAAGCCTAAGCCTAAGACAAACTCCTAAGCTTAAGCAAAAATCTACTATATTGATTTTTCTTTCCCTCCAGACCTGCTTAGATAAATCAAAAAGCGAAAAATGCCCCTCGCATTTTCAGAAGCTTCTATAAAAACCGTCTTAGTAATCTGAGCCGTGCCATGAGGCTGAGGCTCCATATTTTTCTGTGACTACGATTCATCTTGCTCTTTCAAAGACACCCCACATCTCAAAATTAGCATAACTTGACGTTTTTCCTGGCAATGTCGCGTGAGGCGGTTGATAGGTTCCGGCCAGGGTTTTGCGGTTGGTTGTTGTTTTGGGGCTCTGGTTTTTCATCGGGGATCCGGATCGGATCGGCGCTGGATCGGGATCCGGATCCGGATCCGAATCGGATCCGGATCCAGATGCGGATCCGAAGGAAAAAGGGAACGGGAGGAATTTTTTTTGGTTTTGGGTTGGGTTTGGGTAGGGGAAAGAAAAAAAAAAGGGGGGGGGGCGGGGCAGGGCTCTGGAGTTAAAAAAAAAAAAGGGAACAGG